TTTTATCCCGATCCCTAAATTAAGTGTTATTACGCGCGAGTGCAATACAGGACTTTTTTCTCTTTCTGCGAGGAAGGTTTTTCATTGTTTGTTATAATTTTTTTTGCACAGACGAAGTCGATGGTAACAGCTAGCTTATTAAATAAACTGGAACATTATTACCTTACAAAACACTGTATTATTATTAATAATCTTTTTCATAGTTTGTAAAACAACCCATGTAACTCAACATAATATAACATTCTTTTATATCTAAAATTTTTAAAGATCATATTATGTTTACTACACAAATGAAGAACAACTAACCCCGCGGCTGTATACAAGTCTTGAAATAAATTCTATTATTACATTAATTATTTCTAGAAGTCTCTTTATTGTAACATATATCCCTACTAATATTATAAATGCGAAAGTAACTCTGTCTGTTACGCTTTCACTTCTAAACCACTGAACTGATTTTAATGAAATTTGGTACAGAGATAAAATTACCCTTTAGAAAGAACATAGGATAGTTTTTATCCCAGACGTTTGAAAGGTTCTCTTGTAAACGCGATATAACCGAACTACACGCGGGCTAAGCTGCGGGCGGAAAGCTAGTTTATATATATATATATATCCAATAATTGCGATATAAATATCATATTATAATATAAATCTGAGCCGTATGTCTGTCTGTGTATAGTGTGCAGGCTGCGGTGAACACATCCGCAGGAACTTCCTTCGTTCGGAGCCGATTTCTCTTTTTTGTCTCGTTCCCATGACCCGGCTGGACCGATTTTTGTTCCCTTTACTTACTCGTTTTATTTTTTCTTATAATACGCGGTTAATGCAGTTTGTCTTCATCCTCGTTTTTATATCGAGTTTTTTTCACTTACATCAATTTAATGTTCATTTTATAGATATTATATTTTTGTGAATGTACATTATATTCAAAGAAATGGGAAATTAATTTTTAATTAAACAATAATTTTATATATCATATTATTATATATTATAATTCTTCTATGTATGTTTCTTTTTGATATTTTTAAAACCCTTGCAAGTTAATTAAAAGGCTATTAATTGAAACAACGATCTAGTAATTTTATTGCATAAATGAAGCTGAATAATATTTAATATATAATATTTATAATATTAAATATTATATATAGTGTATGTGTATTGTATGTAATATTGATCATATTTCTAGGTAAGCTAGTGTATGGGAAGTCCTAACTTACTCACAGGGTTTTTCCTGATCTACATTCACAACCCTAATGACCTTCAGATTATAAAATAAACGACTACTATTAAAAATATTATCCACACAATTATTATATATGAAAAAATATTAAGTTATACAAAATAACATACTTGATAGTTTACAAAAATAAGTAGTTGAAATAATAATAGTAAATATATTGCTTTTTTATCTATATATAAAGAATATATTTTTCCAACAGAGCAATCATTTCTCCTCTATTAAAGAAATTGTAACAAAGTTTTTCAAATATTGGTAGAAAACAACGATTGAATTTAAACTAAAATTAAACTTATCCCTATAACATTAATACATATATTCAGATTTATTGATACATAGTTAATATGATGTTTATTTTCAAAACACACACACACACACACATATGCAGCACACATATATATTATCTGTATCATTATTATATAAAAATAGATCATTTCTAAAAATAATGAATTTGGAATCTTCCATTTACTAATTCTCCACCCCATTCAGCCGCTTCAATGTAAACAGTTCTATTTTACATTAACTCTACAAATATAATTAATTTAAAACTATAATAAGAATACAATACGACGTAATGTTCATTTTTTTAAATATATAATGTTAATTTTCATTAAAATTCTGTAAACGCAAAGAAAAGAATGATATATACATTTAAATGAAACTAATATTATTCTACGCGGATTTTTTTAAACTATAATATATCTTATAGTTCGGTTATTTTTCAGCAACCGATGACCGTCTGCCAAAGACCGTGCAAAGTGGAGGCGTCTATGTTGGAAGGCAGACCCTGGCTAAAGCTGGGAAAATGCCAGGAAGAAGAAGAAGAAGATGACCACGTTCACACGAGACTTCTCATTATTTCGTGATAATTATGAAGCTACAATAGTATTTTATACTAATATATTCATCATCTATAAATATTAGTATTCTGTGTATTTTCTGTCAGATTTCTCAGTAGTTATTTTGTTTGAAGTCATGGCCGATATTTCATGGAACATAATTCGATTATTACAACAGTATCTAATACATGTTTGTTTGAAAATCAATATAAATGTATATATACTGCTGTTTGAAATAACATGTCAATTATGCTTAGGGGTTTATAAATTTTTCTCTTCATTTAACACAAATAAGTATAGTGTAAGAAGCTTAAAAATAAACGCCATTTTTTTAAATTCATCAATTATTATAAATTTAATTCTTTATAATTAAATATTTGTTTGTAAATAACAGATAATAAAAACAAACTTCACAGCGATTTTAACAGATATATATGTATTATATGTAAAATAAAAGTCGATTTTCTTTAATATAATACAATAAATTTACAAGTCTACATCGCGAAGCTTTGAGCTATGACGCATGGTCGCGCCCCGAATGCGCTCCACGACATATGTGTGGAATAATACAAGCACTGGATACGACAACTATATCACTGTTAAAAACATCTTTATATCTGTTTGTTCCTATAAAATTATGACTTAATTAACTTCATAGAGGGATTTTGAATGAAATATATGTATATAGGTAAACTTTTAACTAAATTATTAAGGTTTTTCACTTTGAAGAGTACTGTCGGTTGAATTTCCAAGTACATTTACTTTACATTACATTACATTTACATATTAATATTTCATAGTATCGTATTTGTAAGTCGTATATCAGTGGTGGCCTAGTGGTTAAAAGGCTCGCCTCTCATGCACGAGGATGCGGGTTTGATCCTCGCAAGCAACAATGTGATTTTTCCGAGTCATATGTACTTTATAAGAGTATTTAGACATCACTGATTAATGCATTCCTAAAGAGGGTTGATGTCAGGCAGGCGGGCAATCATAAAAAAAATTAGTCAAAACTATTCACAACATGTAAGGCCCTGGCTAAAGCTGGAAAATTGCCAGGTAGTAGAAGCATCGTATTTGTTGTCACTTCCAGTTGAATATCAACATCCGCGGTATTAACATTCAGCGGGGAATTTAAAATTAAGGCCTCATACTAATTACAAACCATTTTAATAATATTACAACACCGCTACAGTTGGTATTGTTTTTATGTGGCGTTCTCCGTCCCGCTCTATCGTATGGTGTGTGTAAGGGACGGATGTTAATGATTTCGAACATGCTCGTGACACACATCGGAACACCTGGATCTGTATAAAAATAATTAACTCAATCTTTATACTGCGTGAAAGTCTCAAGCAAAACAAATTTAGATCTAACTTTACTGTTTATTATATGTAATTTATATAATATTTATATACAGTAGAAGTGGGTGCGAGAGGTATAACAGCTAAATCTCTCTACAACCTACTAAAAGACTTGGGCCTGTCCAGAACTCATATTTATTCGTTTTTGGAACCTACTTAGAAGACAGACCTAGTAGGTTCTTTTTAAATTTCGTTAGGTAAAGACAGGAGCTTGGGTCGCAAGTCCCAGTCACTGTTGAAGCTCCTCTCACTACAACGATGGACTCGGCACACGCACCGTGAATACATTGAATGGTAAGAGGTTTCATCTCGTCTATCATAAATGCCGAAATTAAATTTAGTTTCCATTATCATAACAGTTGTATTGTGTATGTAGTCCCTTGACACTATATGTCGCTGCTAGTCGATTAGCATATATATTGTTTGAGATACTTCATACATTTCCTAATTCCGAAGTACACTTGGACGAAGTCACAGGCAAAAACTAGTGACAATATATTATCTATATAAATGAGGAAAGTTCTGTTAGTTACACTATTTATAACTCAAAAACGGCTGTAGGGATATGGTTGAAAATTTGTGGAGAGATAGATTAGAACCAAGAGACGGATTTAGGAGATTTAATTCAGTTCAAATTTAAAAAAATCAATATCTTCTTATTGATGGCCTCTAGGGCGGAATACAGTTCGTCCGGTCAGCTATACATATATTACTTATTCCGAAATTAACGCGGACAAAGTCGTGGACAAAAACTCGTATATTACATATTTGCACATACTGCAAGGTATTTTGCAGTGAAAGCTGTTAGGCATACTGACGACGCTGTTTATAATTTGCGAGGTTTTTTATTTTTACTGCATTATAGCATTATGACTTAGTTTTCCCGTTTAATGAAATCGCAATGGGAAAATCTTCTGATAAAATTAATTAATATTAAAACCATTTTGTTGCAGTCGTATGTGGTGTGATTATGTAGTTAGTAAAAAAGATTGTATTATGAAGTTGGTATTGTAAGCTAATATTACATAACATTTCAAATTAATTATTTTATTTAATTCTATATAATATTATATATATTATATATTTCTACTAATATTTAAGTTGTTTTACAAAGGTTACGTACCAAAACCTACACTTAGAGCTAACTTGTAAAGACAATAAGTTGCAGTTAACTTTAAGCTAATTCCTGTTAAATATTTCGGTTACATTTTACATAAATATCGTGAAGTATTAAAGAATCATTTGATTCTCTTTGTAAAGTCATCAGAACACTTCCACGGCGCCACCCCTCGGTTAATTACTTTACAAAAATAAACTCAATATTGTTACAAGTAAGGATACATTTGGCTTAGTATTATGTTTTATTTATAAGGAATACTCTCCCTCTGTTTACAGAACACAGTAATCCTTAGAGGGCTCCGGGACTCGTACGAAAGATACTCGAGCCGGTTCAACTTACAGATATATATGTATATTATTAATATTACAAATCAAACGTCTCAATACTTAAGAAAAAACTTCTGATACAAGTATCCTACAGTAGTTAAATGCTCTGTACTACCCCGCAGTCACCGGCAGCAAGTTATATCTGTTTATTAACAAAGTTAGTCTCGTCATAGTCATATTCACTAGTTAGGTGGAAATAACAAACAAAACAACAAAAAAAAATCTACGTCAGCGGCGTTCAGTGCGGGCACAATAACAACACACACAGCCACATCAATTCACAAGTTTCCCGACGGCCACGGCATGGACGCGCACACAGCGACACGATCTACACACACATACAGCTGTACCTGTGTGTGTACGGGGAGGCCGGGGGAGGTTGGGGTGGTACAGGAGGAGGCTCACTCACACAGCGGCCGAGGCAGGTTTCCCGGGCCGTAGTACTAGAGACACATTGATCCAGAGCGTCTGGCGTCGGCATCGATTGTGCAGTTTCCTGCAACGCTGGTTGCCATGGCGACCGCCCACATCTGCACCCCGCCTTCTCTCCGGCTTATTGGAAATTCTTGTTACCTTTGTGTTGCATTATTATTATAATTAAATATACTTCTTTATTATAACTCCTACTCTCAGGAAGTCTCCTCTCATTCTTCTCCTCTCCCCTCGTTTGTCATGATCCGTCTCTCCTCCATCCCCGTCGATGTCAGCTAATTGCAGCTCCGATTGTTTTACACTCTTCGAGCTTTCACTTAAACATTATTTAGAGGACTCAAGAACACTCATTATATTCAGCCCTCGTATAGTATGGAGACATACTAGAATACTTTATGAATTATTTTTACACATTTAAACTAATAAACTTACAAATTTAATTCATAATTCGTTACAAAAAAAACAATGGAATGTTTTAAATATAATACGAGGTACATGATTATAAATCCCATATCAAATCTATGGAAAACATATTTGATAATTTATTTTTCAATAAATTAACAAATATATGTATATTTCGATAAATTTTACGATGTACTCAAAATATACATACATATTATTGCTATCACTTTTTCAGACCCTGGCTAAAGCTGGGAAATCGCCAGGAAGAAGAAGACTATTTCTATCACTTCATTCAGACCTTTATCTCTCATTCTCAAGTGTCATCAAATGTTAATATGATTATAACATTGTCAACTGTACACAATATATAATTATATTAATGAATCAATACACGTATCAAGTTTAATTAAGATCGTTTATTGATTACAATGTCGTTAATTGATAATCCAAAGCTGAGTTGTACAGTTTAGGTTATATGCAGCCCATTGTTAGGGCATTTAGTAATTAACGACAACAACCAATATATATGTGTATATATATATATATATATGTAGTAGTATTTGATTTATTTCCAACTAGCTTTCCGCCCGCAACTTCGCCCGCGTGGAGTTCGGTTATATAGCGTTTCCAAGAGAACCTTTCAAAAGTCTAGGATAAAAACTATCTTATGTTCTTTCTCAAGGTCGAATATATATCTGTACCAAATTTCATTAAAATAAGTTCAGTGGTTTAGGCGGGAAAGCGTAACAGACACACAGACAGACAGAGTTACTTTGGCATTTATAATATTAGTAGGGATTACTAGGGATGATATTTAAAATACAATTAAAATTCCTCCTCACATTCCACCATGGCTTATATCCAAACTACATATCATGAACAATATAAATAAATATTAATTATTGCTCATATATCTGTTATTTATTTGTTGAATAAATAAAGGGTTTTAAAATAATGAAAGCAAAAATAAAGTTCAATATAATATGTGTAGGATATATCCTATATATAAAACTATAGTTTGATATAACTTCGAGACGAAGAATTGGAGTTATTTCAAAATAAAATTGGTTAAATATAAATTATCTCCCATTATAAAAATGAATATAGAGATATATAAAAACAACATATTCATATAGTATATAAAAAATATGAAATACAAATTAATGTTATATAATATAAATGTAAAATATAATTTTACTAACAGTTACTTTTATTCTATATTATAAGGCTGTTATTAAATATGTATTAAAAAAACATAAAATAATTAAAAAAAAATTAAGATCAAAGCTTTATTAGCCAAATTTTTAGTAATAGTAAATGTTAAGATATATATTTAATAAAAAAATATATTATTAATTATAATTTTTTACAAACTTGTGTCAAAATAAGAAATATACTCGAATGATATCATTCGAGGCTATGTAACCATATATATTATATGTTTACATAGCCAGTTATATATGTATATATATAGTTATATTATGTGTGTGTATTATAATTAATAAAATGATATCGTGTGACGTCATCACCTCTTCAGTTTAAGCATGTATTAATCTCTTTCCTCTTTTCCCCTCCCCACATTCAACCTATTTCTGTTTCTCTCACACACGCACTGTTTGCCGCATTCCGCTGTATATAGAGAAAATGTTTTTCATCTCTACAATAAGTGACCTATACCTATATATTTTTTATTAAATTATATTACAACTAAACAACAGCCATGTTTTTTCTTATCTATAGAGAAAAAATAAAAAGTAATTTGTTTTTAACATCAAAATAATCGTTATATATGTACTTAAAACTATCGATTTAGTATATATGTATATATATATGACAGTAATATATTTTAACAGTTTTGTCTGTGTGTCTTTGTCTGTTTGTTCCAGCTTGTCTCTGAAACTATTCGACCGATTTAAATTAAACTTTCACTGGGGCATAGCTAATGTAGTAGGAAGAACCTCAGACTTATTTAAATTAATAACAATTTTTTTTTCGAGCGAACCAATTTCCGCCCATAGTTTTTATACATAGTTCGTTTTCCATTCTTTGTCTACATACGAAAAGAGTAGGATAGTTTCATTGGAGTAATCAAATAAAAATGCCAATTATATTAGCAACATGATACAATTTTCCAAGTCTAGACTGCAGTCTACAGGACAAACTAAATTATAAAACACTCCAGACCACACCAGACCAGTCTACACAAGCTCCCCTCACACATAAAAACGATATTTATCATGTCTTTACATTAACGTCTTTATGAGTTTCCATTCTATGTGCCTGGTTCTAATCTGTTAAGTGCTCTTTTGTATGGAAAACATACATATATATCATACATATATATTATATATACATATATATATTAATACATAAACAATATTTCCTAATGTCCATAAAGAGCCAACACAAATATTAAAACCGTCTCATGTTCCATTGAATCAATTCGTCTACAGACGCGATCGAAACTCTCAGTTCCAGACCACTCCATGTGCATACTATAAAACCTACCATCACCATACAAATAACGCTCTTATTAACATATAAATAGAGCTTGATTCAGATAGCAATACCAAAAGTGCATTTCGTTTTAAAAATAAGACCGTATGTAAGACAATTGATTTTACGAATTTCGACCATGTGTATCTTCATATAAAGTCCACTTTTAATTGTAGCTGTGCTATGCACCCGGATTAGTCCGACTGGTACTAGCTCAAACAAATTATTTCTAAAGTCAGCTCTACATTGTAAAAGATAAAGTTCTTTTTGGTGTGTAGTTTTTTTTGGTTATATTTCCGGGTCTATAGAGCCTGCGGTTGCGAGCAGACAAGATGAGAATATAGGATTTTAATATTAACCACCCTCATTGTATGTTCTCTCTTTATATATTTGTACATCGTCTGAGTGTCAATTTGCGTTTCCTTTACAATTTGTACACTAAAATAAAGATAAAACAGATACTATCTTTTATTTCTGTCATTTCGCATTATACGAAAACGAAGAGAAGCATTCATAAGTATGAAAAAATTTAATATTATATTTCTTAACTACCCGTATCTCGAACATTTGTTTATTAATAAAAAAATTACATGAAATCATTCAACATACATCGTTGATTCATAATGACATTCCAAATCGCGACACCTTGTATAAACAGCAATGTATATGTGTCATATGAAACAAGTCGATACTAGCGCGCGCCCCGACCTGCCCCAACATAACGCAGCGACGCGCCTTGCATTCACACGAGAGTTATTGAGAGCACTCTAACAAAATATATTCGTACATTCATTATTTTGTGAGTAATTTAAAATATTCCGCATTAAAAATGGTACTGGATATATTTTTTACATTTACATACATACTTTTTGATTTTCAAATTCTATTTTGCGTTTTTAGTTGTTTTTATTCATGGATATTGTAAGACTGCAGTGCGAACAGATAACGATAAATTAAAAGGATTTAATATTAAAGTATTGAATAATAAATTTTAATATATTTTTTTAATTGCATTTCTTTCTTCAAACTGGAAACTGAGTACTGCGTGTAGAAAACAGGAAGGAGTTTTTCGAATGGAACAAAAGGGTTTATTTAATTATTCTTAGTATTTTTAGTATTTTTTTCTTTATTTTATTTATATTTTTATCACCACCTAGAACAATTAAAAATATATAAGTAATAAAACTTAAATATATTGTTAAATGCTGTATATTTTCACGTAGTGTTTGTTCTCAGTCTGTCTCTATTGACTTTCCCGCCACATTTTGTGTCAATATGGCGATGTTTGTTTTTTTTTTCGATCCATCAATGTTATTGGCTGTACGTCTAAACTGATAGACTCATCTATTTTATAAATTAATGATTTAAATAAAACCTACATAAACCGTGTCGTTTATAATTTTATAATATTATCTTTGTGTATTATGCTTCAATATGTTAGGATAAAAATATCTTTATATTCCGTACTCAAGCCCGAATATTAAAGTTTCAGAACGACTTATCGTCATTCTGTCGACTTTATAAATTCTTCATTCACATTAAGTGCCTAATATATTTCATATTACGTGATTTAACCTCCTTTGTTCATTTTGTTTTAAATTGAATGACAGAATGTTCTAGATTATTATGTCTAAAATTATCTTGTTTATCAGCAAATATTATCATGGTCGTTAGTTCTTTGCAGATTATAATATTATTAGTATTATATATAATGTTGTGATATAGATATCAAGGTGGGTGTCGATGGTAACCATGGCAACCGTCAGATGCGCCGCCATCATGCTTGTAGTACGACCATCACTAACTAATATATTTAAATATTATATATTTTTAATAATATTTCTGTACTCGTGCAAAGAGATTATGTTAAGCTCAAGATATTTTTATAATAAATAAACTATTCTGAGCTCTGGCTGTACTTGTTTACTTATATTGGGAATTTTTAATATAACGATGTTCATATATAGATCAGGCAGACCCTGGCTAAAACTGGGAAATTGACAGGAAGAAGAAAAGTTTTTCATATATAGTCATATATGTAACACATGTTCTATACATATAAAGTGTATGATATAATAAAAATTTTCCACATAAAAACATAAATCAAGGTTTCCTGCTTAATAAAACTCGAACTATTAAAAAACAACAACCATTTTAATACTTATATATTAATATAAAGCTTAACATAATTAATAAAAGTATCTTTATTTAGAAAATCAATTTATCCAGACTTATCTAGACAGGTACACTGCTAGCTCTACCCTCAATAAATGGATGCAATGTGATCTCTAAAAAAGCGTCCCTCTAGTATCTGTTTGATTTTTAACCCAATCACGGCATTCATTATGGAGCTTGGTCCGGGCTTGGTCTGGGCCGGGCTGGCTCCGGGCTTGGTCCGGAACGTACTCGTACATATCAAAAATATATTGCATGTCTGGGACAAGGCTTCCCAAACTAACACATTCCTAACAGGCTTTGTCTATTCGATTTTAATTGAGTCATGATGTTTCAAAAACATTTATTTCAAGTATATATTTTTATGAAATGAATTTTTAATGTACTCAAAATATTATTCTTAATGTCTATGGGTAGATTTGCAAATTAACAGCTATATCTGGCTGAACAAATTGGTTGTGATATGAAGCGTCAATAATAGAGATATAAGGAAAAGTCTTAAAGAAACATCTCTAAGGCTCGTGTCATATATAATGCTTCTGTGAGTGTGTGTATGTGTATGTCACTGAACTTCTCTCAAAGGACTGGACCGATTTTGATGAAATTTTTTGTCTATGTTCAAGAGGATCTGGGAATGGTCTAGATTTACAAATTTTTCCGCTGGACAATGTTTTTTTAATTAATTTTTAATTTATTAGTAGTTGTTGATACAAACGTTTTATTTGACATTAGATTTGACAACTAACTAATATGTCAATCATTCTGTCGCACTTCAAAACACGGAGATTTATGGCTTTAATAGGTAAACTCCAAAAATATAAATTAAAAAAACGTAACACATATTTCTTGATTATAGGGCGACACGAAGTTCGCCGGGTCTTTTAGTATATATATATATTTCACACGTGTCAGTTTGAGGTTCTCTGGTGGTATCAGACCTGCCTCCAGCCTCCCTCACCCTCACAGTCACCGTCGACTGCCAATTGTAATTAGCAAATTGCTTACTAAAATACGCGATGCAATGCTTTTTGATTTTTTATTCGCACACCTATACATAACTTACGCCATATTTGAATTTTGAGCTAAACAAGCCTCCTTCTACCGGTATATCTTTATTTATCTCATGCTTTTTCCATTAATTAAAAGTCTTCAAGTACCAGATTCTGTGAATTTAAATTCATGGAAAATACATTTTATTAGACTTAAAAATAAATTTTAAAACGCTTAAAAAATTTGTATTTTTATAAAAAGTATTAAAAGTGGGAAACATTAATGCATTAATGAATAAAAGTTTTCCAGCGTTCGTCGAGTCTGAGAGCTTGAAGATAAAATATAATAAAAATCTGTATGTCGGTGAAGTTGTTTAATAAGCCTTGCTAAAACCATCACACGTCACTCGGCACACGTGAGGTTCCAAGCACACCTTCTTCTGTTCCTGATCTCCTGGTACCTCGTTTTCGGCGCACCTGTGTCAGTGTTGTGTCTATGTGTGTCTCTCTGTGCTGTGTCTGTGTGTGTGTGTGTGTTACCGTCGTCATAGCAACCGTAGTACTATTTCTGTACACAGATAAATCTTTACACGTTTTCCTTTTATTAATCGTAGCTACCTAATATACTGATATATTCTTCATGTTATTATTTTCATATTTATCAGTTGTACTTTATAATAATACTATTATTATTACTATTAATAAATGAAACCATTATAAAACATTCGTCTAATTAAAATCTTAAAACTTATTAAACACGAGGGGCTGCGAGTACTGTTCCCAGACAAAGAATACTCCATATACATAAGACCCCGCACGGTCACTCCAGATATCCCTCATATGGACTGCTTCTTATAATTAACGTCTTAAAGTTCAAAATCGATCGCCTTTCAAATCGCCGACTATTGAAGGCGCATTTCCGTTGTGCAGATTTTCCGGGGAGCTGTCAGATCTCCCGCCCGGGCCTCGTGAGTCTCCGCCTAACATCGGCATGTTCCGACCGACCAGCCAAGCGAGACCTGCGACAGGCCGCGGACGAGGCCCGGAGACTGAGAGTTCTAATGACGCTCCATTCCGGGGGGAGGTCACAGTACATTGGTCACCGTTCGTAACAGTGTGTACGGTAGTCACAGAGAGCTGCGTCTGTATGTATGCGCCGTACTAGTGAACTTTGATAATGAACCGCGGGGCGAGTGTCCCGGGTGAGACCGCCGGGCGCCTCCCCCCTCCCCCCTCCCACCCTCGGCCGACTGCAGCAACCTTCCCCGGGCCAGGAAGGCTCGCTCGTCACACACAAGCTCCTCCCGGCTGCTGGTGTCCTGGTACATGTTGCGGTTTCCTCGAGCCCGGTTGTTGCTCCCATCGATTCCTTGAACCCGGACGTTCATTCATTTCGAACGCTAACTGCTCTCAAATGTTGATATCATAAAAGATTTGTAGGAGATTTAGTTCAGGACACGTTCCGTCTGTTATATTATAAGTACGTACATTTTATATTGCATACTCGATATTTAATTGTTCTCTATTATTTTATAAGCTCACTGTATTGTGAGAGCGTTCCATGTAAACACTTCAAATAATTATATATAATACATGCTTGAAGTGTACAATAATAATGAATAAATCAAAACTCAGACATACTTATAGCTGAGAGGATCCTTCAAACATAATTTGCTTTATGAGTTCTATACTTCTTATATTCCTACCTACACGTGTAATGTTATAAACAAAATGTTGTTTTTCCATTCTCATTAAGAAGATTATTCATTCACATATATATATCTTTCAGATGAAAAATGAAAATTAATTAATTAATACATTGAGATATAGGAATAAGGGAGGAAACGTGGACATCAAGACATAATAAAAGCATGACATGCCCCACACATGACGTCGGGACGTGACCATTACCAGTATTTAATGCGGGAATCAAAACAAATTTCACTCAGCTTTAAGCTCTCAAATTATTTTCCAATAAAAGCAGATCAAAGCCACGTATCACCGGGTCTGTTATTGGATTGTCGACCTTATCGTGTTGTAATACGTGTGACGCGACCGCTGGTGCAGACTCTTAAAAATTAAATAACGCACACGCGTGCAGGATAGGGTTGCAGGAGGGGTCCAGACAGAAAAATGCACTTGGAACCCCATGTCTAGACTGTAGACGGTACAGGGGACCTGCAGGCGGACCGGGGAGGCAGGACGATGGCAAGGTCGTCTGACTGTATACATATGGTGTTAGTACTACAGATGTAGGGTCCCCTAGGATGGAGGGAAGATGATCCTTACTGATATCATATCCATCAATGTTGCTGTCACAACAAAACAATTAATTATTTTTGCTCGTATTGGTTTAATATTTCTTTTCCTTATTCCATTAAGTTTTGAGAACCCTTAATAAGATTTAATTTAATAAGTACGACTAATACTATACCTATAATTGTAAGAATTTTCCTATTTACTTGACCACTTCGTTATCCTCTCTAGAATCCTGTACCTGTACAAACATTATACATTTAACCGAAACCAAGTATTTAGTTATAATTATAGTATTACGAGCTCGAAAATCACTTTGACTATAGAGGGAATAGGGATGGTATTCATTTACTTTTGTAAATGAGTTCTTTGAAGGGTAGTCGCGGGTCCACAGTGAGGCTGGTGTATAATTTAGTGTTAGTCTGGCTGATGCTAGACGTCTGAATACCTACAGCGAGGCAGACGAGCCGGCAGAGAGGGGTAGGTCAGTGACGGGTGACGCGCGCTCATAATACTGGGACGAGCGTATGAGTTACATGGTGTTACTGATAGATACACTGATAAATATTACGATAATTATAATATTGATAGTGTATATTCAATATATTTAAGAGTGTTTTATTAATTTTATTATATAAATAATAATTTTTGGCTATAATCACTTGTATATGTCTTATACATAGTTTTGTAACTATTATAAAGATTTCTATTTAAATGAAATTTTAAGTACTCTGAAAGAGTAAAACAACAAGACTCATAATAAGTAATTTATAAAATGTGAATAAAAATTCTCACTAATATAATTCCCCCTTTAATAATGTATATTGATAATAATAAATAATAAATCATTTTATTCCTGACGATACGTATACAGATCCTACGATAAATGTGTAACAAAATTATTATTATTAGACAAGGACATGAAAACATAATATGGCTTTGTCAAATTATTAATGACAATAATAATAATAATATTTAAAAAATTTATTACTTTAATTAAATTCGTTGTATACAGCTAATGCATTTTCATCATTCACAAATCATATTACTATCTGAAAGACGCTTGGAATATTGTGAAGACAAATGTAATGGGGTTGAAAAACTATTCCCGAGACAATATATCAAAAGAAGGAATAAAAAACGTCGTCTCTGTAGACTGTAGACTGTAGTCTAGACTGAACCTGGTATGCACCTTTCTTGTTTTGACAAAGCTTAACAACTTTATCTTGGTGCGTTTAGAATTTCGCTTCCATTTCTATTAAGACGAAAACACTCTTGTTATAAGTAATACTACATATAATGAGACTTCAAGTAAATTATATTATATAGTGTCTATTAATATTGATTCTGATTCCGTAGACTTCTATATTATAGAAAAGGTTCTATCAGGATATTCAAGTTGTTTGAAAATTTTACTTTTCACGGAAAAGGTTTAATAAAGTGTTGGATGTGAAAACTGCTAAATCAATCCCCTCATATAAATATGTATATGTCGTAGAGTGTATCTCGTAGCACGTCTACGAGCGTAGCCACAGTCACGTAGACCCGTCTACGAGCAGTCACCCAGTGAGCGCTCACTAACACGAGCTGAGCAAATATTAATTAGTGAACCTCATACAGAATGAGACATTATATATTGTACACACATAATATACATATACTATTAATAATTATAATACCTTTATTGAAGTTCTAACAGGCTTTTTTATATACTATACATATTATATGTGTGTGTGTCTGTCTGTATGTTCCCGTATCTCGGTGTCCGTGTGTCGTGTACCAGGGCGCCATAAGCCGCCGGCGGTGTCTCTGCGGCGCGGCGCATTGCAGGCGGGTGAATGCCCGCGCATTGATCGCCCCCTCCCCCTCCCCCGCCCCCACCCGCGCCCCCTCCCCCCGGCTTGCGTAACCCCCCTCCCCCCCCCTGTTATGTAATAGTGACGTGGCGTCATCTCTTCCGCGCAAAAATTTCACGTTGCGGTAGTAAGTCACAATGGTGATCTGAAATGTTACGACTGAAGGACCTATTGTTATATTATATTATATATGTAAGGAAATCATATAGATATTATAAAAAATATATTTTAATAAATTTGAGACAATTATTTTGATGACACGATGGCTCAAATGTACAGCTACTTGCACGAGTATAACCTTAGGTCACTGGTTCGAAATCGCCTCGTATCAATGAATATCAAATTGTAAATATTGTATTTTAACTCAATTATAACTCTACTTTAATAATGAAGATATAATTATATGAATTAATGATAATCATTACAGTCACTGTTCAAATGAATGACAACAGTAACATTAGATATTAATCTAATCATGTAATGTACTACATATACTATATATACTACATATATATATATATATATATATATATATATACATATATATATATATATATACATTTATTTATGTCTTATATACTTTATCAGTACATTTATATAAGTTTCATAGTATATATATATGCGTAAATAAATTTCATATATATATGTGACTTCAATAGCATTTTTTATATATATCAATGTTTTACAATTGTCATGTCATACTTCATTAAATATTAATTAAATAAGTAGAAAAAAACATGTTATTTCATATTATTTCCTAATATCATATCTCTTTTATTGTTTGCGAGATGATATGGAACAAACAAACAAACAGTTGAATAAAAAAACTTATATATTTCTATATACTTTAATAAATTTAGTTGAAATTATTTGTTATATTATTCACAGAGAGACATTAATCAAGTGTTTTCTTTTCATCGGGATTTATTTAAATTAATATTATGATATCAAGTACAGTATGTATAATAAATATATATATGTTTTTTTTTTCAAACGTCACCCGAACGTCGGAAGCCATTCTGTCTGAGAGGCTTCAACTTGAGATCACTTAAAATAATTAAAAATACTTTAAAAAATGAATAATATTTATTAATCTTCTAATCTCCATACATATGAAGATTTATATATGTATATTATATGAACGTCCTTATTATAACAATAGTATTTTTGAACAGTAAATATTTTGTATAACAATCCATTGAATACCAAATTGTTATTTAAAAAATAATGAAAACTATCCAATCAGTTCACCATACAACTGAACTATATTAGAACAGATTTAAATAACTGAAATACATATAAATAAAAAAAAACACATAATAACAATACAAGCTGACCCAATAAGATCACACAATGCACGTATGATATTAAAACAAAAGAGGAAGCTACGAGCCGTAGCCCGTAGCTGTGTAGCGGGGTTACGGCGTAGCACGGGCGCGGTCGGCGACCCCTGGCCGTGAACGGGGGTGCGCCGCCGACACGCGCACACACACACACACACCGCCGAGCCCTCGCTCACGATATACAGCGTGTTCAGTGTTCACGATGTACGGGAATAACAACTGAAATATGTGTAGTAACAACTAGACTATGGATATTCATGAATTTCATATGTTTTAATAAAAACAGCAATTTTATATTTCAGGAACCCTTTATAACTTTAACATTAAATTTACTTTTTAAATATAATAAATACCTATCTATATAGAACCTACTAATAGAATATAGTACAATATTTTTTATATACATATATTTGTATTCAGAGCTCCGTCTGTATATTGCTCAGTGAGTCTCGTCTCACCGCTCGTATCCAGGTCCGCTCAAAGCCTCGCCGGCCACACCCCCGTGTATACAAGGCGGCACGCACACATGCACACCCGCCACGACGACGCGCGCCTGTGTGAGTGACAGACGTGTACACACACACACAGACAGCCACGTTACACTAGTGTGCGTTCAGTACCGACGCTAGTGTGTTAACTTCCGCGTGTTATTTGTGTCACTCACACAACGTTCTGTGTCCTGTGTGTCTGTGTGTGTGTGTCTGTGTGTGTAGGGTGCATCGACTTTGCTTCCGCTTCCGCCGGGTACAACGGCCTCGGCTCTGATTTATGACCATTTGAAGGTTCGCGTGTTATTTTGACGTTTGAGGTGATTTTTACAATCATATTATTATATTATAACGTTTGTCGGGCGCGGAGTGAGGGGGCGAGGCCGGCGAAGGAGGACATGTTACAACTAGTCTAATATCTGTACGAGGAAAACTTACTAAATACATATTTATCGATTTAATATAATACATACTAAATATTTGACTTCTATTGTGGATCAAAACATCCTAATTTTTTATATTCTCTGTTTCATATACAGACAGAACCTTCAATACAACCTTTACATACATTATAATAGATATCTTCAATTTAGTTTTGTCGACCGTCATACAAAAATACTAATGATTACAATATATTCAAATTTATTTTCTAACTAATATTATTCCAACGTCTTGTCAAATATTTATTGTTATAATAAATTTTATAAGAAATTCTGAAATACTTTTCAACCGAATACATAATACATTATTTTGAGTAAAAAGCATTTATGAAAATGTATTAATTCAATATTATCTTTGTCATTATGAAACAGTTATATACATATGAATCTGTTAGAAAGATAATATCTGTTAAAATATATCGCAATGCTAGTTATATAAACAAGAGTTTTGTCTGAAATTAACTGACAAATATAATGTTTTAATTTCAACTAATTACATTATAATGTATTTCAAATATTATTGGTTATGAATCATTTTATTTATTTATTCAACTATTTATTAAACATGCCTGAAACATTTAAAACAAAATTCATTATGAGATTCAAATCCTAATTTACTTTACGCACATATTATGTAGTAATATGTAAGTGTATACTATCTTTATATATATAATTCTTCTGTGAGTGTGTATGTCACTGAACTTCTCTCAAACTACTGGACCGATTTTGATGAAATTTTTTGTATGTGTTCAAGGGGATCTGGGAATGGTTTAGATTCACAGTTTTGTCCGCTGGACAATGTTTTTTTAATTATTTTTTAATGTATTAGTAGTTGTTGATACAAACGTTTTTTTTTTACATTAGATTTGACAACTAACTAACTAATATGTCAATCATTCTGTCGCACTTCAAAACACGGAGATTTATGGCTTTAATAGCTAAACCCCAAAAATATAAATAAAAAAAATAACAGATATTTCTTAATTATAGGGCGATACGAAGTTCTCCGGGTCTTCTAGTATGTATGTATGTATGTAACTAGCCCTACACAAAAAAACCTTGCACAAATCCTAATGCAGTTGTGTGTAGCTTCCATTAAAAGTCCAATCTATCCGCTGAATGCTATTAAATATTAAATTATTCTCTTTTCCGCCTGTGCCTGTGTCTGTGTCTGTGTCTGTGCGGCCCTCGTCTGGTGCAGTGTTCAGGTCGATCAATGCAAGTCCTGCACGCTTGTTTGCACTCCGTCTGCACAAGGACCTATCAACTAAAGCTTCTAACATAAATAAAAAGCACTACAGATATATTGCAATATTCATACTGCTTAAATATAAGAAATATACTTCCATAACGTCATAATATTCTTTATGATACAAAATAATTTAATAAAATCTGTGATTTTCGCGAGTCATTTAAATTAAACTAATTTTTTGCGGATATACTCCGTAGAATGTAGTATGTAGTTTTTATCAATAATGTCGCGTAGTATATCCGAAAAATATTAGTTCAACTAAACAATTTGTTAAAATTTTATTAGTCTATTGCATATTCATTTCTTTGATATAAATATATTTTAAGTATTATCTTTATATTTTTACGTAATATAGTTGATATTGTTTTATAAAATAGAACTATCAATTAGAGCTATTTGTGATTTTTAATCAATAAATCCGCGTATCATTGTAAAGTCACGCCGCTCCAGACTATTGGTTAATATTTGTTCAGTCTCATGACCACTACACACTAGCATGAGGGATCCATATGACAAATATTAATATAGCTATATATATATAGCAAATACATTTCAAAAACTAGGAAACAATAACAAATATTTTCCCGTGATTTATATTGATTTCAACATATTTCGATTAGATTCTATGGTAATAATCGAATGGTGCTCCAAAAAACGTCGACCATGACTTTAGATTGAATAACTACGTAGAAATCTGAAAGAAAATACACAGAGTATTAATATAGTACAAGGAATAATATTATTTTAAAATACTACTGTAGTTTCATAATTATCACGAAATAATGAGAAGTCTCATCTGAACGTGATCACGGTTACTGCAAAGTAGTGAGTATGTAGTTTTCAAAAATAATTAAATATGCGTAAATATTAGTTTCATTTAAATAAACACTCTCGAGTTTTAGATCTCATAAATAAGGAATATTTTGAAAATAACGTTAAATTTAATAATTATACATAGTTTTAATATAAATTCTGTAATAAGTGTTCACGTATTTATTTTTTTCTCACAATCCATCATATTCAATCATGCTCTCAAAATTAACATATACACTAAGTATAGTGTTCATACTGTTTGTGTCGATTGATAATAAAATATATATACAGGTATACATACATAAAATATAAGAGAACTTGCAAAATGTTCTTTACGTTTTGTTACATTTCAAGCTAGTATAATGTGTCTGTATGTAACGCCAGTCAGTTCAAAGGTCTGTTTGCATCTCAAACAGCCGCTTCCAGGTTCCCTGGAGGAGATCATTCCTGTACACCACCTGTTCTGCCGCTTACCCGACCGTGCAGACAGGTGTAATGAACACACACACACACCCCTTCACCCATCACCCTATCATACACTTTAAATATAAAAAATATTTCTTACCAATTAAAATTTCCTTAACGAAATTATGATTATGATTTTTTTTAAAATTGTATTAAACTATTTCTGTTTAATAATATTTAACAATACCTAAATGTTAATACTCCGTGTAAAACAAGGGGATGATAAATAAAATTGATAAGATCTTTATTTGTTGTGGGCGTGCGTATATTAATTGTGAATAGTGTAAAGTTACCAGAACGATACAGCTCATTACACATGATGTATCTAAGCTGAGATTGATCAATAGGTCATCAGTATAATGAACACACACACACACACACAGACAACCTACTGTTTGAGGCTCACGCACACACGCACAACATTCGGCTGGGGTTCGTTGGCCTACATCGGCGGGTTTTGTTTATTTTCGCAGAGGGTTGAAATTAAAAACGGTGGTTCTTTTGTGAAAAACTTTTATTATAGTTAAAAAAATAATAATCATCTGAGAGCGAAAATGGATCTTGAGTTGAAACTCCGTGGCCCTTGATACGAGTGTGAATTAAAATGAAATTCTCAACTATAATGATTCCAAGCTTCTAGATTTCATGATAACTTTAAGGTTTTTACCTTATTATAGAATATTATTTTCAATTCTCCTTTTCCAACCATCACACCTTTTATAAAATAAGTAGGTATTAATTTATTCTACATTAAAAAAGTCAAAAATATGTTTCAAAATTAATCAATAAAATTTATTAGCTTGTAAAATCTTTTATATGTCTCAGCGTATGTCACACTCAGCTTTATAAAAAATTTAAACAATTGTTGGGGCGAGTCCGTACATGTGTTTGAATATTTTAAACATTAAAACAATATCTGTGTTAAATGTCAAAGTTGAACAATCTGTTTAGGAGGTCCAGTCAATACAACTATTCTAGGTCACAGAATGCCGTCAAATATTAAATCTATTTGTATACAAAATCCTCGGTTACTGAACCCTTAATGAATAAAGACTGAATTTAACTCCTTGATGCTTATTTCTGTTAAAAATTTTATTATTTAATTAATAGCTAGGTATATTTAAATTTATTAATCTGACACGGTGTACAATTAAATTGTATAATAGTTAAATTTATTCAATGTTAAATAGTTCAAAAGAAACTTAAAACATTTCAATTAAGAAGAGTAATCTTTTATTTGTATTAAAATGAGTCTAAAACTGTCACAATAAGTTTCTTTCTATTAATTTTGTTTCACTTGTATCTTAAATAAAAATAATATGAGACGAATTAAACAAATCAGTTATCAAAATCGATCCAATATATGTTTATTTTTAGAATAATGGTGTGGACTATGGTATTTAATTTGAATTTATGATAACTTCCAATAAATACTTCAAGCATAATTGTCACTTTCAAGAAAATCACGTATGTAGAAACAAAATGTAAGAAATAAAACAAATAGAACAACATACACATTTAATTAAAATAATATTTTATATAATCTCGTATACAAAACAAGTTTTGAAGACACACGACACAAACGAAACATGATTTGACTGAACTAACGGTTCAAGTGTTGGGGTCGCTGGGACCTCGACCTCGATAGCACCCCAATGACCCCATGCAGGTACCAGGCCACCATGAAACGAGAGTAATGCAATTGAACAGCACCACTGAATGTATAACTCAAAGGAGCTGCTCATTGTGGAACATGTAGGTACTGGATAAATTACAGTGAGGGACAGGTTCGAGCCGGTGGCCTATAGTCCTAATAATTATATTATTCATATAAAGTTAGTGACTGCTTTCTGCCGAAAACTTCTATTTAGTTCCATAAAAGAATTGTAATTAGAATTTTCTTAAGACTCTCAGTTAGGTGAACGAAATACATGTATATATTCACGTTTACTTGCCAATAAAAACTAGCAATATTACTCAGATTTCATAGTGGATTGGTAAAGAAAAAATCGGAAACACTTCCGGGTTTCTACAACCCTGGTAGAGAGGGAGCGCTATGGGGGCACATGACCTAGTTTCATGGGGCTCTTGGAGTTTTATCATCGATCCATAGGGTTGGCACGCCATGCTGTAATCACATATGTACAAGGTCTATTTCGTTAAGGAAAACCCGCGTTAAAGGTAATAAAAGATTTATTACACTTATTACCTACCTGTTTGATAAGCTACAAAGAAATCATTTATGTTAAAAATTACCAAACACTTTGTGATTTAATCAATTTTTATTAATACCTACAAAATGCACCAGAATGACAGTTTACAAATGTCGGGTTCTTTTGCAACACTATACGATACAGTATTTCATTTATCTTGTTATTTGTTGTTTGGTAAAAGTACTCATATTTTGTTTACTGCCATGTTCAGAAACCTCAATTCAATTCTTTCTTTGTCGCATTCATGTAAGGGTGTTATTATAGTGTATAAGTAGGTACGTACTAATTACAAAACGCAGGTGGTTTCGAGTCAAAAGCCCTCCACTTTGTTGCGAAACAACTAGAAAGTGAACTCCGTAATAATTTAAAAGTATTTAATATAGGTCAAAACCGTTATTTAATTATAGTTACATTATAACTATCATTGAGATTTTTTATACTTATATAGGTAGGTATAAGATGAATCATCGTTATAAATTTCATTCAAAGAAGTAGAAAAAATTTAGAACATCTTTTAATTGCCGCACGTGACTGCGCCTACACCTACACCTGGCTTAAATCTTTAATCTCTGCAGCTGCTTCATCGTCATTATCCTAGACATTTTCAAGAAAGGATAGTAAATAGACAACAAAGGTTTTATAACAAACGGCGCGGGTGTCAGCTGCGCTGCCATCTTGCGCCGTAAAAAATAGGCCAATAACTTCGATGCCAAAAAAAAAAGTTGAAGAAATGCTAAAGATGGCGGCAGGTGCACTGTCAGCTGCGCACGCACCTTTGTATTAATTGCGCTTCGCCCGAGCCATGTTTTATATTATTTTGCCGTACAACGTAATATTATGATGAAGAAATCACAGAAGATTAAATGTTTGTTACAATTTATTAACAATATCACAATCGATCTCATATCTAACTTATAGTGGTCGTTTTATTGATTTAATCTTTTGAAATGTTTCTTCCATCAATGAAATCAATGTTTCGAACATGTGATGCAATATTATAAATTTGTATATAAATTAGTAAGTAGCTAAGAATGTAATTAGCACTTTAAATACCAAACGATGAGATGCACGATTATGTTATTATACGTTCCTACATCTAAGATGTAAATGTGAGAATGATTTCAATTAAATTATTCATGACAGGAAGTGGTGCCACTACCATCAACGGTTTATGGTCTAAATGATCACTTAATATATAGCCATCAGGTGTTTCCATGTATAAAGCAGTGTATCTGTAGTCTGTACTGACCCACCCGACGCGACGCGGCGTCGTCTGCGCACGTGACCACACATCTGCCTCGTAATTGCCTTTACCTTACTCAAGCGCCTCGCGCCGCTGGCCGCCTGGTACCTTAGGTCGAGAACCCCACATTATGTGAGGAGAGGGTTAAAAAACTATGAATTAGCCCCGACCCGACCGGCCATCTGCTCAAAACACATTCACTGCCTGGGAACTTAATAAACAGGTAAACATAATATTATACCTGTTACTCTGGAGTCTTGTTGACAATAAGTTTTGGACATTGCGCAATTCAACATTTTAAAAGATCATAAAACATCTGTTTACTGTTAGAGTTATGATCCTTTAAACAATGAGACGGAATAAATAATTTAACACAAATGTTAAATACATTCTTTTATTTTTAAAACTTTGAATTTAATGTATTTTACATTATTTCATATATAAACTTTTATACAACATGTATGACACTATTTCATACAACGCATCAAATCCTAGCGCAAGACTACAGGTACTAAATGAACTAATACCGTTTCTAATAGGATGTCAGTCAAGAAAATATACTTCATTTAATCGATAACAACATATCGATAATTACGTTACTGGCAGCGGCGGATTTAACAAAGCGATTATAATTATCGATACTCATCAGTACCTCACTAGGACGCGGGAAAATTTTTGTATTTTTTTTTTGCTATGTAAATCCGCCACTATTTGAATGTGTTATTCGCGATCGCTTTAAAACTGTATTAAAATATATGAATGTAAAATACCAGTCAGTCTCTTTACCAATAGATTCGTAGTTTTTAGCTTTCAGGCGTGCTGTACAAATAAACTCTATGAAAAATTATTGCTACAATATAGTGACACTAAGGTTACAAAAACTATTTAAGAAATATCAAGGATTCTTAATATCTTTAATAGAGGAATGACATTAAATAAGGTTCCCAAACAGGTACGATTGTGTGATGATTTTATTAATTACATTTTCAAATTTTATCTCTATATTATACTAGGACTTCAGTCTTTGGCTTGACCTTTTATTTTAGATTTAAAATTTGAAATGCAAAACTAAAAATATCCTACCAGCTCCGAGATGTTCGCTTTACACAATACTTATACATAAATGATGGTGATGTTAACATTTTACAATTATCACACTAACATTCAGGTGATAAAACATTGTTTTATTGAAATTTTTCTAATAATCCCTCACTACCCACAGCTTGTGCGTGCGGTGTGCGTTTAACGTACATACATATAAAATTTTATTATAAACATAAAAGGAAATGCAAATTCATTTAATATGAATAAATAACATATCAAATATCAATTAACTACAATTCCGACTGAAATGTTTTCAAACTAATTATCATAGAGATTATATATTTATTTGCTAGTCAAATGGTTACAATCAATAGTATAGTAAACTCCATCAAAGGTCAACTGGTAGAACATTTCCGTAACAATCCTCATCTATCCACCATAGGAACTATATTTAGAAGTATTTCAGCGACACTTAGCTGTTTATTTCACTCTACATCTAATGAGCTTCAATATAAAGTGTTCATAAAATAACATCTGTCTTCCAACAACTATGTTATAATGATTTTAATGACGTCTGTACATTTGTAAGTTTCATTTATTTCTGTTTCTGATTACATTTGAACTAATGGCAATGGGGTTTTATGAAATAAGATTTATTTTTTTCCGAGTTAAATGTGAAAATATAATTCCGTTACATTATACATGGTGTGTTCTTACCTTCATTTTTTTGATAATGATTATATGTTATTAGAAAACAAAACATGTTAAACAGTTATTCTTAGTGGAACAATGTTACATGAGAGTACATATTGTTTAAATTGTTTATTTACCTATAATATCTCACTTTCAATTACTTTTCATTACCAAAGAATCAGTGTACAACTAATGATTTGTATGTCATATGAAAATACTATGTTTCGATAATTTTAATATCTGTTTTGTCATTCACTGGTCATTTTCGAATTGATCACTGATTCTCTGATAACAAAAAAATGTTTTCTACATTTTCTTTGACATTACAAATACAATTGAACCGTCAATTGCTAGGTCTTAATAATACATAAATAAATTACATATCTTTACAAAAATTTCTTTATATAAATCATAAGATTTTTATAAAAGACAGAATATTTTATAAGTATTAGTTGATAGAGGTATTGGATGTATCTTAGAATGTACATGAAATTGTTAGAAAACTGAACAATAATAAGTATCAAATTGAATATTCACATATGTGTATTGTGAACTTTTTTGTGTTGTGTCTATGTATACATAAACCATTAATGATTCTTTTTTGGTTTCAATGTTTTTAATCAGCAACTTTTCAATGTAAAAATGAGTCAAAGTCAACACACAGACACACAATATTCAATGTTATTATTTTATATCATACACTGTAGTGATATGGATAGAGAATTGAAAATAATATATTTAACAGTTTGGGACCCAAACATATATTGAAGGTCCAGAAAATAAAAACAGCAAAACTGCCTATAATTACAATATTTACATAATTTACAAGCATAACAGCATCATAGGTCGATTTTAATATGAGTTTATTTAAAAAAATGTATTTATCTTCAAAATTTTGAGTAATCTTAGCTGTAATTATTGACTTGTTGAGCATCTAATGATATTTTAAGTTATATAGGAAAATTTTGTCAACTGTTATCTATATATACACTCTACACTATGTATTTATACTAAATGGACTAAACCGTGGAATCGTCCACCTCACTCGGACAGTGTTAAACAAACACCATCAAAACTATATCCAGCAAAACAAAATGAAATGTGTCATTACATTTAATATACCATGACTATATAATAAATTTACAGTTGCAATACAAATAAAAGGCACACGACTCGACTGTATTATGCGGTGTATCTAAATGCATTAGCCAATGTCACAACACTAGTCACCGAGTTCACTGACACGACACTTCACTCTGCATTAATCATAGTCAATGTCTGTGTTGTACTGTCTCTCTCTTTCATTGGAATTTAGTGATGTGGATGAGTTCGTTGAGGTTGTTGAGTTGCTGGTCCTAGTCTGGGGCGCCCAGATGCCCCCTGTAGTTATAGATGAGGCGGGGGACATGGACCCCGAGCTGGTGTCGTTCAATGAGTCCCACGTGGTCATACGAGTGGGGAAGCGACGGAAAAAGGCGGGATGGGCCCCCGTCGAACGACGAATCACGACGTGAGGACGAGCGGCTGGAGATATAGAGAGATTTATATTAAGAAAAATGTTAAGAATCAACAGTTTATTTTGATTTTATTGTTATAATTTTAAACATGTCGTTAAGAGAAATGTTATTTTTTAGGACATTTGTATATAAACTACAACTAATATAAATAGTTTGAGTTTGTTTGGTTGAACACTCTAATCTCATATTGGTCTGATCTTAACTAAAAATATTTTAAAATTAAATAGTTCCTTTATTAAACGACTCTATTGGTGTTGGACTGACGGAAGCAGAGTTCTAATGAAAAACTTCATAAAAACTTACAAATTATATTAAAAACCTACTACCTATACCTTGTATTAAAACTAACTATTGACCTAACAGTCAATTCCTCACTGACACTATTCTGATGAGCCTATATACTTAGATTCTAGACAAACTAAAAACTAGACATGTCATAAAATATAACTCACCTATTCGAATCTGTGTCTCGGTGATACTGGGATTGGTGTTAGTGTTAGTGTTGGTGTTAGTATTAGTGTTGTTAGTGTTATTGGTGGTTGTGGTAGTTGTGGTTGTGGTGGCTGCCGTGGTGTTTGTGGCAGCGGGTGGTGGGTCTGGAGTGTCCGGTATTAGTGACCGGCGGCAGATTGGGCACGTGGCGTGTAGTTGGAGCCAGGGCGTTATACAGCTCTGATGGAACACGTGCTCACACTCTAGACGAGACACCATTTCACCTGGAACACAACCATGGAACGGTTAGGGACTTGTTACATAGAAACAGATAGTAAATATGGTGATATAAATTGTTATTTGGATGGTGGTTCGTCTAGATACACATTTAAATAACTCACACAATAGGATTGTATAGAAAAAATATATAATGATTCATTTTAGTCCCTTGAAAAATAAATTTATTTATGATTATGCGAAGGCGGGACTTTGAAGCCCTTTTTAATAGAATTGGTCTGAGATGAATGTCTTATTTAATAGAGTATTTTTTTTATAAATAAAAATTGCGTAAATCGTTTCATATTAAATTAGCATATAGAGACACATTAGTTATTATTTATTAAAAATTCAGCAAATACCTTTTGAAACTCACAAATTACTTTTTTTAAAAACTAAATAAAAAAAGACCAGAACATAACGAGATCTTTTCTATTATGGAACTTAAAACAATAGTCAATTATTTATGATAGCATTGCTAGAATATAGTAATTCATAAAATTGAGTTGTGTCAAAATTTTAAATCTAAACTATCGATATAGCATCTTGTGTCGTTATGTCAGTACGTGGGTAGGTCAAGCCTTACCAATCTGGAAGTTCTCCCAGCACACGGAGCAGGCGGCTTCTGCCCGCGCCTGTTCCTCAGTGACTGGCTCGCTTGGCAGCTCTGCCAGCCGCTCGCGGGGCAGCGGCGGAGGACCAGAGTGCTCTAACTGACCCAGGAGTTGAGTCACCACGGCGTCCAGACCTGCATACAGGAATATAATACATTATGAGACGAAACTTCACAGCATTCCATGGATTCACGACGAACCTATTTCGAGTGAGTTCGTTTGTGAGCACGTAATATTTGTTGACCTTGAACCGTAAGCTCTGTCATCACTACGCGCTTTAAAATTCGCGAAAACGAAAATATATCCGGTCTGGAGGCCGACGCACAAATATCCTCGGGGATTTTATATTGTTTTTCATATATAAACAGTCCCACAACGGATAGACAAACAGTCCAACGAAAATACATGTATTATATGTATACTTCCTTTTGTATTTTGGTGAACTGAGAACATATTTGATAAATTTTTTGTTTGCTGATCAGTACAGTGTTGAAGAGTTGTGTTAGAAATCATGACCTTTGATGTATAATGTATAGATCTACTGAACATTCAAGAAATATGTGTGTACATTCACCTACAGTGTGTGTGATAAACTAATGCTGACTCTATCTTCTCAAATGTAATCTATTCTATTCCGTTCCACTTCAATTACTATCATTATATCTGATAAACAATTATTCACATCTGCCTACATCTCGTCTGCCCGTGATCACGGATGCTGAAAAGTAGCCGAAACGTGGAAATATGAAGTTGTTTATCAAGAATAAAGTTGCGTAGTTCATCCGAAAAATATTAGTTTCATTTAAATTATTATATTCTTTACATTCTCTCTCACCACATATAATCTACCTACTGATCTGTTTCAGTTCTCCGCTCATATTGCTAGTAGTATCAAAATGAACAGTCGTAGAATGAATCTATATTCTATATGAAGCACCTTATCTACTTTCACGGCATGTGTAAATAGACTTGAATTTAGCGATAAAAGTATTTAAGAGTCTCAAGCCTAGGTCTAGTCCAGATCTATTCTATGTTAGTAAGCTATATGTATATATGTATAATATATACCTTCACCACCAAAGACATAGTCTCCTGGTGTACCGACGAGTACGAAGGGTGACCCGGCGGTGACCGCTCCCGCCGGTGGCCGGCCTCCTCCTATCATCCATACAATCTCCTCCAACAAGTTCGGTCTTCTCCCAGTATTACTGTTCGTGTTAGTGTTTGTATTGCCTCCATTGCCCGTACTATTTCCAGTATTACTATTAGCCGTCGTGTTCGTGCTAGTACCGTTTGGTGTCGCTGTGTCCGTTTGTCTGATAGCGCCTGTGCCACTGAAATTATTTATTATTTGACTAAAACATTATATATTATAGAAAAAAATTGAAAATACTTTAATGATAGTGTTATAACTCACCGTATTCGTCCACCGGACATTAAAAATGCCAAATCATTTAACATTGGGGGAGTTGCCTGTAAATGAAAAAAAATAATATTAAGTAATATTTCATACGACCAAACAAGCTGTATACTTTGATATATAGTTCATAAAATAATTAAACTGTAATTAAAAATTAGAGGAAAAACACAAATATAACAATATTGTACATATATGTATACATTAAAACTCTCTTAATACGATCTCTTAAAATACGTAATAGCATATCAGGCTATATGCCATTACTTTTTAAATCTATTCCTGCCTATAGACGCAATATGTACACGACGACTACCTTTCTTAACTCGAAGGAATCAAATAATTGCGTTCTATAATCTTAAACAAGACTATTTAAAATTTGGAAAACCCCAACCACTGAATCATAGCAAAAGATTAAATCTGTCTCGGTGTCCCTTCAAAATCGTGTTACGCGAGTTTTAATGTTTTAATCAATGCGGTGTTGCCATCTTCATCAAATAAAACAAAGTGACGAAAAGAAATAAATACTTAAACGTATATAAATATTCATGCACCCGAAAAGAAAGTATATCCGACCGAATAACGTTCACAGGTTTAAATAAAACATAGACATATAAATATATTTGTAAAACTTAAAAAGCATCTCCAAAAAGCGAAGCATACTTATTCTTCATTTCACGATCTCGTGAGAGAAAGGATTCACAACGCTTAATATTTGGCGGCGTATACTATAAGTATCATTCATGCATGATAATTTTTGTTTTATAACTATCATACAAAAAAAATATTAGAACAGACTTGAATTTGGCGATAACGGAACTATTTACAGAGACTCAAGCCTGGAACTAGTCTAGACGAGTCTAGACGAGTCTAGACTTCAATTTCAAGTCTGCCTAATATATCTACAACATGTAAACTCACTGTAATTCTTCGCACGGTCGCCCGACGACCCCCAGGTACCACCGAGTCGAGCCACTGCACATACTTTCCACAAAATTTTATTACTCAACAGCAGTCCCATATAATTTATCATAGATCATAGGTAATAATAAATAAAACGCAATACATTCCAGACTTTATTCATACAGCCTCAATACTTACCTCAACATTAAATTACTTAACGATACTTATTAATATCACTTTAACCACTTAACATCACGTTTAAACACTCCACTAACATTATCACTTCTTATTTCACTTGTATAGAATTTTCACTTATATTTATTGAAGCATAATATTTTTTTCGGCATGAGATATTTTCCTTGGTTTAACAGGCCTCTTGAACAATTGTCATCATACAAGTGGTAGTTCATATATAAATGTCACACTGCCACATACTATAACATTCATAATCTTCTATTTTTATTGAAGAAAAATACTTTTTGTAATTATACTAATCACTATGAAACTGAGATACATTTTTTTTTATCACCATCATTAAACACCAAGAAAAAAATAATACTTGTAAAAATTTTTGGTACTGGCAACAATTTCAAGATATATAAGTATATAAAATATGTATTAGTAAAATGTTTAATTAAAAGTGAAACAATAGTGCAAACAAGCCAAAAATATCTCCATACTACAAAATGCCTTTCAAACTGTTATCTTGTCATTCAAACCAAACCGCAACTTCATTGATATCATGTGATAACAAGTCAAACATAAATAATGTTATGCTAAAAATACTCTGATGTTAATAATAAATAAATATCAAAACAATATTTTTATGGATGTAGTACTAATTAGTAAGACACAGTACATTTGTTTAGAAATGAGATCTGCCTTTTAACAATGGACATCGGCCAACAAATGAAAATATTGAGAATATTGTTTCCATTGAACTGATTACTAATTTTAAGTTATGAATATAGAGTAATACCTCCATGACTATGTAAGGTATTGAAATAAAAATTGAACACAATAACAAAAATTGTAACTTACAAACCAATATAATTTAAATATTATAAATAATTTTCATAACAGGAGTATTTTGGATGCCATCTTTTATGTATGGCCACAAAATAAAATGTCTAAACATAATTTCTCTTGTAAATATCATTAATAGTAATACTTTACATCAGTATTCATAATTAAAAACTAATATTTTCACTTGTACAGCTATTAAATAATAGAAAAAGCCTTGTAGAACCGAAAATCTCTATTTTAAATAACTTTCAATAAAAAAGCACATTATAATAATTTTAATAAAACCCAATATAATACTATAAATTAAATATAATTTCATTATTGGCTGTACAAAGTTAGTAGGAAAATATTATACCATGAAGAGGGCTAGTCATGTTAGTCATGATGAAACAATATTTAAAATCATTCTAATAGGAATAAAGTAATTTAATTTAATGAATATTATAATTTATTGATGATCATAACAGAATCTAGTCTACTAGTTGTTGTGAATATTATTAAATGTTGTATATTATCAGGGATAGTGCAAAATACACATTAACTATCATTAGATAATTCCGTGTATCTACATTGGAAGCAGTTTATCTCAAGAATATTTATCTGAAATATTTTCTAAATTAACGACTTTTAAGGTAATTTTCTCACAATTAGTAATTATTTAGTGTTAAATTTATTACTAATTGTGAAAAAATTACCTTAAAAGTTGTTAATTTAGAAAATATTTCATCTCAAACTTTCTTCTGATAATCTGCTTCTAATGTAGATATGAGGAATTATCCAATGGTAGTTATGTGGATTTGTAATATCCCCGACGATATTCTGAATGTATCTGTGTATGTAACATAGAACTAATACTCACTCTCTGTGGATCGTCCGAGTCGTCCATGTTGCTCACTTCATCAATATTGCTCAAGTCATCGAGGTTGCTCATATCAGCATCACTGTGGTCGTCTCCGGACATCGTCACATTTTCCACTTCACTCTCCAGTTGCTCAATAAATCCTCCCTCACAGTAAGGGCATATGTAATCCTGGAAATGTATGATTTTTATAACAATTTAATTGATCGAAATTTATTGCTATAATGCTAATAAGAACAGGAACTCGCCATTTAATAAGAATGATAATACTGATAAGTTTATTTTTCAATATTGTAAAATATTTTATCCGTTATTTGTGTACCTATTTGCGACAACAATGTTTTTTATCGATATATTTATAATCTAATAGGATCATACGAGCATTCGGGATATTTATATGGGAAAATTATTACTGTCTGATTACTTTTTACGGAAAATTCATATGGAAGTTTTAAAATAGAAAAGATGATGTAACTGGGTGTAAATAAAAGGTGTTATTGTTGTATGTCAGGTACGCAGTATTTAGATTTTTGGATTTTGTGTAATGTGACGGAGACTTGTGGACCGGCTGCACCAATAGAAAAACAGAATTTAATTAGTCACACGACAATTCGTAAAGATTAGAAATTTCTACGATGACTATGACCTTGAAGCTTGTATAGGTCACTTCAGAAAAGGGAAGACTATATGCTGATTAATATAATAAAATATATATTGATTTTTACCTGCAAAACATCTTCAAATTCAACGAGACACCTGTGGCAAAAGAATCGAGTATTTGGTCTACGCTCCACCATAGCATCAGCCATTCTTTATGTTTATTCACAGACACAGTAATAAATAATATAATAAATTATAAGGGAAACAGGATCGTGCTTTCAATCAATGAACAAAAATTTAACATTCGCCATTTTTAAGACATGCACATTACTCTAGGTTTTTATTTTTTTATTATTGCGTAGATATAGACTTAGTCACACAGATTAAATATACATTACATCAATATTGACTATGTTCTTAAAAATCTTCCTATACCACTACAATGATTTTTTAAATATGTTTTATCACATATTGAATTACATTACTCTAGTAAAATAATAAAATACTTCTCAAACACACATTTGTACTTTAAATCTGGATGCGAAAACCACCATTTTGTTTAATAAGAAATGTGTTCTAGTATTGTAATGAAAAATATAAATTTATTTTTATTGTTTTATTTACTTAGTGGTTATGATATGTCATGTTTTAGGAAGTAATATGATTTTTAACATAAATATTTTTTCAATATTACATAAATATTTTTTTTATGTGGCAGCACTCCAAGTTCTGTCGTTGCGTCTCCGTCGGATCATGTAAATTGTAAATTTACAAGAATTTTATTAAATGTTATCTTCGTTGTGTTGACATCACTATTTAAAATGTTTTATTTCTCTATATGACATGTTGCATAACATGATTTAAAAAAAAGAACAAAATGTAGAAGCAGTGCAGCTATGATAAAATATACTAATTCGTGATCCGAGTGCAGTGTTCGTGGGGATGATTGTTATCAAATCTATCTTAAATAACTCAAATCATGTGGATAATTCTTCAAATATGTCTCTTTTGTCTTCCTAAACCGCTTATTTAGTTTGATTAACTTAATATCCAGCTAATTATAATCTGCTATAAGTTAAAGTGGGTCAACAGTGGGCATAGTTATTAAACCATATTGATTACAATGATGAATTTCAAGAGCTACATAAACGTGTCGCCTCTGGTAACTATATTATCTTTTGGTGATAAATAATAATTTATATAGGCATTCATGTTTTTATTAATGTATTTGAGAATGTTTCAACATATTTGTTGTATAAAACTGAAGGGAGCATATCTAATAAGAGAATTGGAAGGACTTTAATTCCCTTTTTTAATTGGCAATTTCTCTTTTACCTGTTTGGGATGTTTAGTGATCTATTTGATTTTTTTAATATTTCTGCACAATTGCACATAACATATGTATAGATTTTAAATATCATTGAAAGTGAAATTGTAAATATTTTGTGTCTTACAATTGTATGGGAGGTGGGAAATTTGTCAGCCATGGTTCATTCTGCTCCTAAAATTATAGTAGTGTCTTTTCTTTTACTTTGATTAGTAATTGAGGGAATCTAACATAATCTTATTTAAATTCTTATAAGAAGTTATATTGTTATTGGCACATACTGAGTAATAATAAAGATATGTTAGGTAAACTTGTTAAAACTTCAATTTTAACATCATTAGAATAATAACCATTAATGATTTACAAGTTTTATAGTAAACAAAGTGTTCATTATATATAATGTGGTCTACTAAATCAAAAGTTTCATTATTATCTCAAATATTCCTAGCATCTGGTTCAATAAGTATAATGAACTAAATGGTACTTGTAATAATGCCTAAAGCTAGATAGTTCAGTATCTGATTGATTGAAACTTATTAGAATTTGGCATATTATAATGATACATATTTCTATACAATAATAAATCATTTATAATATTTATAGATTTATATTTAATTTTGAGAAGAAAATATCCTATACAATTACTTCAGTAAAATTATAAGTTCTAGTAATAGTTTAAGTCTTACCTTAAAAATTACTGAATTTTTACAATTTATTACCATTTGTTCCTAATCAGGTAAATATTATATTACTAAGTTAATAGTTTATAAGAAATATTGTTCTTTTTTTAGAATAATGGAGACAAAAATGGATCTTTCCAAGAGTTGAAGCCGAAACTATTAAATGGTAAGTTTAATTATATTTTATACTGTCAGATAACTTGAGCCTTTGTTGGTATATATAGATGCTTATATGTATATATCAAAAAACTTTAGAAATCTATTTGTAATATAACACAATTTATATATACAACAAAGGAATATAAAATAATGATGTAGAAACTTCATATATTGCTGTTTTGAAACTGTTCTATATTTGTTGTACACTTTCTTAAGTAATTACTACAGATGTATTTGTAAAGTTAATGTAAATTAATTAAATGATACAAATATCACATAATGGATCATATTCCAGAGGTTGATAGAAAAAAAACACAATTGAATCCTTACAAAATTTAATCCTATTATTACCAAATCATCAAGTTTAAATAAAACAAATTTTATTACACAATAATTCAAAGCAAATAAAATAACATTTGTTGTTGAGTATTGTCCATTTTGCTATATTAAGAGGAGCTATAATTCGCATGAATAACATTTGGGTATATCTTTCTGTCTCGAAGAATTTAATCATAGTATTGAAATTAATAGACAATATTTTCTGTGTTAAGTAATATATGTATACAAGTTAATATAAATACTTTATCAATTAGACAAAGTAGTACCACAAGTCTGTAACGGCTTTATGTCTAGACTTTAATATACAGTCTCTGATAATGAAAGGGCATTGTCTGCTTTATATTCTTCTCTTATAATTGTTTCTTCTATTGTTAATACAAAACGTGAACACTTTGTTAAAAAAATACATGATGTTACCTATATATAGTGGCAATAGTTATATGGAACTCTCGAAGGTCATCTGATTCATCGTTACAATGATGATGCTGTAGTCGATGAAAGAAAATTAATTCACATAACTTTACTTGTTCCAGGAAATTTATATTTGAAATAATATTAATAGTAAAATATCTCCGTCAGGTGTAGTCGTTTATATGCGCCAAGCCAATCCTAGTTGGGAGCGATTACGTAAATGACGATGATAATTCAATTACGTATGCGTTACGTACGGCTAACTGTACCCCCGTTTACGTTCCGTTCTATAAAATATGGAGTTGAGTGATTTTGTTCTATATCACATTGATATTAAGTTGATAATCGACTGTGATTATTTCTTAACTTCTTCCCATAGAATATGGCGATAGAAAAAATAGTAAGCGCACCATAGTTCATAGATATCAGTTATATTGTAGTGTTGTGAAGTGATGGGGTTCCTGAGAGCAGGTGACTATTTAATTTGTTACTAGAATCTTAGAAACCTGAGAAACAAAATATTACTTCTTTGTCACCTGACGTATTCCCTTTATAGTTTCACATCTGCGTCATCAGTTTTAAAAGGACATATGCATTTAGATCGTATTGTCATTTGTGAGTAATAAGGTATCGATTTAAAAAATAAATCGCGAGCATTAAAGTGACGAATATAATATCTCAAGTTATGTCCGAAGATATGTTTCACGTGTTGCTGCGGTTTTTAAAAATGATTCATACATTTAAGTTAAACATTTTTTTGACTATTTGCTTGTTCTTGTAATTTTGTTACGCACGTACACCTTTAGCACAAATTTCTACTAACGTCACCAGAACAGATCTATGAGTAGAAAACATCGATACTGGTAGTTTGAACGTCAGGAACGGGTTTCAGTGCTAAGGTTTTTATGAGGTCAGCTATCAAAACGACTTCATGTAACTGTTTTATGAGCATTAATCAGAATGATTAGGGAAAACAAATAAATATTATGACGATTGTTATATACATAGAAAATTCCCCGTTACTTCCCTACGTTCCGTTATCCGCCCGGGAAGAACGGTGCGCAGAAATACCGATTAATACGACGTCAGGACCTAAGGATAAATAAATAAAATTATTATAATAGAAGTTTTTACAAACGACTATTACAATAATTATTTTAGTCCATACTATCGTACGGTCGCATTTATTTTATAAAAGCGATATCTTTTCATGTTTTTTGTTCAGTTATCGTGACTGCGCCCTCTGTATACATATAACTCAACCTTCATACTGACAAAGTCGGCAGATTTGAAATGTCCCTTATCTATTTTGATTTTTGGCTTCAATCTAACATAACAATATAATTAGTATAATCCTTAGTACACCTGATAATCGTTGATAATATGAAGCATGTTAAATATCAAAATAAATCGATTTTGATAACGATTATAATCGATATTTATATGACAAAAACAATGGGTCCAATGTCAGTGGCGCGGGCAAGGCCGGTAGTGAAACTTGAATAAACTATCTGTCAATGTTATAAAAGTTTCAATAGATATAAAGATTACTTTATAGCAATTATCTTTTATTTTTATTTATTCTTTCAAGTTCGTTTCCATTGCACTCCACGATAATTTTAAGCTTAGTCCGAGCATGCATCGTCTAACAACGTACGAAGCGTTTCTCATTTCACATTAAATTATCAATTTAATACTATAATGTGACAAGATTAATGAATCAAAAACTGTTAACTCTCCGTATGTAGTGTGTTAATGTCAACCTGTACTAAACATAATTACGTATCATGATTATATGTATAAATTTGTGTATTTTATTTATTAATTAATTTAGTCGGCGACGAATAAAATAATTATAATATATTTTTCTATGAATAAACATATTTTTTTAGTTATTTCTTTTTTAACTAATAAAGCCAAGATGCCATTTCAATATTCACCAAAAATAAAAGAAAAAACGGTTGATTATGATGAAATATTATAAACTTTAAAATTTTATATATAAAATCATTGATTAATAATTTGAACAACTTACAAGTTATTTTTTTATCTATTTATAGAAACCATAAAATTTATTTAAATCAATCGCCATATATGAAAGTTATTTTTTTTTATATAAGTTTCAGTACGAGTTAGTGTTACTTACACAATATTACAATATTGTACACAATACACATATATTTTATTATTATTATTTATTAACATATTGTTTGTTTATATTCCATTCCGTGCATTTTCACCAGGGAAATATATAAGTATTGAATATCTATAAAATGTAATTAGACCATTTAAAGGCCTCAGTCACCCATGAATGAGTGTTCGCGGTAGAGTTTCAGACTTGATTTTAAATGACTTACAAAATGGCTGAAGCTGGTATTTATAGTTTTCAAATATAAAAAGATACTTAAATGTTGCCATTACAAAATGAAAATGATTCAGTATTATTATTAATTATAATCTGTCATAAAAATAATTCTAAGTACTATAGTATATTATAATTAGTACGTCATAGATGGCGCCACTTGTAACACGAGTCACCGAGTGTGTATGTTTCCCAGGCGAGGTGATAGTGGGCGCCGCTCACAGCGTGGTGCTCCTCGCGCCGCTGAGCGAGAGGGACAGAGGACGCTTCGGGTCACTGTTCGTTACCAACTACAAGCTGTCCTTCGTACCTATGGATGGATCAGACGATGACGTGAGATAGAACACTTTAGTGAAAAAACATAAAAAAATGAAAGAAATATTTAAATAACTTAACACATGAGCAAACTGTCCAGATTGTATTAATTTTTGATTCAACTGAAATATAAGTACGGCGACGTTAATGAAATGTTATCATTTATACAAATAGTAAACCTATAGTTAATACAATGAATCTGTGGATACTTCAACAAGCACAAATCGAATAACACCCTTAAGATCTGATATATATTTTGTCTAATGATATAATCGTATATTTCAGTACCCCGGTCAGAGGAACCACCTGGTGGGGGTACACGATGTCCCTCTCACGGGTGTGGGGGCTTTATGGCAGACGGACGGGGGACCTGCGAGACGACGACGGCTACAACCACGCTCTGACGTGCCCGCTAAGCTGAAGGGACTACAGGTTGTTTGTAAGGTAGGATAGAACATTACTAAACTTTTTTTTTTAATTTTTATTAATACTAATCCCTCTGACGTGGTCAGAGACCTTTTTTGCTTCGACACTTTCATTCCAGTTCTATCTTATTTGAGGGCCTTTCTTTCCGCATACTATATTTCTTTCAAGCATCTCTTTCATTCCTAGGTTATACCTTTCCTATCGTGTACCTGACTTATACTATTTTTATTGCAGTGGTATTTCCTAGGAAGTTTACATCTTTTATTTCTTATAGCATGTCCTTAATGACTTCACACATTTTCACTTTATTTTTAACAGTTGCAAAAGTCTGTTTTACAATTTTAATTATTCAATTTTACAATTTTTGCCCTAATCCTATTTTACATTTTTCATTTATCTTAAACTTTACATTACATTTATTTAACGACATATTTATTTTTACATTTACATTTAACATTTGGCATTTTACCTTTTAACATTTATTTTTACATTTAACATTTCAACATTAACATTTTAACATTTAACAATTACTTTCAACATTTTGACATTTACTTTTAGACCCAGTTTCACCAATTAATTATGTTAAATAAGTTACATCGTGTTAAGGCGTTTGATGCTCTGTTAGATGTATCGAGCGTCCCACCACGCACAAATGTCCTTTTAAATGTCTTAACCAGCCACTAATATTAGTTCCTGCTCTGGAGCTCCGTCTAATGGCTAACAGAATGTTAATGCATTGTCAAAACTCAATTGTCCAATCACAGCCCTGATTTCTTGTAATCATAGTAACCTCAAATGTTTTGTCAGTTTCGACTATTTCCTTGTTATTATTAATAAAGTAAATTAAAATTTCATTTGCTAAGATGATTTTGCCTCCAGCTTTTCTATGACATTGCAAATTAAGTTTTCTTTTTATTTCTTATAATTTGAACACAATTTATGTCTATATTTATAACACAATATGTAATATATAACACAATTTATTGACAACACGATTTTGACAAGTAACACCTTTTTTTTTTTTTTTTTTATGTTAGTGGTGGCAAACGGGCAGACGGCCCACTTGATGGAAGGTGGTTACCGTCGCCCATGGACATCTGCAACATCTTTGTTGCGGAGGCGTTGCCAACCTTATTTTTTTAGGGATAGGGAAGGGTGGGAATAAGGAAAAAAGGCAAGGTTGGGAAAAGGGAAAGGGCAACCGGCTCTCTCACTCATCGGACGAAACGCAGTCATTACTGACTACTTCACGCCGATCTTCTGTGAGAGGGTGGTACTTCCCCGGTCGAGCCAGCCCATATTCGAGCTGTAGTAACTTAACCACAGCTAGGCTCTACCACCTGTAAAAGTAACACCTAGTAAATTGAAAAGAAAGCTTTTTGTGTGCTAAATGTATGCAACCAACGATATATAAAATTTGGTCGCATTAGCTTACAAGTGACGTATCGAGGGATATATACGATTAAAGTATAAAGTGGTGCGTCGTGGCAAACGTGCCGTATTAAACGCTATAGTTTCCACTTGGTCGTCTTATAACAAGAACGAATAATTTGGCAGTCGGTCATTTGACATGATGTTTAATAATGCGTTGTTATTTTGTCATCGTGGGACGTAAATATTTTAACAGACATTTATAATTTTGAAGGTTGGTTAGTAAATGCTGTGATTAGACTAAACAAACATTGATTGGTAAAACTGGGTCTTAAGATTCTATTTTAACATTTAAAATTACATTTTAAGTTGGGCATTGTTATTTAATTACTACATTATTCTATTTGCAGGAGTTTTCACTACTAAACGTTGGAATCACTATGATAATTCGTTATTTGATATACATATATCTTTTTTGTGCCATTCCAGAACATGAAGGTGTTGACGTTCAACTTCGCCAACTCCCCGATCGGCAGCGGGCGCAAGGTGGCCATGACGCTCCTGCACCACTCCTTCCCCAAGCGGCATCACCTGCTGTTCGCCTTCGAGTACAGGGAGCCCTACTACCCCACCCTGCCGCCCGACATGAACATGTTCCAACGACCCGGAGACTGGAAGAGGGAGCTGGAGAGGTGCGAGTGTCCGCACTGGAGGATCACCTGCATCAACGGGACCTCGGACGGGTTCATGTTGACGGCGGGAGAGACCTTGATAGTGCCCAAGTCCGTGTTGGACTGTAACCTGATCGAGTCCGCGCGTCACTTCCGCTCGGGCCGCGTGCCCGTGTGGGTGTGGGGCAGGAGGGAGGGCGCCGCGCTGCTCAGGAGCGGGGAGCTGCTGCCCACCGACCAGGCGCCCACCGCTGAGAGCGTGCTACTGGAACAGGTGACACTCATTCATTTTCCTAAAATAAAAATAAATTATATGCACCCTTTTTTTTTTCGGGGAGAAATCCGCTTACAGACTACCCACTGCCCTGGCTCGACAGTGGGACTTGTGTGGGGGTCGCCCAGAGCCTGATGTTGTTGGCCCTGGGAATACCCACTAAAACTCCCCGGCTTCCCTTCCTGCCCGTATTTGGGGGCGATTTGGGACCTGCTATGGCAATTCACCAATTCACGCCCTGGCAAATTATTTGCACCCTAATGTAATGTTTTAAACCTCCCCCCCAGGTCCGTCGCTCGCACCCCAAGCTGTCCCCGCCGCACGTGATCTACCCGTGCGGGAACCCCTTCACAGCGCCCCCTCCGTCCTGCCTGCCGCCCCTGGGGTCGCTGCACGCCGCCTACAACAAGCTGGTGGAGCTCTGTACACCGACCACACTCAGCGCATTCTGGGTAACGTGAAACAGCATCCTCTCATCTATATATATAAAACAGATTTCCACCTATATATTGACTCATCACGATATCTCTGGAACCATAAGACGTAGCGACTTGAAATTAAAATACGCTTTCACGTCTAAACCACTGAACTGATTTTAATGAAATTTGGTATAGATAGAGTTGACCTTGAGTAAGAACATGGAATAGTTTTTATCCCAGACTTTTGAAAGGTTCTCTTGGAAACGCGATATAACCTGACTCCACGCGGGCGAAGCTGCCGGCGGAAAGCTAGTAATTAATATAATTCTACCATCTAAGCCATCTAATTCTATATCATATGTGTAGATGCAAGACTCCCAGTACTACTCGATCCTGGACTCGTGTCGTTGGCTCCGTTACGTGTCAAGTTGCATCTCGTTCGCAGACGAGGCCGCCTCACACCTAGAGAACAACATCACGGTCGTCTTACAGGAAGGTACGTGTGTGAGCCGCCTCATCGTAATAGACTATAATATGTTCTGTAAATTAAAACCTAGTTTTCTGTTCACTTTACGCCGAATTATAGACGTTATGACGAATGACAATAATGTCATTCTACTTAAAGTCTTTAAAGATAAAAATTAATAAATAGTATAAAACAATAGTTATTATGTATTAATGTATTTTTTTTTTAACTCCATGAACTCTAGGGTCCATGCCCTTTTTAGACAACAAAATTTAATTTTACAAGATATTTCTTAAGAATTAGCTCTCAATTATATTTTTGATGGTATTGAAGTCCCTCGATTTGATTGCCATTTTGATGTTGTAATTCTCGATCTGCTGGCTGGTTGCTGTTGTTGATATAGTGACGATTTTTCCCAGTGCGTCTTGATGGTTATCTGCATAGTAAAAGAAGGCCTTTGTGTGTCTGGACATAGCTACTACCGCGTGGGGCACGCTGTTATGCAGTGAGCAGTTGGTGGGGCTGCGTTTTATAACTACGACGATCTCGCTGGTTTGACCTTGGGCTTCATGAATAGTCATGGTGCGGGATTCTTCTCCAGTTCCGTATCCTTCTTGCAGCAGTTCAGATTTCTCTTTCTGCGTGTACGTAAGGTAGAGGGTCCTAGGTAGGTGTTTGGGTATTTTCGCACCAGTGTATTCCTTCAGCACAGCGGATTTTACTATCCCGTTGGAGGAGTAGATGCCGTCATAGATGTCTTTGAGCGCGTAGGCTACGTCCATAGGGCAGCGTCTGGTACACAGTAGTTCCTGATTTATATTTGCCAGATGTTCAGGCCCTTTGTAGTACAGTCTGAAGAGATTTTCGCGTTCAATGAAGGGGAGTTGGTTGATGTCGCCGATCAGCAGAACCTCGCTGGCATCAGTGATTTGTTGTGCCATTACTATGGAGCCAAAGTGGTTCATAAGTGCCTCGTCGATTATTAGTCTGTGTTAATGTATTGTCATCGTCATGTTTATATAATGTTCGCATAAACTATATTTCCAACATAAAGTGGTCAAGTACTTAAAAATACATGCTTACATTTATTGTTATGTAATGAAACAAACATAAAAAAGTTTTTCATCATATTAGCAGATAGTGATTACTGATTAATAAGAAACATTGTCATATACACAGGGAGCTTGTTCAAATCTATCAATCAGTATTCTACCACATATAACTTCTACGAAAAGTTCTATCAATCCTCTTAATTATCTTTCATCATGACTCAACCTCCCTATATTAGTAACAATATTGTATATCTGTGTGTTCGCAGGTGACGGTGTCGACTACAGCGCCGTCGTATCAAGCCTGACCCAGCTGCTTGTGGACGAGAGCTGTCGTTCTCTGTCCGGCTTCCAGTCTCTTATCCAGAAGGAGTGGCTCGCTCTAGGACACCCCTTCTGTGACAGGTGCTGTGACGTCACACATATATCCCTCCCCTGCCTGTGTATCTAAACTTTAACTCCTTCTCCTCCCCAGGTTCGGCCTGCCGCCCCCCGGCAAGGAGTCGCCGGGCGCGCCCCCCCGGCCGGCGCCCGTGTTCCTGTTGTTCCTGGACTGCTGCTGGCAGCTCCAGCGCCAGTTCCCGTCGTCGTTCCAGTTCTCTGAGACGTACCTCACGACCCTGTGGGACTGTGTCCACAACCACGTGTTCGACACCTTCCTCTTCAACTGCCCCCGGGACAGGGAACTCGCTGTGTCTAATGTGAGATATATGTACATACCAGTTAGTCTGGTTTTTCTAACTGCAGAAAAATAACTATTATTTATTAATTCTAAGACTCAGTTTCACCAATCAATGTTTGTTTAATCTAAACACAGAATTTACTAACCAACCTACAAAATTATAAATGTCTGTTAAAACATTTACGTCCCACAATGACAAAATAACAACGCATTATTAAACGTCATGTCAAATGACCGACTACCAAAATATTCGTTCTTGTTATAAGACGACCAAGTGGAAACTATAGCGTTTAATACGACACGTTTTGCCACTTTATACTTTAATCGTATATCTCCCTCAATACGTCATTTGTTAGGTAATGCGACCAAATTTTATAAATCATTGGTTGCATACATTTGGCACACAAAAAGCTTTCTTTTCAATTTCCTAGGTGTAACCTGTCATAACCGGGTTGTCAATAAATTATGTTATAAATATAGGCATAAATTGTGTTAAAATTATAAGAGGTAAAAAAAAATAATTTGCAATGTTATAAAAAAGCTGGAGGCAAAATCATCAGAGGAAATGAAATTTTAATTCACTTTATTAATAAGTACAAGTAAATAGTCGAAATTGACAAAACAGATGACGTTACTATGGTTACAAGAAATCAGAGCTGTGATTGGACAATTGAGTTTTGACAATGCATTAACATTCTGCTAGCCATTAGACGGAGCTCCGAAGCAGGAACTAATATTAGTGGCTGGTAAAGACATTTAAACGGACATTTGTGCGTGGTGGGACGCTCGATACATCTAACAGAGCATCAAACACATTAACAAGATGTCACTTATTTAACAATGATTGGTGAAACTGGGTCTTAATTTATTAATAACTCTATGAAGTATAACATTTATGTATCTATATTTTATTTTATAAATGAAATTGAAACGGTTTAAAACATGAAAGAACTCCCTCTTGTTATTTATTCAGAGGAAGCACTAATTTGTTGACTTCATATATTTGTAGAAGTTCATAGAGCGCCCTCTGTGGGACTGGGAGGAGCAGTTCTCTGAGAACGACATCGCGCTGTTCTACAACCCGCTGTACGTGGCTCTTAAAACGCCCACACCGACACAGAAGATGGGTGAGTATTATTATTAATATAGCAAAAATTATATATATTTTTACGAATTCAAAAGAGATCTTATGTATACCGGTACCTCATCTATTCGACTGTACTTCTATGTATGATGTATTAAATATAATATATGTTCTATGTACGTGTACAGCCAAGACCGACCGTCCCCTTCGTCGTCTCCAGCCGTGTACGAGTGTAGCGGCCATGGAGCTGTGGTCGCAGTGTTACGAGCGGTGGCTCACTCCGCTGGACGTGCCGCGCTCAGGACACGTGCACTACCACTTGCACCACGCGGGGCTGCTCAGACAGGTTACACGCACACACACACACGGACACAGAGAGATATATACTTATACTATGAGTATAGTGTTTGTAACAAATACTGATAGTAGGTAGTCAAATAATGTTTGTGACAGTCAGTCTACGTTGAAGCAGTGAATTGTATGCCATAAGTTCATTGTTTTATTGAACATAACATTTTGGCGACGAATTAGCAAAGCAATCCACGCATTAAATAGTGTTTTTGTGAACTTTGTTATTAAAAATATAATGACGTCGAGTTCATATATAATGTTTGGTGGAAATCTCGTGTACACATAACCAGTTATTCGTTTCTGTCTACAGATCCACAAGTTATCGGAGCGCGTGTCGTCTCTGTCTATCATGAGTCGTGAGTGTAACGGCTCGGAGTCTCCAACGAGCTGTCCGCCGCTTGTGAGTCGCTTCTATCCCTTCAGTTCGCGAGGTGATGACGCGGCCCGAGCCCTAGACGACATGCAGCTCACACTAATAGACGCCAGCGACCTCCTCGACTCACAATCACTACTCAACGCGCCCGACTAACACACATACACACATTGAAGTATTATATAGTAATTAATATATCATTTCTTCATTTAAAACTCGATTTCACCGAAATATTAACGATCGTTTAATAAACATGCTTGTATCGTCGCTGTTACCAGACGACTTAGATTTTATGATGTCATACGTGTCCTGTATATACGTAAAGTTAAAATATAACGGTGGTCCGCTGTTGATTTGATTGTTTCAACAATATTTTTTAAGTTTTCTTCATATCAGCAATTACTGTTGAAGTAAAATGTTGTGTTGGTTTAAATACGTTACAGCGATGAAGTCATCATGTTTGATCATCATTACTTTAAGTTAAACACTTTTGTACTTTTAATGTGGAAGACAATTATGTAATCACAATATCTTCTGTTACCAAGCTATTTAAAATTAGTTTAATATTTCTTTATTAATTCTAGGTTTAATAACGACAGATGTAAACCATGCATTCATACTATATGGTCATAAAAATATTATGTGTGATTTATATAGCTATTGTGTGTATGTTTTATATCTGTCCAGTATTCAGGACCAAAATTTATTTATTACATACATTATATTTTCGTTGTTAATGTGGCAGCTAATTTGTTGTAGTTTATTATTATAAATAAATTAATATATTCCGATCCCCTACTCCCAGTAGCGTGAGAAGACGAAGTGACGCCTCGTCTGTAGTAATAACACTCGGTGTGAACAGACGCCCGTACAATGATTAACATATAACGATACTGTACAAAATAATGTACATACAATTATTATAAAATGTATAATATGAACGTACATTGAAATATTAACAAACGTTATGTATGACAAGTTGAACCGAAAGCCTGATGATGATATTTTATTGTAATAAAACGAGGGTAACATACTTCTTAAATGTTAATGCAATTATTTTTTTTATTAAAACATTAATGATATACCTGCCAATACAATTAATTTAGTTTTAGTGTCGTTATATCCGTAGGTAAGCTGGTATTGGTGTAATTAATATTTATAGGAGCTGTTACTATGTATATGAGTGGTGTATACACTGTCGCATGTTATGTGCCATTTCGATCGTAATGGTTCTAACGACCCAGTTATTTTATAGACGACGTAAACGATGTTCAAATAAAACAAATACCCTCTCATATTGTTTTACTTTCCTCTAATGAAATACTATTTTATTTACAATCTTCCTACTCATCTGACACAAACATTTTAAATGTCTAATAAATATAACTTGTTTGACATATGTCCAAAAAATAATACTTTCAAAAACTTAGTGTCACTTTTAACACAAATGTTCGTAGTTGTTTGAAGATATTTTTGAAACACTTCCATCGGTTATATTATTATTTTCAACTATGTTCTATGTCGTCTTCTGCTCAGCTTGTTTCTGAGCCTTAAGCCTCTGTATCTTGTCGAAATGTTTCTTAGCGATACGGAATTTGTTGACTAGCAGCGTGTGTTGCCAGCTCCACAATGATAATTTCTGTGGAACTCCACATTATTACTATCAATATTAATGTGATTATAAAAGGATAAGTATTTAATAATAAACAAACAGTGTTAACAAATATTTATTTATGCCATCTAATATGTTAAAACAAACATCTCCTCGTCGAACACAACCGCTATAGAAGCACTACTAACAACCGCTTACACTTTATGTACAGTTAAATAAAGTCTTTTAATAATAATTTTCTCACACTAATCCTCACACTGAGCAAAACAAATATTTTCTTTGGAATTAGAAACTTTAAAACCGTAATTAATACATAAACAGAAAATATAATTAAATGCTATGAAAAATGCAATTGATTAAGATCTACATATGAATCTCAATGTTGCTAATAACTAAAAAAAAACTATTTTTTTAAAGAAAACTCTTCGATTTTAGTGTATCAAAATTTTGAATAAGTTAAAAGAATGAGCTATGCACTACAACATATTTCAATCTGTTTCTGACGTATGAAAAACTTAAACAAAATAATTGAAATATAACGAAAACCCCCTATTTCTGTTATGACCCATGCTACCTACATGTAAAACTGAACTCTATTCAAATAAACAAAAAAAAATACAGAACGGCGTGCTGTCATCAGTCAATTGTCTTCTTCGTTTTCAAACATGTCGTTGTATTCTTGTGAGTGCTCGTAATCTTTCATGTCCTGAATAAACATGAACAGGTCAGTACAAATACAATGACAAGTATAGGTTTTATATTGTAGGTATACATATATGTATATAATGTTACTAGCATCATTTAAATCAATTTAATATACTTCCAGTGGGTAGTTAGAATTAAAGAAATTTTTCTAAATAAATATAGTTTTTAAATGATAGTAAAGAATTTAAGACCGTATTTATTTAATAGTAACTAAAAACGTGTCGTTAAGGATGTGTAAACTAACCTTTGCTTGCCCAATCTCTTTAGTGCGACGCATAAACAAAAATAGAAAATTAAATACATGCTCATGGGAGAGAGTGCATTGAAGCATGACTTAACCATGCAAAACACAATGATAAAAATCACTACTAAAAATAAACATGATAATTCGTGATCATGATATAATAAGGAAAAAAAATAACTTTTCTTTCTACTAGTCTGTACAAGCAGAAACAGTGCCAAGGTTTGGGAAATATTAAGTTTATTATAATTATTTATATAGCTCAAGAAATTCCCTGAAACAGATTAAATTTTTTGCCACTGTCAAAAGGAAATCTCTATAGAAAATGTATCGATTAGATTTTTATTACGTGTAACCATGGATTACAATTTTAAAACTCAGTTTGAACTATATTTAGCACTTAAGACAATAACTAGTGCAAGGGAAAGAAAATATTTTATTGATCCAATAATACAAAAAAGGATTGCCAGAATTAAAAAAATGGCAATAATTAAAAAATAAACAGTAAAAATCAGTAAGGTATCTTTAAGCAGAATTGGCTGACATTGTATAGTGTCCAAACAGAAGACCTATTAAAATAACTGGCTTAAAGACACCTTAAACAAAACTGGTTTTAACTAGATGAGGACAGACACTCAAAGTTAGCAAAATCATTGTAATTGTGACAACGAAAAGATCACTTATAAGCTAGAAACACAACGTTTCTCACACTGACATATTAGCACATAAAAACAAAATATCCACGATCTCCACAATTATATTATCAAAAAAGAAAGGCTATACGATAAATGAATTATAGGTTATACCAAAACATGAGAATTTCAAGGTAAACGGTTTCGCTCGAAACGTTGGAAGCATCAGTTTATATCGCTCACAAAATCAGCACGACATGAAACTTAGTAGAATGAATGAGAATAGTAATACCTTAGTTATCAACATGGCGCATATTTTGGAGGTCTTGAAAATACTCCTAAGACATTTAAACGAGATTCCACGACAGACAAAAGAAAAGTTAACATATTAAGCTATACATGAAGAGAAGCGTGTAAGCTAAGGCGGCCAACCGTCCCGCAATTCTAGACGAAATCCCGCTTTGAAAATATTAGTAAAATAGTCCCGCAAAACGTTGTATGCGTCCCGCATGTCCCGCATCCCTATTCTTCTACCACACTTCTACACAACACCCATACCACGGTCAACAGTGCAGGAACACAGATTACCTATCGCAAGACAAGCGTATCGCGCCCGCGCTAATCTCGTTTTCTTTCTTTCTTCTGAACTCATGACGCGTAAGAGAGTACGGAAATTTACATTATGGACATTCCTCATCCCTAACACCCCCCCCCCCCCATTCACGAAAGGTTAAGTCCCGCATTCAGTTTTCGGAAAGTTGGCCGCCTTAGTGTAAGCACGACCTGAACTATCTTCAACCGAATCTTACAAAACAACACAAATAATACATCTTCATAGCCACTGAAATAATAATATGTTCTGTTATCATATCATTAGTACCTGGAACATTCCCGTAGCGAGAGCGTATCCCGTCATAGCGAGCGTCGCGAACAATCCCGCCAACAACTTGTTACGAGTAGCGTTAGGGAACTGAGCCTCGCCCGAGGTCTGAACACCCGACACACGGGTCGATGACTTCTTGTACTCTGGAAAGTAACATAATAATATTATTAACGTTCACTTGAATTGAAATACACTCTCAAAGGAAATTTGATGAAATGAAATTTATTATGTAGATACTAGATTTATTATGTGAATTCTAAAAAATATGTATACATAAAAGTAACATATACATTTTGAAGTAAAACTTCTTTACGCACGCTTGGGGGTAAACTGGTGAAAGCGTTACGAAAATTGTGATCGGGCGAGGCGAATGAAAGTGAGAGGGAGATATAAGTTAGTGAAAATAGATAAGTAGAGAGTGTTACGGTTCATGGATCATCATCATCATCATTATCTGTATTATACATACATATATAAATAGATTCATATACATATTACATATAGATGAAACGAAAGAAGTATTACTTCAGTTGTGTGGTCTACAGCACACTGGTTTTTTATTTTTTTATATTTCACAGTAATTAATGCTAAATTTAGAATTAGTTTTTTAGCTATTTTTCTAATCTGGATATATGGATAATTTTTGTTGAACACAGTACTACAAATGAATCAATTTTATTTCTTGTTTTAACTCAACATCATATTGATCTAAAGGACCTATCATAGTATATAAAACAAGTATATTTCACACTTACCATCTGTGACAGATCTAAAATTTTTCTGGCTGATTCTAGCCACAAATCTACTTAAATTTGCTATACCCTTCACATGATTAGACAAAGTCGCATTGGGGAAGGGAGTCTTTACAAGGGGAGCGAGGTAAGCAAACACTATAGCATCAAAGGAGGATGGCCGGTTCCCAAAGAAATATTCACTCTCACCGAGTCTATCTGAGAGTGTTTTAAGACACTTCTCTGCTTCATTGTATATCTGTAAATAATATTTATACAATTATTGTGTTATGTTTGTAATTGTAGTAAAAAAATAAAGAAGGAAGCCAACAAATACAATAAAAAGCACCAATATATTGCTTAATTTATATGTTATAAAATTCATAATATTCTTAATAAATATTGTTGAAATATTTTATTCTTAAACCTAGTTGGCTACATATATATTACTTGGAAACACATTGTTATAATAAAGTTTTAATTTTCTATTCACATTTATTTTTTTTTAGGTTATAGTTGAACTTACAGTTTTTTCAATTTCCTTTAAATCTGTGTTTTCGCCATACAATGCATCTACCATATCTTTAGCTGCCTTTTGGTATTTTGATGGGTAATAGAAATTAAATGGTAATTTTAAAGCTTTAGCGTATGCGGGTCGTGTGATGTCTCCATAATTCTTTTCATCAACCCACCAAGTAAATTGATATGCGGGATACAGCTTGTCCCTTAAATATTGAGTAAATGCACTAGCTTCAGCTGACTGATTTGAATTTAAATGGACATCTGTGCTATAATGCTGCAAAATAATGTAAGTTTATTAAGTTACTTACTGAATATATTTAAAAATTAGTTTAAATCATAAGAAATTTAAACATTTCTCTGAAAAACATCAATCAAAAATTATATTCATAATATTTCCATTAAAAAAAAAAGATTATTGTAACTGAAAAGTATTAACTCACCAAAGACTTAAGGTATTGGACTACTTCTTCAAAATTTGTAAGAACAGTTCTACCATCTTTCATGACTGGCAAGGCTCCTTTTGGCGTGAAAAATGGATTGTTTGATTCTCGAACTTTAACTGGTAATCCGATAAACTTCATATAAGTCTGAAATTTCAAGGTAATGGCATAACATACCGGTGAAAATCGTAATGCTAACCTTTACCTAATAATCGTACCAGAACTTTAAGACATTCTAAATCTATAGACGCAAGTCCCCACTCTCCTTTCCATATATCTAATTCAATGCTAGCCATTTTTACATTTATCTTTTATTGTTATTAGGTACTATTTATTAATTTAATGAAACATTGCACAACTGATATCAGAAATTTCTTGTCACTTTGGACTGCAGTCAAACTTAGTTTTGACATATGTACCTGACATGTGACAATATGATCCTGGATCGCTATTATCCATAATATTATTGTTATTTTTCCAATAACAAACTCTTGTTGTAAAAATAATAAATAATTAAAGTTAAAGCTAATTAAGATTTCAGGTTACTGTATATTTATAATTCAATATATTTAGGTGCTAGTTGGACAACGTGGTATAATATTTATGGGTGACATATGAATAACTAATAAAGTCTTATCAAATTGATCTATTGATTACTAATTAAAACTTTATTTATATAGACATAATGTTTAAATTGATATTTTCCACTTATGATTCAGATTTGACAGTGTAAAAACTGATGAAACGTAAAGATTCGTCATTGGTCAGTATTTTTCTCGACATATTCAAATTTCAACACAAAAAATAGAGAAACGTGAAATTTAATACTTGTTTTGATGCATACGGCATATCGACGATCCGTGATAAATGCAGAAGTGCAGTATATAAAATTGTGTTGTAATCTATAATTAACTTGCACAAATAGTGTAATTTTTTCGTGTTTTGTTTTTGAACTGGTTGTGTATTTACACAAAGATATTTATTGAATACGAATTGCTTTATTAATAAATTGCAATCAAAATGTCTATTCAATGGACTTTCATAGCTGGATATTTGTATTTCGAGATTGCTTTTGTTATGTTAATGTTGTTGCCAATATTTAGTCCCAGAAAATGGCACAAATTTTTCCATTCACGACTCTTCTTTATGTTTCAAGAAAGAACAACAGTCTATTTCTACGGCCTCTTAGGTATTTTGTGTATGTTTTTAATAGACTCTATTAGGGAAATGAGAAAGTATTCTCACTCTACTGAAGGACAAACTCATTTAGCAAATGAAATGAAAGGTAATGTGAAATTGTTCCGAGCTCAAAGAAACTTTTACATTACCGGTTTCGCTATATTCTTAGCTTACGTTATCAGAAGAATTATAACAATGATTCTCATCCAGCATGAGCTTCAAGTAAAAGCTGATCAAATTATTAAGAAAGCTGAAGAAACTGTCAAATTAGCAAAGACTACAGTTTTAGAAAACAATTTGGAATCACAGGACTATGAAGAAATTAAGAACAGGCTAGATACAACAGAGAGTATTGTAGAAGAACAAAAAATAAGAATAAAAGAACTTGAAGAAGATGCTACAAAGTGGAGGTTGAAATATGAAGAAGTTAATAGAGCTGCCGAGGGATGTGGTGATAACTAAATATGGATACTGACAAATATAAAAACATTAAAAATATAAGAATATTATATTCACTAATTAACAGTAGGGAAAATGAGATTGTCTCATCGCTATTAATATTATGTCATTATAATCTCCTATTAAAAATCATTATTATTATTTTTTTAACCAATATAGAAATTGGTTATTTTTTATGTGAGTCACAATATTTTATTTTATTATAAGGTGTGCACTTGAAAACCATTGCAATCATGTCATTAAAAATGTGATTTAGCCACAAATAATCTAAAGATTTTCAAAATTATCTTTAAGATTACGATAATTAATAAAAGAGATAAAGAAAGTATTGTGTTACTTATTATAAATCAATCATAAGAATTCTTTGACTTTGATATAAGAATGCCAAGTAATATTTATTATTTTCAACAATCTACCATTAACATAGATTGTCTTAAATGTATAAGCTTTTTATTTTTGCTAACTAATGTTATTTTTTATAGAAAAGGCGAAGCAAGCAATGTATTTAACTAGTTTGGTGTTAGGTAGCTTTTAGTGTTTTGTGAGATAAATATGTAAATTATATGACTGATTACATAAAATAAATGATACATAATATATATTTTTAATTGCTAATTGTCTGTTTTTAACTGAATAAAAATGTTTAACTATAGTTTTGTCTTTTACCACATTTACAGCTGATAATTCTCATACCATACCAAAACTTCACATCATACCTTTATCATTTGATGATTTTTCTGAAATAGCATATAATTAGAAAACCTACCCTTTTAATGTAGTAGAATATACTATTAAATCATTTAAAGAAAAATAAAGTAGGTCCATATAACATTCTATTGCATGGTTAACTGTCCATATATTCAAAATGATGTTGTTTTGCCTACTCTGTTGCTCCTACACAAATGAGTAAGTGTTGCTTAGGTATTTTAAAGATATTCAAGGTGATGTGATATTTTATGAAGCAATCACTCCTGGGTGAAGTCGTGTATTAAAGAAAATTATATGTAACAAAGGTCACAGTGATTTATTAAATAAGATAGGTTCCCTTTTCTAAATAGTCATATAGACCTCGTAATTGACATGACTATTATAATCGAATCTAAATATTGTTATAGATATTTAAAAATAACCAAATACCAATGATATAGATAAGTTTTAAAATTCCCTCCAAAATATAAATACATGTATACGTATAACATCTATATCGTTGTTTACTAAGTCTGTAAGTATAGACAACAGTCATGAATCATATGTCAAATCTCTAATCCCAATTGTCGATAATATTTTGACGTAAAGTGTAAACGAAGAGATATCTATTTTAATTGAAAACGAAGTATTTATATATAAGTAACTTACTTTGTAATCAATATTCATGGCATATAAAATATATTGGCAATAGCATTTTTGGCTATTTCTATTGTATCGACATACCGTTTTACAACGGTAAACTTTATTTATGAATGTGGGAATCTTCAATAGAGTCAACAGCAAAGTAAGTATATTTATTTATTTTTTTGTTGATATTATTACTTTTTAGCCTTTTTAATTTTTGGCTGAGGATATAGTTTTTTTAAATAAAAATATTACTTTTCTTTCTCTCCTTAATTTAGATCCAGTTTATTTGTTCATATAAATTTTATATAATATTTCAAGATATTTGAGCCACATTCTTTTTAGTATATCAATTCAATATTTTTTTACTAACATATTACTTTATAGTATTAGACATATTTCAAATGAATGTGCAAAAATGCAATAGCATAACTTTTTTTTTTCTTTAAATTACTTTCTTAAGAAAAAGGTTACATCATTTATTCTTGATTTTGTAAAGTTTTTTTATCACTAAATATATATAAAAAGTAAGATTTTCTTTTTGGTTATTACAAGTAACTAGTTGAATTCTTTGAGCATACAAGAATGCCATGCCTATTTGAAGCTTTAGTATCATCAGGATAATTTATATACTGCATAAATATGTGACTTCATGATACACTAACTATATGTTGTTCAGATCAAAGAGGGTGACGGGATGTACAGTGAGTGGAACTCACTGCCTCTGGAGGGTGGAGGACGGGGAGTGCTTGGAGCAGTCGGGGGACGAGAAGTGGTGCTGGCTGTAGTGAGACAACTTGCCTCACATCAACCGAGCCCTCTCACTACTGATGAGGAGGTAGAGTGAAACAATAAATTGATACTTCTTAGAATACTTTTAACTGAATATAATATGTAATAAAAAGTAATTTTTTCTGAAAATTATCTTATTGGAATGAGATTATTGTAATATGATTTCTATACATCCTTAGTGGACTACCAACATTGTGAAAGGCAAATTGAATGAGAGGAAAATATGTTTAAATTATTAGGTTTAATAAGGTATACAAAGTAATATTTGAAAGAAGAATTTAAAAATAACTTATTTATAAAATTAAGCATACAATAATTTAGACTATATTTTTGTTGTTTACATCAGATTCTGTCAAAATGTTCAAAAAGTCATAGAATATTTACACAGTCAGAACATCTCTGGTGTTATGTTGAATGTGTTAATTCTCTTTTATAAAAAAAATTAAACCAGTGTACTTTAGACCTCATAACTGAAGTAAAACTTCTTTCGCTCCATCTATATGTAATATGTATATGCATATATTTATATATGTATAACACAGATATGTATAATGTATATACATATACACATATTAATTTTGTACAAATATTTGAATTCATTATGGGTTACCATTGATAAATTAATATTATTAAATAGATATTTCTTTTTTTTATTTTCATTATATATTCACCATCGGATACATCGGTAATTAATGTGGTTGATTGTAAGACTGAAGCAATAGGCATATGATGATATGTGTTTGAATGAAGGTTAGAAAAATATCTAGGGAAAAGTAAATATGAACTACTGACTGATGTATAAATATATATATTTAGCTATAAAATGAAGTGAAAAAGAAAATGTATGCGCACTGCTCTCTCCTTTACTTCGTAACGCTTTCGTCACGCATTCACCAGCTTACTCCCAAGTCAAGCATGCGTAAAGAAGTTCTATTTCAATAAATTGTGTGACTTTAGTGATACATTTGTGATATTTGAATCCAGGTGGAGTGGGTGTTGGAGGTGATTCGTTTTGGTCTGTCGCTGCCGTTGTCTGAACACGAGGCTTTAAGGGACTGCGTCCGTGTCTGCTGCTCCTGGTTGTCAGCGTTACTCCCACCTGCGGCTCCCGCCCAGCCGCCCCCGCCTGCCGTGCCGCCCGCCCTGGCAGCGCAGCCACACCGCTACGCCAACAAGATACTCAACCACCTGCACAACCTCTTCATACCGCGACCCAATGAGAGTATGTATAATGAAAACCTTTTATAACATATTGTTACTTGAGTCTCAATATATAATTGTGTTGCAAGCTCTCACATTCATATATCAAGCGGAGCTGGGTGAGTCCACGTACATACTAAACATGAATAGTTCCTTATGTATCTCATCAATATTATGTATTTATTAGTAATATGTGTTATCCTCCAGGCGGTAACCTCATCAGTAAGCAGGCCGTGTTGTGTCACCGCGTGCTCCGCCTGGCCAGGTCCCTAGCGGACAGCGCGTCCCTCGGTCCTCGTGAGTGGCGCTCCCTGCTCCTACTGCTGCTAGCTGCTGCCGCCGCGCTGCTCGCCCCGCCCGCACCTCTGTACGGTGCTGCTGAACAGCTGTGTGAACGAGTACTGTGTGTGCTGTTCGAGGTCTGGATACTGGCCTGCCACAGGTATATACATTATTGCCAATAAAATTGGTTATGAAGAAGATATTTCTAAAGCGTTTTTACGACGCTACTGAACGGATAGAAGAACTAAAATTACAAGTGAAGTGAGATCATTTATATTCATATTAAGTTGTTCTGTATATTTATTTACTATGCTGCTACAATGAGTGTGATCAGGTCACCTAAGTATTCTTTAAATCTTCTTCATCAGAACTGCACAATATGTGACTTTATATATATGAGGTGTCCCCACAGATGCTTCCCGTCCCCCAGCCTGTGGCGCACCCTCCGCGAGCAGTGTGTCCGCTGGAGACACCGCGCACCCCTCACGGAGCAGTGGGCGCGGGTGTCGCTGTGTCTGACGGCCAGGCTGCTGCAGCACATGTACGGACCCATGTACCCCGCCCTGCCCATCAGTGAGTACATACTATACTCTGGCTATGAAGCAAGGAATATATCTGTGAAACAAGGAAAATTTAAATAAAACACAAAGAATTAAAAATTTAATGACATGAGTAGCATTGGAACCTACTGGCTACTATCACCGGGATATGGCGGTTAGCAACTGGAAAGATAGACATTTTATGTTATAAATTCTTCTTCTAACTTAATTAAAGCTTTAGCTCAAGGTTGTCTTCTATCAATAATATTTCTTCTGTATCGTCCAGGCGAGGAGGACGCTCAGCTGGTGCCGGCGGACATGAGCGCGGAGGCGGTGACGCAGGCCTGGTACCGCATCCTGCACACCATAGGGAACCCCGTGGACCTCACACGCCCCGCGCTCATTAGCCATACACCGGAGTTCCTACAGGTATGAGACACTAACACAATACACTAACACACACACAATACACACACCGACAGTGTAAAAAACAAGCAAAAAAAAAGCAAAATAATAGCTATCTATTTACACTGTTTATTTGTACTGTCACGAAACACATGTTCTAAATATAAAAATACTAGGATATACAACTTGAACAAAATTTATTAATATGCCACATAGAACTAACTTCACAATGTCGCTGTCGTCAAAAGAAGTATAATTTAAAAACATAAGATTGATAATTGAGCATCCTTAATATAAAAGAGTTTCTATCGTTTTGAATGTAAATCAGATATTTTGCTTTAGAAAAGGGACTTTACATCACTCAATCATCACAATTTTCTCTTTAATTTAATACTTATATATTTATTTTAAAACACTGTTCATTTATTTTGTACCGGGTACAGAATGATTTTAACTTTTTGGTCAATAAACAATAAATAATTTAATACACAAAATTTTAGATTTACATCCTACCTTACAAGCTATTTGAATGGTGTTGCCAGGTATAAAATATATTGTTGTGGCAATAATGATTATATATAAAGCATACTACATTTACTGTTATGTCAATGATATTAAATAAAGTCAGTGGTGGCCTAGTGGTTAAAAGACCCGCCTCTCATGCATGAGGGCTCGGGTTCGATCCTGACCCGGGCAAGTATCAATGTGATTTTACCGAGTCATATTTACTTTCTAAGATTAATTCTGATTCCCAAAGAGGGTTGATGTCAGGCGGCCGGTCGTAAAAACAAATAGTCAAAACTATTCACAACATGTAAGGCAGACTCTGGATAAAGCTGGGAAATTGCTAGGTAGAAGAAGAAGTTAATGATATTCAATAAATAGTATATATATCTGGTGCTTATTACATGTTAATGTTCCAGTACTGGATGACCGTGGAGGAAGGTCAAGGTCAGGGTCGCGAGGTCGAGGGTCGCGACTCGTGGGTGGGGTCGCTGGCCCACATCTTCCACCGAGCTATGATGGGGGTCGCGGCCCACGTGGACGCATTCCTTGGTCAGTTGACATAAATAATATACATATAGAGACTGTATATAAACTATAATGTATAATAACTTGACATTTACTTGGCTGTTTAAGAGATATTAATCTGTTTTAATAATATGGATTTTTAATGAGTTCATATGGAGTTTGTTAGTCGGCTTCCTTATTAACGATTTAACGATTTAATCTAGTTAGAATAATTAATTAATAAACATTATTAAAGTTAAATGCGGTATATTAAAACTTTGGGATTTGTAAGGGATGATTGTGACTTTTTATTTAACGAAATTTTAACATTTTTGAATGATGTTGTAGCGCATTGTATGTTAATATTGTAAATGCTGCATTTCAATTTGGTTTCTTTTGCAAAAAAAAATTCCTCCTTAATCTCAAGCTTTGATCAATTTGTTACCTGAAGTACAACATATTTTTCACACTTCTCTAACAAGATATTTTTTTAATAACAGCGTTTCATTCTTAATATTTTAAACCGAGCCATAGTATAGCGGTTACTATCGAAGTCTTCTGACACCGTCCTCATAGTTTTGTTAGATTAACTATCGTAGTATGTATTGTATGAGTATATGGGTTGAGTAGTAGTAGTGGTGTGGGTGGTCAGGGCGGAGCACGGAGCGCTGGGTGGTGGAGACGGCGGGGGCCGCGGGGGGAGGGGCAGGGGGGCCCGGCCTCCCCGACGAGGGGGACCTCACGCCGCCCGCACACCGCCGCCTGGCCAAGAGCTTCAGCACCAGCAGGCCGCGGGAGAAGCTGCCCGACAAAAGTATGATTACAATAATAATGTACATACAATACTATATACATGTGTTACACGGGTGTAGAGTGTAGTGTAGTCTGCTATATGTAGTAGTGTGAGGGTGGTGGTGTTTGTTTGCTGGATATTAACTCCGCACCTTATATTTAACCTTTAACAAGTGTAGTATTAATGACATTTGAATACTAACTACTGACATTTGTATGGCGGGGAAATATACAGAATGATTAGTTCACAGATTATAGGAACACTACACTAGATTAAACGAGTCACTGTAGTATCATAGAAGTGTAGGATTAAAACCGTGATGCTGAATTATTCATTCTATATTTTTTTACTAGTTGTTACTTGTAAATGCAATGAATATTCACAATGTATGTAATTTATGTTATATTGTATACATCATCACCCACACACGCAGGTACCCCTCGGTCGTCTCTCATAGGTCTGTCGAGCGGTCGTCCGGCCAGCGTGGCTCCTACCACTCCACCCAATTCTATTACATCACAAGGTATTTAATGAAGCCTAAAATCGCATGTCATTTTATAATTAAAAAAAATACTATTGCAGTTATAGAGAAAAACTTAAATTTTTAAAATCACACTTATAAAATAAAAAAAAATACAGTTGAATTAAATACCACCTTTTTAAACTAAAGCGAATGATAAAGTTCATATAATTCAGGATTTTATATTAAACAAAGTCAGTTATGTTCTCCTTATTTCTTTCTGTAGTATCAACTACTATAAACCTACAATCAGTTTTTTAAATTCTAATTTTTTGTTTATTTTGACAAGCTGTTGCTTATATTTTTCTTATTCTGACAGATTTTCAATCCTATAAAATTTTTATTATTTTATATAATCTACGTTTACTTGGCATTGCCAGTATAACGGCTGTATAGTTCAGGACGATGCCTATTACCGTTGTGTATGTAAGTAACCTGTATGTGTGTGTGTGTGTGTCAGTGTCGGAGTGTGAGAAGCCCCCGCCATGCCCGCTCCGGCCGCAGGTCAACTCCATCCTGCATCTGTTCGGTGACTGGCTGCTGGACGCAGCGCTCGTCGGCAGCTACACGCACACGAACGGTATACACACACACTCACAACACTTATACAGGGTGACTGGTGAATTACTATCAATATTTAAGGAGAATACTCGGTACATGATTCTCATTCGAATTATGTAAAAAAAATAGGTACTTAATTTTTGACCAAATTTCCGTATAAATAATTAAAGTGTTGACACGTTCCAAGTGTTCCAAGTGTGGACGCGTGCGGCGGCGTGCTGATACAAAACCACGCCCTCGCCGCGTATGTGTGAGTGTATGTGTATACCTAATCTGTAGGGTGTTCATACGATGCGTAATTAATTACATAACTTTTGGTTAACTTTACTTAGAAGTTTATTAATATTTATGTTATATTAATTTTTATTTTGTCATATATGATCGTCAAATATCACGTCCTCAAATATCGATAGTAATTCACCAGTCACCCTGTATATATATCACATTTTGAATTTTGAATTTCGAATCACTTATTTTTATTCTAAGCGAAATTTGAAAATTTCATAGCATAATTATACAGGGTGACTGGTGAATTACTATCGATATTTGAGGACGTAATATTTGACGATCATATATGACAAAATAAAAATTAATATAACATAAATATTAATAAACTTCTAAGTAAAGTTAACCAAAAGTTGTGTAATTAATTACGCATCGTATGAACACCCTACAGATTAGGTATACACATACACTCACACATACGCGGCGAGGGCGTGGTTTTGTATCAGCACGCCGCCGCACGCGTCCACACTTGGAACACTTGGAACGTGTCAACACTTTAATTATTTATACGGAAATTTGGTCAAAAATTAAGTACCTATTTTTTTTACATAATTCGAATGAGAATCATGTACCGAGTATGCTCCTTAAATATTGATAGTAATTCACCAGTCACCCTGTATAAGCATAATTATAAAATTCAAAGTTTATGAAATTAAAAACTCTTTATGTAATTTACCTAATATTACAAAAATAAATTATTAAAGCCGTGTCCATACTACAACACATTCATTTAAATCGGAATGAAATTGATCTGTATAGCTATTTAGCTATATATCATTTGATTATTTCAATAATCGATCTAAAATCACACACAATCTGGCAATATTAATTTCTGAACAGTTACGTTGAAGAAATTTTTCAAGTTACAAGTATTGTTTTCTTTATACATATATAGTAATAAATTACAATGACCTGCCTGGCTTTATTACGATGTGTGAATATTGTAAATCATATAGATTATTGAATACTATTTCTTATAATACGATGACGGTTTCTAGAGAAAGTGGAGGGCACGCCGCCACCACCGTCACTGTCTGAAGCGGCTCAGAAGATTAGCATGATCAACTATCAAGCAGGTACATTCATATATTACAAAACATTTTTAAATATGTTCTTAACTACTTAAACAAGTATTTTTACTCTACAAAAACTCTAAATCAGTAAGTATTCTACCCCCGTACCTACTTGAGTATTATTAATTTTTCCTCCCTCAAAATTCTTTCTAATCACTCCTGTGTTACACAAAATCCTCTTGATACAAAATTTTTCGTAATTCCTTCTCCGTCCAATGGGCATATTTTTAGAAATGATAAGTATCGAGTAAATTTGATATATCAAGTGAGTGGTCATAGTTAAACCATTTATTTGCTACACACATACATTACATAGATTATACAGAAGAAAATAATTAAATTTAAAGAGTACAGTGTAGGAGCAAGGGGTTATTTATTTTCTATCTGTGTATGTTTGTGCAGGTCGTTGTGTAGCGCTGGGCGCGCTGTGCCGCGTGCTGTGTTCCAAGCAGGGCCGGGAGGCGGTGCTAGCTCCGTACCTCGCCCGCGCCTACAGCGCCCTCCAGCGAGCGCTGAGGGACCCGCGAGCGGCTGCCGCCGTGGTGCTGCACGCTGCTGACATCTTCCGGTGAGGAGTACAGACTTTATTCAGTATCAGCAGGAATGGACATCCTAGAGACAGCCTATACTTTCAATAAGATATAATTTCGTCTTCCATATGTTTTATTTTATACGTTATTTTTGATTCGTAAACGTGTACAGTCAATGTATGTACCATATAGTATATAATTTAGTTCAAAATAAATGGTAACAACGGCCGCACGTCTCCTATAAATATTTTCTTTGAACATTAATCTGAAACTCTAATCAAGTCAACACATACATAAGTATGACGAATATACAATTACCATCTAAATAACAATATTATTGCACGAGTTATCGAGGTGCGAGGCTTGGGTATTTACATTGATAGTAAACTAACTTTTAAGTCCCACATTAATTACGTTACAGCTAAAGCTTTCCGAATGCTTGGATTTGTGTTAAGAATAGGTAGGGATTTTAAAAATGCAAATACTTTAACACTTTTATATAATTCGTTTGTTACATCGATCCTCGGATATTGTTCAACTGCTTGGAATCCCTTTTATAAATGCCATATTATGCAATTAGAAAAAAATCAACGCAAATTTATTAAACATTTTAGTTATAAGTTTTTGCCGCATAATCAAGATATTTCACACATTCCGTCTTTAGAATACCGTCGCATGGAGAGAGATCAATTGTTTTTATTTAAGATACTTCAAAATTTTGTAGATTCACCCTATCTGTTAAAAAATATATGCTTTAGATGTCCTAAAACGCGTCATCAGTCCCTTTTTCATTTACCTATCACAAAAACCAAATATGCTCAAAATACTTTTATTTTCCGTGCCTGTGACAAATATAATAAATGTTTTTCCAATATAAATTTTACAATGTGTACAAAAAATTAAATAAGAAAAGAAATTAGTAATGTCTGCAAATTGTAATTAATTTATTTTTAAATTATTATTATTATTTTTGCTCAAAGTCATCAATTTCTGTATTTTAATTTTAATCTGTTATTTTATATTTTGGCCATCGTGTGTTTGGACGTTTTATTCTTCTTTGTTCCAAATTAACTAGTAATCGGAGGAAACTTGGTTGGTTTGTGCATTATTGTATGTATTATTTCAGTTGATTGGTTGTGAATTGTGGTACTGTTTGTTTCCCAATAAATTAAAATAAAAAAAAAAAATACCACTAATGTTTCGATACTAAGTTATAATCATTATGTTCCCGTGTGTTGTAGCGTGGACCTGGAGGGCGTGCTAGTCCTGGTGCCGGACTTCCTCTCGGCCCTGGAGCGCGTGTTGTCTGAGCGCGAGCCTCGTCTGGACTGCGCGCACGTGGACCGCCGCGAGCTGCGCCGGGCCGCCGTCAGCCTGCTGCTGTCGCTGGTCGCCTTTCCCTACCACTACCGGGGCCTGCCTGTGCCGGAGTTCCCCGGACAAAATGAATAGTTAGTATACGTATGAACCGGTATAAACCGGTTTGAACTGCCTGAACTGGTATGCTTGCCATGTTTTGTCTTGGTTTTCTTGTAAACTTCCCAGGGAAGTGACTCAGATGTGACCAACGCGTGTAAATTATTATGAACTCGCCGAATGTAGTTTCCTGTGTTGAACCGTTTTATTTTTTATGATCGCATGACATAGACTAGAGATGGCGCTGTCAGTCCGTGATCATTAGGGCCCGGATAAATATGTATTAAAAAATCAAAAATATGGAATAAATATGGAGTATAGAATAAAATACTTTTTCATATTTAAAAATTGTTTTACTTATCAAGTTGCTTGCAATGCACAATGACGTGCTTCTTTAAATTATCAAAATGAAAACTGACCATTTGGTCGAAATATAGCCTAATATTTGCTGAATGATCTCTCCACATCACATGACGTGATGGATGCATACTTAAACATGCTTAATTCAGTAATTGTGTAAGCCATGTCTACATCCTTCGAAACTTCCACACAGAAATTTGTTAATTTTTGTTAGCGTATTAAATCCTTTATTTTTATCCAAAACATTAGTGGCGGGAATGTAAATTTTATCTATTTTTGTGAAAATATGGATGATTGTTAATTTTTTTTTTTGTAAAATATGGTCTTAACCTTGAAATATAGAAAAATATGGAAATAGAACTTGGTTTATCACAGTTTAAATATGACAATCCATGTAAAAAACACATTCTAGACCGAAAATTGTGTAAATTAAAAATATGTATTTACATATTAATCCAGGCCCTAGTGATCCAAATGAACCCATATACATTATATTTGTTTCTGAAGCCAATCCTAAAACACCAGAGACTAGTTTAGATAAAGTTCCTTTTCTCGTTTTTATACTCTGTATTGTGTCCGTGTCCACAGCGCGGGCATGTGTCTGGGCGAGTTCGCCCGCGGCCGCCTGTCGGTGGTGGCGGCCTGCGCCGTGCAGACGGAGCCCGAGGAGGCGCTCGCCGTGCCGCTGCTGGCCGCGCTCTACCTGTGTGTGAGGCACAACGCGTGCGCCGCCGACAAGAGAGGTGGGGGGGGGGATACACGGGGACAGAAGAGTGGTAGAGGTTAAAGAAAGGAACATAGATTGAAATGGGTCCAAGTAGAGGGGGTACAGAGGTAGGAGAGGGGGAATAGGAGGGGATAAAGGGGGAAGAGTTAGTTCAGGGATTCAGTGGATTAAAGAGTTTCAGAGATCAAAGAGAGGAACATAGATTGAAATCGGTCTAAGTGGAGGGAATTCACACAGGTTTAATATATGTAAATTTCTACCACTCAGTCCAGTATAATGTTGTACATGGAAACTTTGTTTATAATATATGTTGAAGGCTCACTCAACTTTTATTCAATTATACAGTTAGTATATACGAGTACACATCATAACATCACATGTAGACCGCATCACGAGTCACGTTGCTCATCACTTATCAATGACGCACGCAATACTTTTATTTGCTTTTTACTACATCCATAGACGAGTGTAACGTCTCCCTGAGGATTGTACAATAAACAAAAATAAATATTCTTATTATTATATACTTTTAGTATATAAATTTTACAAAATACATATCTACAAAGATATTCAACTAATTGAAAACTACAACACGACTACATGACATATATTCCGGGTAGTAGTGAGTGTAGTAACGTTTTGTGTGTGGGCGCGTGTCCGTAGCTCGCTCCGACAGCGCCGGGCCCAGCGTGTCGTCGGATGACTTCGCGGCCGACGTTAGGGAGCTAGACCCGTCCTCGCCCAGCTTCGGTAATTTATACTTTATGTTGCTGCCATAGAGGTTATATTACATCACTGTCATGTGCTTTTTAATTATTTTTATTTAAGGCTTGCTTTATATTATTTACCATGATCGTATCCCCCCTCATTGTTCCTACTCTACTCATTGTGTGTGTGTGTGTGTGTGTGTGTGTGTGTAGGGTCGTCGCTGGTGGTCCGCGCCACATACCTGGTGTGTCACCGCCTCATCTCCTCGTGGAAGGGTGACCTACAAGTGTCTCTTGCGGCCCTGGAGCTACTGTCCGGACTCGCCAAGCTACACGCCTCTAAACCCGGTCGGTGTGATAGTCAGACTATTATTTAATATGTCTATTTATAATCTGTGGCATGTAAACAATTTATATTTTTAATTTTCATGCACTCCAGATTTTTATTTGGGTAAGACAACGCTTTATGAAATTGTTAAAGGATGTGTTTGAAAGTATAATACAGTGTAGTGCTCGAACAACCTTTAAGGATATTAACTAAAACTAACGATGCATATTCTGTGTTAAAAAGATCTATAGTGAATGTTGATTATTTTATATATTGTTGTGTATGAGCAGAGGCGATGGAGCGTTCCCGTGCGGTGAGGTGGATGTGTGACTACATCGTGGCCCAGTGCGCGCGGCCGCCGCCGGGCCACTCGCGGGACGTCCACTCGTGCGTGGTGGGCGCGTACGGCGCGCTGGCCGCGTGGCTGTGCCCGCCGCTCCTGGCAGACGGACAGTGCCTGGCTGCCCTGCTGGAGGTGGTGGAGCTCGGCATCTCGGGCTGCAGGAGCCGCGGCGACCGGCCCGCCATGAAGGACGACAAGGAGCTTAAACCTGTGTCCATGAGGGTGCGGGATGCCGCGGAGGCGCTGCTCATGCTGATACTGGAGCAGGTCTGTACAGTCTTTATATATATATTTCTTCTGTGAGTGTGTATGTCACCGAACTTCTCAAACGACTGGACCGATTTTGATGAAATTTTTTGTGTGTGTTCAAGGGGATCTGGGAATTGTTTAGATTCACAATTTTGTCCGCTGGACAATGTTTTTTTAATTAATTTTTAATTTATTAGTAGTTGTTGATACAAACTTTTTTTTGACATTAGATTTGACAACTAGATTTATGGCTTTAAGAGGTAAACTCCAAAAATATGAATAGAAAAACGTAACAGATATTTCTTGATTATAGAGCGATACGAAGTTCGCCGAGTCTTCTAGTATATATATAAAACCTTCTCATTGTAATCGCCCTACCTGTCTTTATCTCCCCCCCTCGCTCCAGGTGGGTGAGAGCACGTCTGAGGGTCGCTGGTGTCGGCTGGACGAGCGCTGGCTGCAGGTGCTGGGTCACGCTCCCCTCCGTCACTTCTCTCTGGACGGACACATCCTGTTGTCTCTGTTGGAGGAGCCGCTGGCCAACAGTCAGGAGCCGCAGCCCACCGTGGTCGGTCAGTGACCTCTCTGATTCTATCTGCTCATATATTTACTACATGAAATCCTTGTTTAAGCGTTGAGACCACTGTATTCCAGTTTCCCAATATATGTTTTCTCTGTATGGAGCCAATAATATTGCTCTTCGTCCCCAGTAATAATCCGTTCGTCGTGGGGTCGCTGGTCGTGGTCGCTGTGTTCCCGCGGCGCTCCTCGCTGCGCCACGCTGGGCGGCTCCTCGTGTCCCCGCCCCGTGGCCATGTTGGAGCCCCCCGCCCGCCCGCCCGCCACCTGCCGCGCCCTGCCCGCCGCTCCGCCCTGTGCACTGTTAGTAACACACTATATATAGAACTTGAAACTCATCATTATCTTAATTCCTTAATATTGATACATTTATAATATTGGGTTATTAATTAATATCTAAGCAAATACATGAATTAAAGGATTCGTTCGCTTATCCTTCGGGTAATTACGTTCCAATCGCTTTACCAAGTAAGCTATATACTCACTTTAAATAAAGTCATTCACATGCAGTCATACACTACTCGAATATTGACCAATATACATTATTAGTGACCCTACCTTAAGAAATGTATGTATGTATGTTCGACCAGTGACTCATCGTTCCCGTCCCTGGAGGCTGTTCTCCGTCGCCTGAGTGACCCGGGCGCCGCCACGCTGTTCAAGCTGCTGGAGCAGCAGGCCGCCATCGAGAAGAAAGTCAGAGATAATGAGGACAAGGCGGTGAGGAGGATACTACTTACTGATATACACTAATACAACGAATACACTCTTATATATTACTTATATACTCTAATACACCCCCTACACTTGAGCAATAGACATGTCAACACTACCGTGCAATCCTTATTGATATAAAGAAAGATTTTTTCGTGTTTTTTGGTTACTTTTAGTGCATTGACTTGAGAAAATCTCTAACCTCACCCCTCGTGTATTATATCGGTTACTTTTTTGGTTTATAACGATAATTTCTTGCTAATTAACTGAAAATTTACTATGTAATACAGACATTACAAAAATCGCTGAAAATTTAGATTTCATTTTTTGACCATATTTTTTTCCTTCGTGTTTGTATAAAGTCAAAGTGTTTAATTTCCAGTTGCCAGAGGAGTACGTTCCCCCGGAGCCGGTGACCGAGTTCCAGACGGCGAGGCTGTTCCTGGCACACTTTGGACTACTGAATATAGGAGGAGAGAAGAAGGTTTGTGACGCTGACTTATACGAGAAATATATTCTCAGTAATATTGACAAAGAGTTCTATTTTAAAATTTTAGAATTATTTTTTTATTATATTGTTTATAAGTGGCCAGTTCTAAGAACTTTCAGTTTAACCCTCGTACATATGACTTGACGGCGATGAGATAAGATTGTGTGGAGAAATCAGATAGGAACAATGTAACAGACTCCACAACGTTGGACTACTTGTATTTAACATTAAAACAATGATTAGGAACTGTTACAATAAGACGAGGGGAAGTAGACAGCATATTGTAATGTCGCTAACACTGTAGATCATGAACTATACTATTTTATATTAACTCTTTGTTTATTTTGTCTCTATATAATATTTAATAGATATTGACTGTAAATTGTCACATCAATACTTTTAAAATAAGAACGATGGATATATTTACTCTATTTGTACTTATAAGGTATAGTCCGTTAGACTTGAGCTGAGCTTTGCAATTGTGTGAGTGAAAGTAAAAGTAGAGTTAGACGAAAATTTTTTAGAATTTAATTTTATTATATTTTAAATAGATACATAACGTAAGGGCTATAAAATAAGCAAAACTTATAAAAATCCAGATGGAAATTTTGAGAATATTAAGTAAAAAAATAAAATTATATATTACACACCCACACTTATACACACACACACACACACACACACACACATGTAAAATGTTTTCCATTTCCATTTTTAATCTTAAAAATAAGTTAAGTATTTGTTAGTTTATAATTGTATGTTTCGATATATGTATACTGTATACCCAGGAGGAGGAGCTTTTAATTTGAGATACAGGTTAAACCAACTTCAAAATTCCTGTTGCTAACTATTGCTGTACAAACTGATTTAAACAATAAATTTTATTTATTTATTTTATTGATTAATAAAAAATTTGAAAAAACTACAAATTCTTCGTCACTTGACATTGCGTTTTCAATATTTGATTTTGCTATCAGTACAAAAGGTGAAGTAAGGAAGGTGCGGGGCAAAGTAAAAGCAGAGTAAACCAGTTAAAAACTAGAAAAGAACGTGGCATTTAAAATTTTGACATCACACCTACTCTATCCGTGTACCCTCACACAAATGCGAAGCTCAGTTTAAATCGAACGCACTATAACATGTACAAGTAATTGTAGTTTCTCTTTTAAAGAAACTAAAAACATATCTATAATGCCTATTACTAATCGTGGTATCTTTTCCTAGGGTGCTCCTCCCCGCCTTGTGTCTCTAAGCGGGGGCGAAGCCCTACAAGCGGCGTTACGTCGCCTAGACGCCACAGGAGCCCGAGCGGCCCTCACCGCGCACGTGTTCTACGCGCGCCGCGGACAGACGCGCGCCGAACAGATAGTGGCCAACGCCGCGCGCTCACACGGACTGTCACCGGCGTACATTAGGATGTTACGAGGGTGAGGGAACACACACATACATACTTACTAGACTATTTGATCAAGGCGATAAGGTTCAATTTTGAATGTGCGGAAATATTCGTAATGAAGAGACGTGTGAGCGTTGTAATGATTTATTAGTAACTAATATTTAAAATTTACAAAGCAGTGGACTGTATCACATATACCCACATAATTATGAATACAAATAATATTAACTTCTAACAAAGGGCGAGCCAATCAGCTGTGTGTTACGTCTTATCTTAGACACTATTCTTATTTATTGAATGCGAATGGTAAGGAAGATAAGCCTAGACTTGAATCACGCTCGAATTCTGTGTGAACGCGCTCGATTTCTTCGAATAGTAGTTAATAGAATAACTTCAAGTGAACGCAAATGAAGAAATATTAAGGTATTCATTACACTAATCATATGATAGCTGGAACAAAACCCTTCATACCGCAAAACAGTTGTTGTTGTTGTTGTTGTTGCGGATGCGTTGGCATCCTTAACTTGGGAGGAGAGAGGAAATTGTGGGAACAGGGTATGACAACCGTCTCTTTCTGTCATCAGATAAAACGCAGTCAATAAAGGCTATTTCACAACGATCTTCTGTGATTGGGTGATACTTCCCCTGTCGATCTGCTGTAATTTGACCACAGCTAGGCTCTATCACCTGAATAATATATTTTATTTCTGTTCAATAATAACACTATATATAACGCGTTACAGACTCGGATCGCCGGTGTTCGTGTCGACTCACGCCGGGTGGAGCGGCCACGTCCGCACCAGCTACGACGCCGCGTCCCCCGCCGCGCCCCGCACGCCCCGCGACACACACACACCACACGACGAACAGAGCTTCACGCCCAGCCTGTACGACGGACGGGAGCAGGTCAGTGACCTTGGAACATTATACAGAACATTATTATTGTGACTTTCTTCCTGAGTTTTCCCCCCACCCCTGTCTATGTATTTGATCTGTCATTTGTATTATATTCCAGGTGCTGTACTGGGCGGACGCCACGGACGAGATCGCGTTCGTAGTGCCGTCCGGACGAGCTGATGATGAACACGTGGACGGACCGTGTCTCTCTACCAAGTATGTATGGATGTACTTACTGTTATTAATGTGTGTGAGTGTATGGGAGAGTGAATATGTGTGTGTGTGTGTGTGTGTGTGTGTGTGTATTTACTACTAGTATATGTATGTAGTGTCTTTCATTACTGTGTGCATACGTTTATGTTATCTTTATATGTATATATAATTCTTCTATGAGTGTGTATGTCACTGAACTTCTCTCAAACTACTAGACCGATTTTGATGAAATTTTTTGTGTGTGTTCAAGGGGATCTGGGAATGGTTTAGATTCACAATTTTGTCCACTGGACAATGTTTTCTCAATTAATTTTTAATTTATTAGTAGTTGTTGATACAAACGTTTTTTTTTACATTAGATTTGACAACTAACTAATATGTCAATCATTCTGTCGCATTTCAAAACACGGAGATTTATGGCTTTAATAGGTAAACTTCAAAAATATAAATAAAAAAACGTAACAGATATTTCTTGATTATAGGGCGATACGAAGTTCGCCGGGTCTTCTAGTATTACATATATTTTTATCCTTATAAATATCCACAGTCGCTCAGATAGTACAGACAAGTCCGGTGGATCCTGGTGGGACGTGTCGGGAGGCGTGGTCGGGGGCGTGACCTACGAACGTAGTGTGAGCGAGAGCGAGCGAGGAGAGAAACGTACATTAGACAACGCTAGAGCACTGTCGCTCGATTTGGACAAACCGCAGCAGACACAGCCCGGACATGGTAATATTATATTATGAGAATATATTCTGTTACTGTTAATACATATTTTAACTTGTTGTGAACCGTGTACTGGTTAAAGAACTTTTTTTCTTATAAAGAACATACAATGTTCATTTAAATGAGACATATTACATAATTTAATTTAATTAACAATTTAGTATAGTAGTAAAGAATTATACAATTCAAGAGTAGTTAACCTAAGTGCTTTTTACAATAAGTTAATAAATTCTTTCTGAAAATCGTTAAAGTTTTATCGTTTAAAATTTCATTAGGTAAACTACTATATAGTTTTAACCGTGTACATGTTTTAGTTTTATTTAGTTTTTCAATATAATACTTTAAGCCAACACAGGTACGGGCAGCGGCAGGAGGAACAGAGACTTCGCTCCAAAGATACTGATCATCTGGCTCGAAGACTTTGAGGACCACCTCAACATGCCCATCGGTGAGATAGAGAGGGATCATTATAATACAATATCATCATTTATATTTTGTTGTTTGTCAAATAATTGAAACTATCAAGTATTTTCATTTTTCATCTAGTCATACTTCGTGTAAGGGCTATACTATACTCTGTCCCGTCTCTTATCAGTCAGATGTAACTTCAATCACTCTATAACTCGTCCTTTATGTTCGTCAGACGACCTCATCTCCTACTGTGAGACGGGCGTCCCGTGTCGCCGCTCGGACACGGCCGTGTTGTGTGTGAGCGCCGTGAGGAGCGGCCTGGTGCGGGTGGGGGTGACCGGGGGTGCGGGCGGCGCGGCGGGGGGCGCGGGGGTGCTCGCGGACGGCTCGCTGGTGGCGCCTCGCCTGCTGCCCGACTGTCTGCGGAGGGCTGCCTGCTTCCTGGCGCGGCGGGCGAGGCTCAACACGGACCTGTGAGTTACACACACACACACACACAGACACACACACACACACAACTGTAAGGAACCGTTCAAACTACATATAACGCCATCTTTGAATAAAACGGTGTAGCTATTAAATTCTCTTCAATTTTATTAAACTTTTTATATATTTCAACAACTTAGTTATACATTAAGCAGCTATTTGGTATACATATATTCATTGCTGGGCCGATGGTGTATATAATCGTTATATTACGTCCAGGTACCAGCCTCCTCCGGTCCGTCGTCGTCAGCTGATCCAAGAGATCTCCCACCAGTTCAAGCGTGACCTGTCGGAGCCCGAGCTATTGGAGTCCCTGTTCAAGGCGCCCTAGTGTTACATATACTCATAGTCCGCTATAGATCTGCAGTATTGTTACTTTTATATTTAAGACTGAATGTATTTCCTTTAAATCAATCGTTCTTATTTAACATTCCAAATGTTAATATATTTATCGTCTTTGTTGTCCTTAATGTTATATTAAAGAGCTTTAACCAATATTGCCTATTATTGTTCTTTATCTACTAATTGCGTGATGATTGATCCGTTTATCTTCTAGTATCGTAAGAACTTACCGTTATTTTAAAAAAAAATATCTTCTTTGTATGTAAAGCGTTTGAAACATTATTTTTCGTAAAGTATAAAAAAATATGTAAATATAAAACTATTCCGTAAAATCGAAAACAATCGACCTACATGATTTTTTCTTTTATCTTCTTTTTCTTCTTCCTGGCAATTTTCCCAGCTTTAGCCAGGGTCTGCCTTACATGTTGTAAATAGTTTTGGCTAATTGTTTTTACCACCGCCGCCTGCCTGACGTTAACTACGCTTGCTCAAGACGGGTTGGTGATTTTAAACTTATAATTGTAAAATTATAACTCCAGGTTTCCTCACGATGTTTTTCACCGTCGATCAGTCATGTCTAAATACTCTCAGAAAGTACATATGACTTAGAAAAATCACATTGATACTTGCCAGGATGGAACCCGCGCCCTCGTGCATGAGAGGCGGGCCTTTCACCACTAGGCACTAATGGAGCGGCGTATTTATTAACCGATTTTATTTAGCTCACCCCGTTTGTTTTATTATTTTTCTTGGGTCAAATTTAGTAATTCAAATTTCACCCTCTTCCTGTCAACCGATTAATCTGAAATTTTATATACACTGGATTTTGGTGACAATACAATTATGTTTATTCATTATCATTATAAATTCAAGATGTTATCTTAATATTTCAAGTTTATAGCTTAATATCACAAAAAGCAAAGGCCATGTAGATTAAGATTTTATGTATTTTTAATATAATAAATATATGTATAAATAATGATAATGCTTTAATATAATTGCAAATCAAAGATAGACTGCACATAATTCTACCCGTAAAACTGAAAACAGTACGTTACCTATTTAATTTTGCTTCATGCGGTTGAGTAGACAATTCATTTCATAGATAATACACTATATTAGAAATTCATAATTTCACTGTCAGAGAAGGTATTTGAGATTTGACTTGAGAGATGATTCTGAGATAATAATAGAGAAACTTTTTAGTGAAGCCTGCTATCATTTATTGGCATCTCAGCAAGTCTTCTAGACAACCTTAGCATCCAAAATCCCAGAGTATTTTGACATTTAATAAAATAAAAAGGACATGAGACGAAACCTCTTAGCATTCAATGTATTCACCGTGCTAGTGAATTATTATTTTCATATCCCTTAATGACGTTTGTTCACACTGGCATAAACATAAAAAGCATTACATTCTAAATTGAATACAATTGACATTTAAACGTAATTCCACTCCGATTTGAAAATGTTCACATTAAATTTACAATTTTGTTAACGATTTTGTCTTTAGTGTTTTGTAAACGTTTACTTACTTTTTAAAACAATATTTAGTTTATATACATAGAAAACAAATTTATGTATTGGCAGTCATGTTGATAAATAGGAAACAAGAAGGTGGGGGAGGGGGGGTCGTTAAGAACGAGGGACCACAAGCAGTTGGTGAGGGCAACTCTCACGAGTACCAGACAGCGAATGAACTGTATGAAATACTTGCTAAAAGTCATCCCTTCAATCCTAACGGTAAACTTATATAAACAATGTTCCAATACTAACTTGTTAATTAGAACATGATTTCAATAGTATTAAAAATATATGTTCTTTCTGTAGCTTATTAGTATAACTTCACTTTCAATGTTTATAATAATTTTATATTAGGTATAACTTAAAAATACTAAAAGCTGAAACCAAATTATGTAAATTTATATACAAAATTGATCTTGTTACGTAGGCATTAGAGGAGGCATCTAAGAAAAAATCGTTAATTACATATTTGGTCATTCTCAGATAAAGCATCACTAACTACTAGAGATCTAGTTATTCTTTACAAAAATATTGACATTGGCACAAAGTTGTTATCCGATAATAACAATGGCTTTAGTAAAAGGAAACCAAATCAGTACGTAGAATCTGTAGTATATAACGACGAACACGACTCTGATGGGTCTGAACTGAGCGAGGTGTACAGTAACGAGGATGTGAGCAACGTGTTCAAGATAAACGATGAGAGAATCAACTTCTTCAACAACATGACGACCTGCGATAACACGTTGTGTCAAAAACTTGGTAACATAAACATGGAGTCTAAACTTTCAACGGAATACGATAAACATTTTTTGTTCAACGACCCGTATATCAAAGAACAATTGAAAAGTTTTCGTGAAATTTCAAAATCTAAGCATTCTGATAGTTCGGTCCTGACGACATCTCTGTTGGATTATATTTGTTGCAGAAGAATGGACGAGAATTATAATTTTTACATGGACAACGTTATACATTATGTGAAGCATATCATAGAGCAGTTAACCCGCATCAGTAACGGTGATTACTTAACCGATAGAGTGAAGGAGAAGTGGAAAGAGGTCAGTGATGATCCACGAAATGAGAGACAAATGTCGATACTGAAAACTACAAATAGTATTCAGTTGCAACGAGATGAGTTCAAGGGAGTTAAGAGTGTGTGGGATGATATGGTGCATTCAGAGATCGACGTCAGATCCTTGTCCAAGATTTTAGAGAAAAAGATTGTTGTAGAAGTGCCTAAACTGTTAAACGGTTCCTTCAAATTGTTTACTAAATGCTACAAAAATAAACTATTTATAAGATGCAAAAAAGATAAACAGATAACAAATAAAGAAAAGAAAGAAGATTCGCAATTAGATGTTGTGTTAAAACTAAAACGTTCAGGAACAGGACATGTCATAAGTAAAATTGATTCTATTATGATATTAAAGACGCTTCCTGCTCCGGTTTTAGTGCCAGGTACGCTCATTTATACATTTCTTTTTAAAATCGAATATGACTATTAAATATGTATAAATTACAGATATCCCGAAAAAAATGGTCACTTTGCAAATTGACAATATCAGTGGCAAAGACGAAGTTGGAGACAAAGATATTAGTGTGGTTGAGGTGGCAGAAGATAAAGACAGCCCAGAAGAAAACATACCACCTTATGATGGTACAAGAAAAGAAATTAAAAAGCCTGCCAGCGAGGACTCGAATTATGAAATTTCGAACTTACTGAATGAGAGTGGCGATAGTTGCAATACAATCAATACCACAATCTACAATGAAAAACCAGGAGCAAAATTTAATCTAATATGTCCGGATGAGATACATTGTCCGATGCAAAGATTTAATACGCAACTACCGGTTCTGGAAGAAGTTGATGATACGTCAACGAAGAGAAAGAAATCTCCTACAAAAATTAGAATAAAATCGCCCTATGAAAATAAATCCTTCGTGTTGGAGGAGAGAAAACGAAATAAACTGTTGGAAATTAGAGAAAAACGTGAAAAGAAAAAAATGGCGATTAATGATAACTGTAAAATAATAAAACATAGATACGGAAAAGGTGCCATAATGCCACAGTCTGCGAGCTCTGTCACTAAACTATCGATTACAAACAAATCATTCTATAATTCAATTTACGGTCAAACATTGAATACAGATACTAAGATTTTCAAAAAAGGTAAGACAGGAAGGGACGGCAGCTTGTCTACACTCGACTTTCAAACGGGAGAAGAAGAAGTTAAGAGAGGCCCCCTGACACCAGAACGAAATAATCAGAAATATATAAATCGAAGTTATTACTTGGACGACGCGGAGACCGAAGTGATGTACATGCAGATGAAAAAGAAATGTATCCCTGAAGAAGCTCAGGGAACTTCTACATCTTCCACCTCTCATCAATCTAATGAGGCTCCGGAAAATTTAGTTTTATTTCAGCAGTTTATGAATCATTCGGCAACAGAATTTAGTGGCACTGACACCTTCTCCAGTATACAGCCAAATGTCATGTAAGTACTATGCTTGGTGCAACTAAAATATTATACGATTTTTATGAACCTTGTAACTTGTGGTATATAAATGTTATTTGATTTTACATACAGAATTGAAGAGGACTTAAACAATGCAAATTGCAAAGAACACAGTCACATATCAATAAAAAGTACAAATTTTACTGTACCCACCAATACGCCAAAGGAACAGAAAGATAAAAACGATGATGAAAATATTCCGGTATCTCTACAATGTAGAAAGAGTATAGAGAAAGTTTATAACTTGATAAAGGAACTAAGCAATACTGACACTTCAAATGCTATGGAAAGAAGCAAGTCAAAGGTTGACATTCATAACAAGTTAACTGTGAAGATTAGTTCAACTGTTCAAAATAGCGATAGTGGAACATCGATCAAACATCAGCTTACGTCGTCCAGCCCCAGCAGTTTCAGTTTTGATAAGGCTAATGTCGATAAAAATAATGGTGAAGTTGATACCAATAAAAGTCCGGTCGTGAAAGTAGACCAAACTATTGTACCGAAGATTATAATAAGTTCGAAGGTTCAGACGGGGAAGGTGGAGAGAGAGAAACTGAGAAAAGAATCTAAAAGACCTCAACCCGAAGTACCTAGAAACCCCTTAAAAGCTATATCTCAATTACTTCATGAATTTGATCATGTTCAAAAGACAAGATACAAAAGTGGTCAAGAAACAAAATCGCATAGGAGATTTGAGACAACATCGGATGGAAAAACTAGTTTTCGGCAATTTCGTAAACCCTTATATCAAGAACATCCAAAAAGTAACGATCCCGTACTAACAAAATGTTTGACTCCTACTGAAAGACGAGCACGTTACAGTCCAGGAAAGGAAATGGTTAAAACAACGTTCAACCATACCCCAGTGGAAGAAAAGAGTAATAAAAAGAAATTAACTGATTACATAGACGAAGTCAAAGAATTAAATGGGGAGGCTGTACGTGGACCTCCGAAACGAACATCGAGGCTGAACAGTTTGGCTCAACCGAAGAAGTCTTACGTACAGGCGCATCATGAAGAATATCAAAGTCGATATGGTAGAAATATTGTATCTGATAGATTGCAAAAACTAGCTTCTGCACCTATTCAAGAAAGAAATGTAGGAACCACGAATTACAAAGGTAGGCAGAGAAGAGGTTCGGACACTACGACTGCTACGAGCAAACTTAACACCGGACCTTGTTTAGGTGTGTAAAGGTGAATTGTGATTTAAAAAATATTAACTTGTGGTTAATGTAATAGTTTAAGGCTTGAAGTATGTTAAGTAAAATGTTAATAAATCTATTTAGGTGCAAAATCTAGACGGTCAGCCAGTAGTAGTCCGGACCGCACGGGGAAACGATCACCCGTGCTCATCTCACCATCCTATAATTACAGTAATGTTCCTGAAACATCAGAGCCAATGTGAGATGGTTGTTAACTGTTCATTTAAAACTGTTGGCGTTCTCTAAAACTGTCTTTCATACATTTCACAGAAGGAAAAAAATGGTAGCTGTAGAGTCATACGTAAAAAGCCATTTTGGAAATGTTTCATCAGGCCGGGAGCAGAGCGAGGATCAGATTCGCAAGTCTAGAGTACCATTGTTACCGACAGACTTTGATATTGGTACTCACTTTTATTATTTTTATATTTTATTATTTTAAATTGTTAATGATACATATGTATGTACTTCTCAGCGTCTATGACATCATCTCCAGCAGCAGATGAATCGACAGCACTTGGAAAGAAATTACACTCTATTATCGATTCCATGATCTCGAATCCACCAGCATTAACTGCACTAGTGGAATGTAACGAATCCTCTCTGAAATTGGATAAAGATATTGAAGGAATGTCAGCAGGAACATCCTCCAAGTGTGAGGAAATCGTGTCATGTTCAGATTATCCCGTGGACGTGTTTGAAGACAGGAATATTGTTACGGCTGTGGAAAGCTTCTTAAACAACAAGGACGATGAAATGTTGGAGAACGAAGCGAACAATAATTATGAAAAAGACGATATTGGCAACTTTAGTTCCAAAAAAGAGATACAAATGTTAGAAAACGCTTTGTATAAGCAGTTATCAAACGGATCCTTTCAGAAACGTTTACGAAATAAAAATCTAACTCTGACTCCAAAACAATCTTTACAACAAGTTTTTGTTTTACAATCTGGTGATTCCCGATCTATGGTAAAGACGACTCTTTCGCAGAAAATAGAAATGACAAAAACGGAGACGCTTTCAGAAGTTGCTTTGTTGCCCGAACTTTCGAAGTCTTGTATTGGATGGGAGTTCACGCAGTTCCCAATACAAATAGCTACAGTAGGATACGCATTTACTAATATACAACCTGTTAAATGTACTTCAACGCCAAAGTTTAAACCAGTTGTCGACAATGTTAAGAAATGTGAAGAACATTATACTACATGCACTTCGACATCTACCAAATCTTTACAATGTTCTCAAGATAATCAAATACAACGACCGGAGACTATTCAGCCAAAGATGAGAAACAGCCCACAACATGATGACGATAATAAAAAGGAAGAAATGAGTTTAGAACACGATGTTAAAACAATATCTGTTACAAAAGAACCTCATGATATGAATGAAAACAAAAAAGGAATTTGTAATAACGAAATTGTTAAAGAAAACGAAAAAGTTGATAGTATCGGACATTCGAGCTCGTTGGATATTTTAGTCGGTCTTTTGAATGAAATAAAAAAGATTTCTTCTTGCCAAGCAAATATGGTCAGTCTTGAAAACAAATTTGATGTCGATCTTGAGAAGAAAGAATTGGAAATAATATTAAACAAAGCTGCTGAACAAGAAGCTTTTACTGATCCAGAACTGAGAAAGATTATTTCTAGAACTACTCTTCAGAATTTAGAACATCTTGGACTCAAAGCTAGCGAATACTCTATAGTATCATGCCGTGACAACATACTAAAAGTAGACAAACGAATTGCTAGTTCGGATATAAATTTATCTTATTTTAATAAAACTTTGACTGTTGATAAGGAAATTAACGTGAATATATTTGAAAAACACTGGGTACACAGATGTACGGACATGTCTCAAATTTTCCCAACTACGGTAAACCATAGCACTAACGTTACGGAGTCTCTGATGGATATTATTAAAAAATCCTCAAATGATTCCATGGACTTATTTAAGGATTGCCAAACCTTCAAAACTACTTTCACTGAAAATTTTAATTCCCAAATCCTTGCAGAAGATTCTAGAAAATCCGTATATTCGATGACATGTCGAGAACAGTGTTTTAAGGATTGTGAAAAAGAAAACTCTGTAGGAAGTAGTGATTTAAAATCAGTAGAATTGGTGCCGAAAAAATCATCTAAAGTTTATAAAAAAATTAGAAAGATGTTGCCAAAAGACAACAACATGATTATAACAGATCTTGACCCATTGCTCAAAATGAAAAGAGACATTTTAGTGACAGTATATTCAATCCTGGTTTTTACTGTGTTCGCGGCTTTATCTTTTCCTCAATTTGCGTATTAGTGATGGTCGATGTTAAATTGTATATGCGCTGTATTGTTTTGTAAAGTTCGTCATTTTTATATCTTATTATTTATTAACAAAAGTATCGTTTTATTGGTTATTTTATTTCCGTAAAAACTAAAAACTTAGCGGAGTTTTTTTTTCAACAAACAAATTTGTAACCGTTAAATTAGAAAAATACATATTCTCTTTAGCCACTAAATAGAATTCAGAGTATCCTCAAAGACTGGTGAGATTATTCAAATTATTTAATATTTATATAAGTATACTTATACGAAAATAATATTTATTGCATAATTCTCAGATTGTGGGATTGTAGATGGATTCACTATATTTTTCAACTACACTGCACAATAAAATGTTGCTCTAGTTCAATGGCATAGAATTATACCGGCATTCAAATGAGTTCCAATGACGTTCCTGATATGTCTACTACTGTATACAGTATAACTAGAAAATATAAGACCATGAACCGTGTACCGTGATAACATGTTCAGATCACTTAATATAACCAAAACTATAAAATATCCACAACTATTAAGCTATGCCTTATTAACACCTGGCAACTTCTGAAATCCACCAAAAATTCACTGTGTGGTTACAAGCATCGAACGACGGAATTCTTTCAATGAAACATGTTTTAATGTTGCAAAATAGACACTGATTGATGTTACACCTACCTAAAAGAATGGAAAATCAACGAATCGTCAACGCTTTAGGAAGAATCGAATAAAATGGCTTGTGACAAGTCATTTATATACTCTAGAAAATTGAAATATCTATCTTGTTCGACTGATATATCTCGTCTGCCCGTGATCCCGGTGACTATAAAATAACCGAAACGTTGGGAATATGTAGTTTTTATCAAAAATAAAGTCGCGCAGTATATCCGCAAAATATTAGTATCATTTAAATCACACAAATTTAAGTACTTATGTTTGATATTTTAGGATTTTAAATTTAGTTTTTTAATTATGAAGTAAAAAAACTTGCGCCTGTGACTATATGAAAAATTATATTATATATCTAAGTTTTAAAAAATACATAATTTTACATAATATTCTTTGAGTTATTTTCTAATATTAATGTGGCAATAATAACTGACAAATGACAAATATGAATGTCACAGAGACGTTTGTTTGTTTCATTTGAGGTTTCGAGTATGTGAATAGAATTTTTTGTGAAATATTAATTAATAATGTCTCTGAGAAAAGTACTTTTCTTAACGCGTGCGGTCTGTTGTAATCCTGTTAAGCTACAAGTCCCAAAATTATTAAGGCAAAACATATGTCTACTTTCTGTTAATTGTGCCAGGACCTATTCCACTGAGAATATAGGTTAGTTTAGGTAGATTTGCTCGTTTAATAAGTTTTTCACTTAAATAATCTTTACTTAAAAATAATTAATGTTTACATTCGGCTTTTCTATCTTTTAAAAATATGCTAGCCATATTTAATAATCTTAAATTGTAGTAATTTATATAAATTTCTTTTTTGATTCTAAGGAAAGCAAACCTGAAAAAGTACCTTATTTATATAATATAAATACATAAAACGTTTATTATTATTATTATTTTATTATTCAGTGTAGACTTAAGTCAAATAATATGTCATTTTATTTACATAAGAGCACATGTCCCAATTATTGTTAATTCATACATACATTATGAATACTGTATATATTAACATGAAACACCATTTTTTATATATTTTTTTATTATTTATAATAATTGAGGAATCAATACTTAGCTCTATGGCATTGTTATGGTTCTCATTCTCTTTAAATAATGGTACATTCTTCTAGGTGATAAGAATAAGAATGAAAAAGTACCTGAGAAAGTAGACATTCTGGGACGATTTTTCCCCCAGACTCCGGGCAGTGTTCAAGATGCACAAGAAGTTAAAAAAGAACAGGAGAAGTTTGAACAGGAACAGAAAGAAAAAAACCAGGAGAATGAGAATAGTTGGAGGAGGATGAAGATTGGGTAATTATGTTATAATACATCGGACATTTGTTGAAAGATCTATCATAATATATGAAAGACAAGAAAATATAACTATTTTATGAATAATTAACATATTGGATAGTAAAACACCTTTAAATATTTGATATCTCCATAGAACTTTCTATTTACTATTTGTAATGCTTTGAGTCTACAAATCCACCATTGTTATTATTTATTGATGAAGGCAGACAAATGCAGCATCCCTCAATAGCTTGAGAAATTTCTTAAGAATAATTAAAGGATGTGATAAATATCTGAAAATTATGAACTTTTGTATACATGAAATAAGTGTAACAATAATATAGTGCTTCAATCAGAATCTCTAAGGAAGTCTTAATAAACACTACTGAACACATAACACATAAAAAACCCTAAGAATTAAGATAAATTGAAAACTGTGCTTCTGTTAAAGCATATATTATTTATCAGTGAATATTTGTTTCTAATTTTTTTATTACCAGATTGAGACATAGACCAGTTTAGTCTTCTAAATTTAAGTTTTGATATATTACTTATTTAGTTCACCATTACTAAATCTAAACAGTCCTTGTAAAGTTACAGTTGTGGTATGAATTCTGAAATTTTAGCAACTGCCTACAGATTTGCAGTTTTTGGTGGTGCGATGACAGTGATGGGTGGTTGTATGGTGATTGAGATGGGAGCTCCAAGGCGCTCCGATGACGGAACACCCCTGGAGGATGAGTTTTCCCACTTGCCCCTACCACTGCAGTATCTCAGACGAACATGGAAGGAACTTACTTTTTATGAAAAGGTACATTTTATTTTATTTATTTATTTAATTAATTACAAAAAGAGTACATGTAACATTGTTTTACATTTACAGGTGTTAACATAGACCACATTAGTAATAATAATAGTTTTGTTTCTATAATATTCAATATACAGGGTGACTGGTGAATTACTATCAATATTTAAGGAGCATACTCGGTACATGATTCTCATTCGAATTATGTAAAAAAAATAGGTACTTAATTTTTGACCAAATTTCCATATAAATAAATAAAGTGTGTACACGTTCCAAGTGTTCCTAGTGTGGACGCGTGCGGCGGCGTGCTGATACAACAACACGCCGCCGCGCGCGTATGTGTGAGTGTGTAGTGTAGAGTAATCTGTAGGGTGTTCATACGATGCGTAATTAATTACACAACTTTTGGTTAACTTTACTTAGAAGTTTATTAATATTTATGTTATATTAATTTTTATTTCGTCATATATGATCGTCAAAAATCACGTCCTCAAATATCGATAGTAATTCACCAGTCACCCTGTATATTCCGAGTTTTCTAAAAAACTGTTTTTAATGTTCATGCTATTTCTATTCCATTACATTAATTTCCACCATGGTTGTTTTGTCACACATGTCAAGGTATTGTAATTCATGGTTGAGTATCATGTCTTTAAAGCTATAGCCCATTATATGTAACTATCCATGTTTTAACATTATTTTTCTACTGTTTATGTGATCCATTACTGTTACCAGTGTGTTTCAACCAGTCCATTGGAAACATTTTTTTTTTAAATAACTACAAGGTTATTATATGCAGCCCAAGACATAAGTTTAGTTAACAAATCTCTTTTAGTTTATAGTTATTGTTAGTGGCATAATTATTTTTCACTAATCACTGGTCATCGGACTTGTCTATACAAGATTTGGAATTCCCTTAGATTTGGAGTTAGTTGAAATGTATTGAAGCTGCTTCAAAGTATGTAGCTGTAATTTGTCTATCAGTCAAAAATATAAAAGGTAGTCCATTAGAAATCCTAAATGCTCGTTCGAAATATCTATAAGTAGAGTGATGTCAGATAGTTTGTCAACCAGAGCTTGTTAAATATACAGAAATGATATGAACCAAGTTTGTTACAGATGATAAAGGAGCCGTCTCGAGAGAAATTATTACCGGACACGTTGCCTCCTCCATACCAGCCGACCTACACCCTGGTGTTGGAGTTCACTGACGTCCTGGTACATCCTGACTGGACCTATCAGACTGGATGGAGGTAACACACATATACATACATACATACGAATATAACGACTCGACTTATATATAGCATACAATAACTGAAGATACTCTGTGTATTCGTCGTTTGATTAGATCTTTGAAGGTCTTTTAAGTGGACACACTGTGACTTAATTAAATATGCACCGCAATTTCGTCCTCGTGGACTTCAAAATTAGATTCAGGTTGAATTTACTAATGTATATTTATATATTTGGTAGCCGAATGACAGCGCCATCTAAAGATGAATTCATATAAAATACAACATTTATACTATTTTATTAGGGAACTACTAGAATTTTTATAATAATTTGTAACCAATTTGTTATTGAATAATATACATCAATGAAATTTACCATCAAAATCCGCTCCGTAGTTTTCGTGTAAAAGTGAAACAAACATTCGTATTTATAATATAAGTAGGATTTGTCTTTAATATTTGTAGATTTAAGAAGCGGCCGGGAGTAGACCAGTTCCTCCAGACGGTCGCCAATTCCGACTACGAGGTGGTGATCTTTACATCGGAGAACGCGTTTATGATCTACCCTGTACTTGAGAAATTGGATCCCGAGAACAAATACATCTCATACAAGCTGTTCAGAGACTCAACACACTTCATAGATGGAGTTCACGTCAAGAACTTGGAGGGGCTGAATAGAGATCTGTCCAAGGTTGGCACTCGTTTACTGAACATAATATATTACTGTTAATATATTCAATATTATTAAAAAACAGTGGTGGCCTAGTAGTTAAAGGGCCCGAGTGTCGTTGTCGAGGGCGCGGGTTCGATCCTGGCCCGGGCAAGTACCAATGTGATTTTTCCGAGTCATGTACTTTCTAAGAGTATTTAGACATCACTGATTAATGCTGATTCCCAAAAGAGGGTTGATGTCAGGCAGGCAGCCGGTCGTAAAAACAATTAGCCAAAACTATTCACAACATGTAAGGCAGACCCTGGCTATAGCTGGGAAAATTGCCAGATAGAAGAAGATATACAATATTATTAATAATATTATCTTTATAGGTTATTGTAGTGGATTGGAACAAAGAGGCCACCAAGTTTCAACCGGAGAACGCACTCACCTTGAAGAAATGGAAAGGCGCCGACGATGACACCGCGCTGTTAGACTTAGCTAACTTACTGCAAAGTATGTCTGGTTATTATTATATATTAAGTTAAGCTGAGAGAACTGGTCATAATCTTACACTACAATAGTTCTTGATATACATATATTCAATAGCAAGTATGAACAGGATGAGAATAAAGATTTCATTAAGCTTATGACACTATAAGGTCTGTCATAAAAAACATTTCAATAGTTAAGCTAAAAGTCATCAATTGCATGATAACTATGTGTGTTTTATATATATTGGTGATCATAATGAATGTTTTTTTTACTCTCCAGCGATCGCTATGTCTAACGTGACGGACGTGCGTGAAGTGTTGCGGTACTACGGACAGTTCGATGACCCCATCGCGGCTTTTAGGGAGAACCAAAGACGACTCATGGAACAGATGGCGGACAGGGAGAAAGAGACACAGGAACAACCGCTGGCACGCTCCTGGCTGAGACCATTCACACGACGCTGAGGGTGACACCCTCCGCGCAGTGCGAGGGTGACACCCTCACGATGAGGGCAGTTAGTCATCGGTAGTGAAGCCTTCATGAGTTCAAATTTCATTCTTCTGTAAATATCGTTTAGCACAATGTTTCAATTACATACATTATATTATCCTAACGTTACATGAGACTTTTTATTTTGCTTATATTTGAAATTGTCCAGTGATGAAATCCTACAAATATTCTAACTTTTAAATACTGTCTTACACTTGACATTAACACCTAGATGTTTTAAAATGAGAAATATATGTATAAAAATATCAATTTAATTGTACTTATGTGGAGTCCTAAGTCATCTTTATCTGTGAGTGTGTCTGTGTGTGTGTGTGTATGATATCTTTAGTTGTTTTAGTCATAAAATTAAAACTGTTAATGAAACTAATGTTTTATTACTTTAATACACAGCCATCTCCTTATAACTACAACACTAAAGCAATATTGAACTAATACATCAATAACATTTAGATGTAGGATATATACATGTATATTAAAAACTTTATGACACGGGATTTGAACCTGCAACCTTAGTTTATTGAATCTTTACTATAACCAACATTTATTCCTCGTCATCATCAGAGAAGTGTAAGTTCAGCATCAGTGACGACTGTTCCCCACCTTCCTCATCAGTCTTCAGCCAAGCTTCTCGCAAACCGCTATCAATTTCCTCATTATCGAACGCCTTTGTAATCTCCTTTTCATCAAATTCACTAACAGCCACATTTTCACAGATTTCGTAGTCACTCGGCACTCTTTTTAATTTATTCCAAATATTAGCTATATTCGGAACAGACGAGACTTCGAAATTTTTGCCCTCTATTTTATATTTCGCGGCCCAGTCGTGTAGACACTGCATGCTATCGTCTTCTATGAACGTTTCCATATGTTCTTGAAATAATGAGTGACAAGAGATATCTCCGAGTGAGTTCTGCATAAGAATGTTGTATCTGTCATCACGTTCCATCACCAGCAACCCGGTGATGGATGTACTGAGTCTACCATCTATAGGATTGTAAAGATCGTAACATAACTGCCGCTGCCTGGCTTCATTGAGTGTGTTCAATATGTTAGGTGGCCGGTAAGGTAGAAATACACCACCATTTAACGTGTCTTTAGAATTCCGGTTACTATAATTGGGCACCACACACATATCCTCACACCATTGACTACTTAAACATATCAGATCTTTATTGAATTCGAAGTTGCAATTAGCTAAGTATGTTGGTACACACTCCATGCCATGTGTCCACCTCTGTACTACTTTGGCGTTTTGTTCATGGAACCGCAAGTCCATTAAGAACAAATGATGATCTGTACCAAAGTATAGGGACGAGCTGCCTTCTAAGTGCTTGGCCACACTTATATCATTGCAGGCCATTTCATCAGTAATATTTCTTACATTTTTCCATACATGGACAGTATTATGACTTCTTTTGTCATACAGCGTTATGTTCTGCCGTCCTACATGTGTATAGAATCCCCTCTCTGAACCGATTACAGTATTCCAGTTATCTACTAAGGTTGGCTTATCTATCAAATTCATAATCTTTGCTTTTAATCTATCTAAATTTACTATAAATAATTTGCTATCTAAAGTAGTTATATACAATATGTTTTTATGAAAAGCGTCCAAAGAAATTCCTGTGAAAGGGATCTCAGAATCGATTCCTTTGATTTTCTCAAATTTTATTTCATCACCAGGTGTTAATCTTAATATAAATATCTTGTATTTTGTCCTTAAAACTGCAATATTTTGTGATGAAAATATAGTTTCCAGAATGTTCTTCCCCTCACCACAGTCAAAACATGCTTCTATGTTGGGCTTAATATTTAAATCATTTCTATTCAACTGTGTTAAATCTGTAAAATAACAATATAATTAGGATAACCTCATTATAACAATGTTCTATATGTTCATTTTTCTATTATTCTATTAATTTTATTCTAAAATTTACAAGTTTAATATATAATTAATAAATTTGAATTTGGATCATTGAAGAATTTACGTTAATGAAATACGCTACTTCAATGGAAACTAATTCAAGGATCAGACAGTAAATATCGAATTTAAATACTTACAGACAGTAGAAAATTCACTATGTAGTAAGTAATCAATCCAATCTATGCACACAAGCTGTAGGTTACCATTGCCTGCATAGTACCAGTTGTATGAACTATCAAAATTTGGGTCGGGATCACTGTCGAGGTGGGCAGCGGTGTCTACTATATGCTTGGGACATTGTACCACCTCCTCATTAAGAACTTCATACTTTTGATTCATGTTCGTGAAAGCTGAAAAATAAAATAAAATCATATTACTTCATACAAAATAACAAATATATTCACTATTTTTGTAATTAATGTTAACTTACCAGCAGTTAGTTTTAAATTACGACAATCTCTCTGCCAAGACATTTTATCCTTCATAAAACTTGTCAATGGGTCTGCTTTTCTTGTATTTTTTAATTCTGTGATCATTTTTGGATACAAGCTTTTGTACGAAAAATGTTCAAAGTAGTCAAAGTTCAAGTCTCCGTCCCAATCATCGTCAAAAGAATTTAATGGATAGCCGGGTACTACGAAGTGGTAGTTTTGTAGTGTCTTCGGCGTAGTTAACCGTTGCCTCACATTATGACAGTAATACATGTAAGCTTGGGCATTCCTATCTTGCAATTCTTCTAAAATATTTTTTACAGGAGCAGTGTTATTTATGTTTTCAGCAGTAAACTCTGCTTTGTTCTTTTTGCGCTGTAAGTGACATAAAATCTCATAAATTAAAAAGGAAATACACATATTATATTGTTCTGCAGAAATACTTTTTCAATAGTTTAATTTACCTTGAATATTGTTACTGAAGTCATCGTCACAGTCTCATGTCAACAAAATTGTTATATTCTATTCTAGTCGTTATTAACGTTTCCTTATAGATTTCGCCAATGTCATGTTGTGTGAAAATTAGACAACAAATTTGTTGTTAAATGTTAATATGTCAATTTCAAGATAAACGTGGTTTTGACTTTAAGCAGGTATTTGACATATTATGAACTTTTGACATATTTTTTATTAATCTTTTTTGAGTATGGCAAAGCCCCTACAATGACAATCTAGTAAATTGTAACAATACTCAAAAATTAGAACAGAATTAAATTTTCTCATCTAAATAAAATATGAATTAAGAAAATAAATTGTTCATATTTTTATTAGAAGGTTTCTTATTAAGCTGCAGTGGTTACTATATTATGATAACTCCTAACTGCATGTAGTAGGTAATATGTCAACTATAGCCAAGTTCAGCAAGAGTTTTGATACTTATGAAGTTGGACTTTTTACAAAATCTATTGAACAAGATACCAATAATATATGAAAATTAAAAGTTTATTTCCAAAACAAACAATACTTTTATGTTTAACTTTTTATTAGTAATATTTTTATAAGTTCAATATCTCTAACATCCTTCTTTTATACAAAAAAATAAGTAGTGTAAAGAAAACACTGTTCTTTTGTACATTTTTCGCTTAATACAATATAAATATTTTATAAATGTATTATAACTTTCATGGGTTCTCCGGTCTTAGCGAACTCCAGTGCTTCCTTTGCTTTCTCCATAGGAAAGTGATGCGTGATGAAAGACTTCAAATCGATAACGCCTTTGGACACTGCTGCCAGCGACATGGGATACCTGCAAAAATTCTCATAAATTCATTTTCTTTAAATAGTCATTCCTGCCGACAGGTTCTTTAACTTTCATAAGATTATAAATAATTATTATTAGCTGTATTGATTAAATACTCTATTCAGAAACAGAAGTGGATATAAAAATATTATCGTTGAGGTATTAGAAAGAAATGTAGACGTTAACATTGTTATCTAAATGTATAAATATGTAAATATACTATATATCCAAGTGTCATACGAGTTAAGCAGCCTGTAGGACCCTCGGACGTCAACCTCTCGTAGTAGAGCAGCACTCAGCGGCACAGACACCAGCTCCTCACCGATACCGACCACCAACACAACCCCGCCAGTCTTTGTTACCTGAACAATTAAGAACGTATCTCATGCTTATGCTATATATATTTTGTCGATCTTTTTATCACTCTGATCAGATGACAAAACTTAGAAGTGTTGCTTAAAGACTTTCTAATGAACAAATATTTTTTACCCCATTAACATTATTCGAATTGTTTGTTTCACCCAGATAGCCATTATAGCAGAACCAAAAATAAGATCTAGGGGACTTCTTCCATCTTGTTATTGGTAATAATTGGTTGGAAGTTTTCATAATTTTAAAATGTAATGTAATGTTCTCGGAACTATATTATTTTTTTGTAAAATATAGTAAACTCTTCAGATATACTAAATATTTTCTGTGTATTTCTAGATGGTATACCATCAAGGCGACACGTTGCGCTGTTACATGTCCACACGCGTCTATCGTAACATCAGGCGGGCCGCCCAGAGCCTCTGTCACATGCTTTACGATGTCTTCTTCGCTGTATTCCGATTTAATTAGCAAAGTATGATCTGCAACCAACCGCTTGGCAGTCTCGATCCGAGCGGCGACCGTATCTGAATTTAGAATCACAATAATATAAAATAATAACTATGAAATAACAAGCATTATTAATATGTTTATTCATACCAGTCATGACTATCTTAGCGACGCCCATAGCCCGTGCAGTGATTGCACATAATAGGCCCACAGGGCCTGCGCCCATGATCAGTAATGTACTGCCTAGTTTTATTCCTGCTCGTGAGCACGCATGCACCGCAATAGCTAGTGGCTGGGTGGCTGCACCTTCCTCCATAGTCACATTCTCTGGTATCCTGAATGAAGTATTCAAAGTGTTATATCGCTCCAAAAATTGTAATTATATCTCTAGTATCAATTTTAGCGTTAGTTTGCCTCAAAGGTTAAACAATCTATTGATTCATATAACCACATTAGATCACTGACGTAATAGTATATTATTTATTACTTGTGACAGAAGTCAGCTACGTGTTTATAGTAGGTGCTGAGGTTGCCGTGTGCTCCGTCAGTTGAACAGTATCTTGGTTGTTCACACACGTTGTATCTGCCGCTTCGGCAGAACGTACAACTACGGCAGGGCTGAGTCGGCTCGATGGCCACGCGGTCGCCGGCTACTAAGGTGGTAACCTTACTTCCAACCTAGTATAATAAAAGCCAAAATGTATTTACAAACTTAATTGAACGAAAAATTGAAAGAATATCTTGTATATTAAATATGAAGGACAAAATATCGTCTAATTTAAATAAGAATGTTATAAAACCTGAATAAACTAATAAAGTATGTGAAAGTCTTAGCACCTGAACTACGACGCCAGCTCCCTCGTGCCCCATAACAATGGGTTTAGATAGCTTTTCCAACCCACATCGCCCCATGGAGTACATCTTGAGGTCTGAACCGCATATTCCGACACAGTCCATTTTTATTAAGACCTCTGTAATAAATATAATGCAATGAGGATGGTTGGTAGCTATTGAAGGCAAAATAATTGAGATTATTAGCGACGGCGATAAACGATAATATATAGTTGAAAGTATTCAGAGAAGGTGAGAAAAGAAGAGCATCTTTTTAGTCCAAACTAATACAGTTCGAAGGATAAGTTTTAAGATACCATTCAAGTGAGTTCGTCATTTCTTAAATTAGCTTGAATATTATTATTTAATGCAAAAAAAATTAAAATAGACAACAATAACTACAATAGTGGATATTTCCAAAACAATATTTATCCTTATAACGGGGCACTTGTACCTACTTATATTATTTAATAACCAAAAAATTTATATTATTGTTGACATATGTATATTTAAAATTATATGCAGTTACACTTTTTATTATTTCTGCGGCCTCTTATTTGTTATTAAAATATTCTTTGAAGTATATTTAAAAATAAAGTGTAACTTGAAAGATTAGAGACCGTATGTCCTTCATGACGGATACATATATTCAGCCTAGAACAAAAGCGAAAAATAGCCAGACTCTCTATGTTCCACAGGTTACAATGTGAAGACAGAGAATGCACAGAAATTATACGATTTAATTCTCGCATCCCGTTCTATCATCGGACAACCAGGAACACGGCGAGCCTCCATCCTTTCGTTATAGATATTCTTCGTATTCAAATACACTTCCAATGCTTGCAAAACACTTCCTCATGAGCACAGGAATTGAAACAGTTGGCCTACGTCTGTGTTTGAGAATAATCGAGACCGTACTAGCGTATTTGTTAGGTTTAGTTTCTTTTATATTTAACGATTCTTACCATTGTCTTCAATAACCGGCATCGGCCATTTTTCCTGTAAATATAAAGGGTTTTAATAACTACGAGTCCCCATCTATGTTCCTATACTGACACTTATCCTACTGAATATTCTGATTTTAACCACTCCACTGTTATTAATAATAAAATACAAAATATTGGTCCAAAAATAACAACATTATTATTTAACTTAAACTTGAACTTCATTTAATAATATTCTTCTAAACTATTATTTAACAAAAAAATATTATATGTACTATACGTCAAAAAAAGCCAAAAGAAGAATGTGTGAATTATATATACGAGGTGACTTTTCATTGCAATTTATTTTTATCAATAAAATATACTTAATTTATATAAAAAACTAAACTTACAATTCTCACATCATTCGGTCCATGTAGAACGACTGCGTAATTTTCCATCATTTTAAGTACAGTTACAATTTACTACTGTCGTACGTTTATTGTAATACAAAATAATAAAGTTTCGTTAAAGATAATGATATATAAACAATTATATATTTTACCGTCACATAATATTTGATTAAGTTCAAACACTTATCTCGTGTAGAACATAATATTATTAAAACATACTTAAGATAGTTTCTGTACACAGTTTTTTTTAAACATAACATATAAACAATATATTAACTTTGAAATACTTTAAAAACCAGAATTATCAAAAATGTATCAAGAGGGGCATCAAGCATTATCCTAAGAATTAAAAGTTCGATCAAAATTAAAAACTCAAACCATTGTTTTTTTTAAATATTACTTTATATATTTTCAGACGGAAACATTAAATATGATATGTATTGTCTCTTTATGGACAAATCTTGAGAATGAATTGCGCAAAAATAACCGTCATGTTATCGGAGCGGTTAATTAAACAAAAATTTTATATTTGTTTTGAATTTAATTATTTTCTGACAAAAATATATTCTGTTTTCGTGAAATCTTTCAAATATTAGCTATTCATACGTATTTGTCACTTTACCTACTAAAAATTTGCATCGTCAATATCATATTCATAAACCTACTGGTACAATGATGTGTGATGATCTTTGTTTGTTTGTTTATAGATCAATGTATGTTTGTATGGTAATCCAAGTGAGCTAAGGTCTATTTATCTACTATTTCTTACTCTATCCCTATTGTCAGCTTTTCTCTTTAGGTCTAGCTATAAGCTCTCTAACACCACTCGTGTCAAACTATCATGAACAGTACCTATAAATTAAATCAGCCTATAAAATAAAATATCATATCACAGAAGTTAAATTATTGCATAAAAATATAATATATCTTAATCTATAAAACTGTTCTATATATAACACACATTACATTATCTTTTAATGTCATTCGTATATATTTGCTATGAGCTGAGAAATTAAATACCTCAATACATATTTAAAACGAAGATAACGTGTTTAAGGTCGTTAATTGAAATTATTTAATAAGGTTAAATGTATAGAGTATCAATTAAATTGATGGTTGTGTATGATAATTTGATATTTGTCATCCATTTTTCCTCTTTCTTCCTCTCTGACAAATATTTGTGAGAAACAAGTTTTGTGGTCACAACATTCAGGAGTTCTTATCTGTTCAGCCCAATTTTGGCATATTCACACTACGTACGAACGGATGATTTTTGCTTAAAAGTTTTTTCTTTCATACCTAGTACCACGTCATAGATTTACTGTTAATAACTTATTTTTTAAGTTATTTAATGACAAACGGAAAACGATTAGTATGTACGAGTAGTGTCACATTGCAAACTTCGATACCTCCCACGTAAGTTGTTGTATGCCACAAAAATGCTATTTTGCTTTTTTTTTCTGAAAAATATCCTATAATGGATCATTATATCCATTCAAAGTAAAAAATAACAACAATAAACTCTATTTTTAATGGATTTGTCAGACGCATAATGTTGTAATTTTCAAACGCGAACGAATTACACTGATGTATATATGGCTATGCATTTGTGTACGCTGGGTGCGGGCGGGTAAAATCACGCGCTCACGCCGCGTATGAGTTACATACAACAGAGTAAGACTTATGTTTTTCAACGTATACAGTTGTTACTATCATATACCACAAGTGATGCTACCTGGGCGCCGCGGTAAAATGTTGTTAGTATCAGATGCAACCACTTTCATACCTTCTACTACGGAGTAAAATTACTTAAAGTATCTTATAATATAGTTAAGAAGACTATTTTGTTAAATTTAAATACGAAATTTTAAAAATATGCGTAATGCATAAATGCAGATTTTGGTTTAATTTGAATCTTTGAAACGCTCTACTGTAAACTTACAGTTTTGGAGATACAACAACTTACGTGGGAGGTATCGACTTGTGCTAAGTATGTTCGTGGTTAGTTTTTCTCTTGGGACTTGGGAGAATTAATAACACTTCTTTTTCCAATAAGTTCAGAGTCACTCAGCCTCAATGAAAATGTATCTTCTGTGCCATGATTCCTGCCGTTAGTTTAAAGTCGCTATATAAATTACTATTAATTAAACCACAAATATGTGACGTTGTTGTTCTTGGTGCTTTATTAATAAAAGTGCCATGAACATTGACACTAATAAAAACTGTCAGAATGACTCAACTCTGTTTTTAACTCATCCTATTCTCTCCGTTACGTGAAAATTATACAATCAAATTAGACTAGATAATTGAATTAGTTTAGGCTTTTATCATTTTAGCTCTAGATATAAGACTAATCGTCATCAGCCTATTAGAGCCCACTGCTGAGCAAAAGTCTCTTTCTCACATGGAGAAGGTTTAAGCATTAATCACCACGCTTGCTCTAGACGGGATGGTGATTTCAAACTTATAATTGTGAAATTATAAGTCGTTTCCTCACGATGTTTACCTTGAGTGTGTTAATGGTGTCTAAATACTCTTAGAAAATGCATATGACTCGGAAAAATTACATTGGTACTTGCCAGGATCGAACTCGCGTCCACATGCATGAGAGGCGGGCCCTTTAACCACTAGGCCACCATTGACTTAATGCTATATACTGTGACGAAAATTATTACGTTGAATTATATATCAGTATTAATTCTAATTATAAATATTAAGTAGAACTTATATAAAAATAGCTATATTGAAATTCAATATGGTAACAGAATAGCATTCTTATACTTGTCAGGCATAAAATTAACAAAAAATATATAAAGAATAGAAAAGTAGTTCTGAAATATTCCAAAACAAGTATTGATTCAAAGTGTAAGTATCCAAACCCTCGTAATATATTCTAGCTTTCATTAGTCTTACGACATTGGGCTGATGACGATGACGATATAGACTATGATTTTGAAGCGCTAAAATACTAAAATGTAAACGCTGCCCAGGATATTCAATACAAACATAGTCTTCATAACAAGGAAATCGTTTTGTTAAGAATTGGGAACTAGGTTTGAGTCCGACTGTTGAATATATAAATATACTCGTATATGTGTGATATATTATCGTTATACTTTCCCGCAATATAAATATTTATTTATAAGCGACATTTTGGATCCCAAAACGCCACCAATGTACATATACAAAAAGAGTAACACCAGTTTTACACTTGTGTTTTTATAATCGTTTATTTAACATATCAAAATAATATAACTATTTCTTATTAAATTCATAATTTATTGTTGTATAAAAAAATAACAAATATGTATATTTTTATCTGATTTACATTTTTAAATTATGTGACGTGTATATATATATACTTTGTTTTAAATTTGATTCTTATTTATTAATTTGGCAACATTACATTCAATTAATGAATTAATGAGTGAATGACACTTATAATGTTCGTTCATATAACATGAATGAATCATTGAAGCTTTGTTCTGTTGTTGTTGTGTCGGTCACTGCTCTGTTGTTGTCGTCACTGGAACTTGTCCTTGTTGTTGGCGTCCCGTGGCTGCACGTGTATCATGACCTTGATCCCGTCTCCTCTCCTCGCCACTTCATACGCCTCCAGCGTCTCCTCTAGTGAGAAGTGGTGCGTCACCAGCGGCTTCAAGTTGATCTGACCGCTTGACACCAGCGATAAGGCGATCGGGTATCTGAAATAATAACAGAATGTATAAGAACAAAATAGGCTCTGTCTCTCTAGATGTATAGAGATGTATTTTTGGATACAACTTCATCTTAGTATTTAAATTCTTTTCCTTTCATAAATTTTAATTTTTTTGGTTGGCAGAACTATTAATAGTGCTTTTAATAGTGTTGCCAATCAAAAAAAAATTTTAACTTAACAACTAAATAGACCTAAATAAAGAAAAAGATCTATATAGAAATAATATTTATATAGGTTTTATAGATATGAATTATCTTTCACATGATCATTGATATTAATGTTTATATATAATATTCTCACTCGTTAACGTATCTGAAGATGCCCCTTATGTCGACTTCTCGCGCCATGGCCCCGGCAAGAGGTAGCGTGACTTCGGGATTACCCATACCCACCAGGACTGCACAACCACCTGACTTAGTGGCCTGGAAATATAACATAAGAAGACATGAGTGACTTGATGTATAAGGAAATTATTATTAGGAAATTATTATTAGGGAATTATATGAGTTATACAACTAGCAGAAGGGGGAGTTTCTTTTTTTTTATGTTAAAAGTAACTAACGAGCAAATGGCCTACTTGATGGGCAGTAGTAACCGTCGCTCATAGACATCCGTAACAGATGTTGCCTACCTTGATTGTTGAGGAAAAGAGAGGGGAGGGAATAAGGAAATAGAATGAAAGGGTGGGGATAGGGAAAAAGTTGTGGACAATGATCATAGTAAAATATATATATACTTAACTAAGTTCATTCAACCACGTTTTATGTAGAATATAAACTTACACAGATTTAAGTAAATTACGAAGATTTTTTTTATATGTACATATAACTTAAGGTAATGTTTTGCCACCAAGATAGGCGTTAACATAGAATTTTAAATGTTCCCTTAACCACGTTTTATGGTGAATATTACCTAACACAGATTTAAGTAAATTACGATTTCTTTTTATATGTACATAAAATTTAAATTTTTGTCACCAATATAATATAGAATTCTAAACCTAAATGAAACTAATATTTTCGGATTACTACACATTACTTATTATTTTTTAAAACTGACATCTTGTCTGGCCGTGATCACGGTTGTTGCAAAGTAACCGAAATATCGGGATTATATATTTTAAAATTATAAAATACGCATAGTACATAATCTAAATAATATTAGGTACATTTAAGTGAATACTCTTGAAAGTCTATTCTAATTCTAATCTAGTCAGAGATGACGTAGGAACTTCAATAATCCCTCGACGGAAAGGGGATGCGTAAGGCATTTTTACCCAGTGCGCCGCAAAAAAAAGAAGCTTTAATAATAACATGTTATATCTGACCAGTAGCGCAAGCCTGACGGTGGCGGGTGCTCCGCTGGCGTCCACGGACACGTCCGGGTGCGCCCCCAGCAGGTCGTGGAGCGCCCGCACCAGCTCCGCCTCGTTGGAGTCCCGAGACACTAGTAGAGTATGGTCCGCGCCCAGCTCACGGGCGGTCTGTAGGCGAGACTCCAGGATGTCTGAAGATAATAAATATAGTGGTTTAGTGTTATGATTTGATTTTTTAATCTATATTCTTGAATTTTTCTTAATTTATAAATATCCTGGCGCTGTCCACCGGCACTGATGACTATGACTACAGCTTCTACTAGCAGTACATAACATATACAGAGTTGACTTTTATTTCATACCCGCACACCCTTTATAATGTTAGCCTGTCAGAGAACACTGCTGAACAAAGGCGTCTTTCTCAAAGGTTTAAGCATTAATCACCACGCTTACTCAAGACGGGTTGGTGATTTCAAACTTATTATTTGAAATTATAAGTCCAGGTTTCCTCACGATGTTTTTCTTTGCCGTCCGTGGTGTCTAAATACTGATAGAAAATACATTTGACTCAGAATAATTGGTCACATTGGTACTTACTGGGTTTCGAACCCGCAGCCCCATTCATGAGATGTGGCCTTTAACCTCTAGGCCAACTCGATCTAATTTTTACAGTATGTAATATTAAATGACCAAAATTTATATGAGCGTTTAAATCTAAATAAACCTAATAATTTAACATATAATACCTGTGATGACTATCTTGCTGGCCCCCATGGCCCTGGCAGCCAGTAGTGTGACGAGTCCTATGGGACCAGCTCCTAGGATCAGCACGAAGTCCCCAGCCGTGACGCCTCCACGACGACATGCGTGGATACCCACTGAGAGAGGCTCTAACAAGGCACCTTCCTCCATAGATACATGGTCTGGCAATCTAGACGTTAATTATTGAGGGGATATGAGAAAAATAAGACAGAATGACCATAAGTTTTAATATGTAATAAGTAAGTTTCAAATGGTTGATAACCCATACAGCATATACGGCCACAAATTGGACCTATTTTTAACCCGATCATCTTTGCTGAGATTTACTACTTAGCAGAAACTGATGGGTACATATTTTATTGAAAACATTTTAATGACACAACAAACGGAAAATGTAAGCAACGATTTTACTGATTATAAACTCGTGGAAATATGATAAAGAAACTTCCATAAGGACAGGGCTCGAGCTGGTTTAATTCACACTCACTCAGATCTCTTAGTGTATACGAAAGTTTAATGATTCAATAATAAGGAGGAGTGTGAATGTACAAATGAAATCGAGTACATATGTATATAGTATTGACAACATACATGATGAAATATGTGCCCTAATACGTTATAATAAGGTTCAAGTTATGACATAAATAAAGACGTAAATCATCCGTAATTCATACTTGTAACAGAAGTCAGCGGCGTGTTTGTAGTATCTGCAGAGGTTTCCGTGGACGGGAGGCGTGGCGCAGAATTTTATGTCAGGACATAGGTGGTAGCGGCCTGTCTTACAGAACTCACAGTAGCGGCAAGGAACGCCCGGCTCGATGGCCACACGATCACCTACACTTAGGTTCTTAACGTTACCCCCCACCTGTAGAAATATAAAATAGTTAGGGCTAAAGCAGTGGAGTAAACTACAGAAGAAACTATACAGAATTAACTTGGGACAGCGAAAGTGAGTGGAAGTAATCGGCATGATCAAAATTATATAGCAAATAAAAATGTTTCAGATTTTCAGAATATATGCAACTGTCATAGAACACAAATTGAATTCTCGTCACGATAAACTAATTCCTAGGAAAATATTCCGTATTGACTATCATAGGATCAATATTTGTACAAATTTCTAATGAATAATTAAAGAGGCGAACAAAGTCTGAGTAACAGGTAGTGTAAATCTAGTGTTATAGAACCTATATACATTTTTCTTTTTCAATTTGACTTTAGTTGTTACCCCTAATGGTTGACAACGCCGTTGGGAGGAAAACCTACATAGTAACCATATACAATATATTATGTCTGGTAATCATGACGTCAAAGTTGATTATTTATAAATTGTAAACAGTGGTGTAGGTATATAAAGTAGATAAGCCAATAGATACAATAGCGTTATCCAATTGCAGTCTCATAAATAAAATATATATATTCTCTTATCTCACTATTATGACTCCATAATAATAAGAAAACATTAATATTTATTTAGATTGAATAAAGATAAGCTCCGCGCGACATTTCTAGATTCATATTTTGTTTTACAATTTACAAATGGAATTTTCTTTAAAACAATAATCCACAGACAATTAAACAGATGTGATGTAATTCTGCATACATAATTACAGATAACTAAAATTGTTTTAATTTTTTAAATTAAACAATTTATCATAAACCAGTGGAGTAAATCTTTACTGACTTTTAAAGGTGTAAATATATACTTATGATTATCATATTTTTGTACTAGTAGTGTTTGAATGATATTTTCATGAGCAGTAATAATGAAGTAAGTTAACATACAGAGGAAGCAAATATTATGATATATAAGATTTTCAGTGTTATTAATTATAATAAAACTGATTTTTTCGATACTACGCGATTCAACTGTCACTTAAACTCCCCCTCCTAGTGACGCTGTCAAAGCCATTACGACTAATGCCTAACAGCCAAAGTCAAATCGAATCAAAGTCCCTCAAACGTGATTACAACTCGTTTGTTCGTGTTCACGGTTCCTGTAAAGTGTAAAGGAACCGAAACGTCTAGATTATTTAGTTATAAATTAATAAAAAAAACGCTTCGCACCTGAAAAATAATTATCATTGTACCTACATAATAATTGAATTTATACGTGACGGAATGTCAAACAGCGCCTACGTTCACTATTATTACGATGATGTTAAATTTAAGATTATTATTCACGCGACAAGTGTTCAAATAATTATCTTTTTTGTCAACGGTCACATTACTGATATCATACTCGTGTAAACTACTTGAAAAAAATATTTTCTTTGGATTAATTTATTTTTATGTTAAGGCTTCATTCACACTGGAATCGAGAAATATTTTGTCAATGTCAACTAGGAATATTTATTAACTTAATACAGACCAAATCTTAAATATATGTAGACTAATAAAAAATTACACACACAAGTCGTAAACAAATGGTTTCCATAATTTAAAATAGGTAGGTAATCTATATTAATTTTGTTCAGAAAAATACGCCATAAACTTATGTGCAACTTATTAATATATTTTAATAGCGCCATTTAGATTCAACATTATAAATTATAATATTAATATGTGAAGAGAAAATTTTGTATCACTTTTAAGAGAACCTAATGATAGTAAATGCAAAGTTATGTTTATATAAAACTAGGCTTTACCCGCTACGTTGACTAAAAATTAATTAATATGTGTATTAAAAAAATATAAATGCTACCAGCATCATCATATTATTTAGTTTGCGCTCGTGACTTTATACAAAATACAAATATTAATTATGCCTTGATTATTCGGGAATTACAAGAAATTTGGTTATAAATTCTAGTCTATGTCTTGTTCTGATGTCTTAGCTAATATAACATTTCATGCATAAAGTAGTTTTTGCATGAAATAGCAACAACGCATTATAATATATTATATAAGTCAAATTATTATTATTTCACACAACATGTTTACGTCTATCTGTGAAAATTCCTCAATGTGTGTTTTGTTGCTAAATGTCAAACATAGTGACATTTCTATTCCAATGTTGAACTTGAAATAATCAACCAATCAGGATCGAGTATTTATCGCGGCGAACTAGTGTGCTGTTACGTAACCGTCGCAAGACATTAAAAATATATATGTACATAAATAATTAGCGGACACACCTCCGCGACTTGACCGGCTATTCCTAAGGTCACACACCGGGTCGTTTCAATATTAAACGCGTAATATGTATATTATTATTATCGTTCTGCTCTTGTACAAATTTCAAGGTCATCTTAACTGTTACTACGTAGTGGGAACAATTTATATGAATTAGTTTTTAAATAGTGTAATATACATTACTGTATCGCAGATAATTTTAATCTGCGTTAAAGCAACTGTTATACCAAAGGGATGTGAGCAAATTACTTATTACAATCAGTAATATATCTTTACATACTCATTTTTTATTAATATTTGTTAATAAATTCGCTCTTTTATATCTAATTGTAAGTGTGACGTGTACTACATATAACTCTTATTTACCGATCATCATGCTTACTTTACGTTTTCTACGAAGGTTTACTTTTATACAGGGTGACTGGTGAATTACTATCGATATTTGAGGACGTGATATTTGACGAATATGACGAAATAAAAATTAATATAACATAAATATTAATAAACTTCTAAGTAAAGTTAACCAAAAGTTGTGTAATTAATTACGCATCGTATGAACACCCTACAGATTACTCTACACTACACACTCACACATACGCGCGCGGCGGCGTGTTGTTGTATCAGCACGCCGCCGCACGCGTCCACACTAGGAACACTTGGAACGTGTACACACTTTATTTATTTATACGGAAATTTGGTCAAAAATTAAGTACCTATTTTTTTTACATAATTCGAATGAGAATCATGTACCGAGTATGCTCCTTAAATATTGATAGTAATTCACCAGTCACCCTGTATTAATAATTATATATGTTCGTACATTATAGTAATACGTGAATTATAGAATTGGAAACCGGTAACTTTTCGTTTGTCGTATGGTAGTGCAAACTTATGCTAAGCAAAGTTCTGTTGGCTCGTCTAAATTTTCATATACTAATACACAATGATCACCTTAGCGACAACTCCAGAAGCCTCGTGTCCCATAACCAAAGGATCCTTCAACACAAAATGTCCACAGTGGCCGCTCTGCCAGTAATGGACGTCAGAGCCGCAGATTCCCACACAATCCATGCGAAGAAGAACCTCTATATAACAACAGAATTACATTAAACAACAACAGAACTACATTTAAAAACAACAGAACTTAAAAAATATACAACGCTTTAACTGCATACTACGCGGTTAATAAGTTGCAACTAACTAAATTTACATGAGTATTGAAACTAAGATACATATATATCTTTTGTAGATGCTGATAGTTAATTTGATTTGTTAGAGTAGGAAACCGGAGTAATTGATATTTTTCGTGAATTAAAACCATATTAATCAGACCAAATCACGTTAAATAATAATAAGATAATTACTTTCTTTTGTTTTTTTTTAATAGCAAACGAGCAGGCTAGCCAACTAATGTTAAGTGGTCATCGCGACCATGAACACTCGAAAAACCTGAAAGCACCCAAGTGCGTTGCCGGCTTTTCAGAAAAAGGTCTGATTATTATCGGCTTATTTTTTGGCTAATTAACTATTATTTCGATGTCTTAATATACTTATTCTTGTTAATAAAAAATATTTTTGTATTTAAAAGTTCTTAATTAAATTGTGTAATTGAAAAGTTTCTTATACAAAATTGCAATACAATATTCATCGAAGAGCGCCAAAAGGTTCTCGTAGACAGTATATTTAATATTTACACAAAAGTGAACAAACTTAAGTACTTACATTTTGGAATTACATCGAATATTAATAATTTCTTTATTATTAATAATAAAATAATAAATAAAATAATGTATATTAACATATACATATTATTATATATAAACCGGTATAAAGTATGCAGTTAGCGTTCCCTAAAAGTTATGTATTTATAGATTTCTATTTATTGAGTTTCAAGACATACCATCGTCCGCAATTTCTGGAATCGGCGTTTGTTCCTAAAAATAAGATAAAAATTATATAATGTTTATAATCTTTCTTACATATGAAATTAGAATTTTGCTTAGATACATAGTATATGTATAAAATATTATAAGAATTTTTATTTATTATTTTTTCTAGTAAATCATAAGACACAATAATCGATAAAACTGACAACTCAAGTTCATTTACAGTGATAATAGTTTATCATTGACCTTTAATTACGAACTCAATTGTGCAATTGACTGGTGAAAACTAGTTAGAAAATATAAATTATAATATAATAATTTAAAACCTATCTTGAATAAAACGCATGATATATTTTATTTGTATTAATATACAAATAGGATCGTGCTAGATAGTAATACGTAATCAGCAATCGTAAACGACAATATCTGTGTTTAAATTACCATTAATGGTATATATTTAAATTTACATATATTCATGATGTACGTGTTCGTAGGTACTGGTAGGTAACTATTAATTTTGGTAATAATTTCTATAATATATTAATAATAACTCACTAGTCTTAAATCTTTCGTTTTGTACAAAACAGCTGTGAGGTTATCCTGCGACATGTTGGACGCGCGCTCACTCTGACACTCAGTTAACTACTGTGAAGTGTGACACAATAACATAATACCACTGGCAGTGTTTAATCCCATGTTATATGTATATCACGAAAATGTTATATTTCGTGAGCTGTTTACCCTTATCTTTACTGATTTATGAATATGTTAATACCGCTACTCCACGGGTGTTTATTAATAAAAACAAGTGTTAGCGGCTTACAATAAAGAGATCAATAATATCAACAACCAAAGATCGATCACACTGTGGCAATTACTATCTCGCTTAGAGTACATCTTAAAGAGAATTAAATAGTAATTAAAAATTATAAGGAGACTGAATAAATTTTTCAAATGACGTAGGTAGTCTGATAATAAAAAAAAAACACAACTTACATAAAATTTTGTTTAAATGATAATATAATATGTATTATTATGGTAATTATGTGTATTTTTTATGTTTTTCTTTACTTAAGATAAAAAGGATCACTTTTTATCTTAAGTAAAGAAAAACACAAGTCATTTTGATCTATTAGATTATTAACAACACGTACAAGGGTCTAACTGTTTATGAACAGACAAACAAAAGATTGATTACTCTGCCTGATTGATAGCTTTAATGAAACATTTCATTAAAACACTATTGTGAAGAAATCAAATACCGTCGTAATTTTTTTTACTATGCAGAAACATGAATGAATTTTCATAGATTGAAACTGAAAATTCCATTGAAAGTATACTATGCAGTTTGAACATACATACGTAATGTTACTTTGGGTTTATATGCACAAACTGAACACCGAGAGTTAGTAGTTTTTTACTCATATACTTACTTACGTTCTTGACATTCTGTGGTAAGATTTATATTTCAATCAGAAAATCTTTCATCAAAACCTAATATCTAATTATCTCAGATATATTACACACACCTAATACCAAATTATTAATACTCCAGACGACGATCTAGTTAAAATACTTTCGCGTCTGTTTATATATGTATTAAGTACTTAGATTTTTCTTATGAGTTATGAGGATCTTTTAGATTTTTTATGTAAATTTCTTTTAAAACATAAAATTTTATCTTAGAATATGGAATTAAGATAAAGTGATATTCGCTATAGAATAACAAGTCCTATCATATCAACTATCTTAACAAAATAACTAAATTATGGCAAAGAATTATCTAAGTATAAATTGTGATATCTACTAATCAAAAGACATCATATTAATTTTTGTCTTTCCTTAAACCATATCTTAGGGAGATGTGTTTTATTATCGATAAACTATCTAAGATCTTAATATGAAGATACCACTCAATCTCCATTTTTATAAGCAACGGTTTATTTCCATTTAAAAAATAATCAAATTCAGATATCAGTTTAAACAAGATGTATTTCTCCCTACCGTTTGTTATGTACAAGCTTACGTTAATCCAGAGGTAGTTTGATTTAATTTTTTAAAATATAAACAACGAAAAAAATTCCTTAATCTTTCCAGCATTATATTTGAACAAGTTAATTGTATTAATAATAAGGAAAATTCTGTAAAAAAATTCATAAAACAATTGTAATAATATTATTAAATGTCAAAAGATAAAATTATATAACATTGAAGATTAAACGTCGTTGATAACTGTCGTTTTGTTATTATTATACATGTAGCTATCTTTTCTTAAGGCGAGATTACACTGCTATTTAGTCGCATCGTGTTAAGGCAGAAGTGTATCAGTGTGATACATTCAAGAGTTAGGCGAAAATAAAACTTGTATTGAATTTATCAGAGGCTCGCTACCAATATGTTTATGTGATCATGTATTTTTTACTGTGTTTGACCGTGGTCATAAGCTTAAAGCTGGTCAGCCGACTTTTTAGTCGGTTAAGTCTTTTGGTTTAATATTTCCACCTTTAAATATTGTTATATTTATGTATTAATTTTAGTATTTTTTCAACACGGATAAAAATTTTCTGAATATTGAAGGGTCAAAGTAAAAATTATAAAGTGGATTTACATTCCTATTATATTCTAAACGCACAGGTTAAGATAGTATTTCTAGGTAGAAAAATTGTCACAAGTATTAAAAGATTATAATGGCTTATATATTTATTTATAAAACATTGCGTTTCGAATTTATATCTTAACATATATCCATATAAACATGAAATACTTCAATAAAACACAGATAATATATATTTTTATTAATTATTCGTCCCAGCCCCATATACCGTGACTTTCTCTAATAGTCTCCCTATTGTCTCTTCTCTGTCTGGTCACTGCGCTGGCTTCTCCCTTCGCCACGGCCTTCTTCCTCTCCATCTTCTTCTGTTTCGCTTCTAGATTCTTCTTAACCTGTTGTTTCACTACCTCTGGTGCTATGGTACTAGCGGATGTATATGACCTCATAGTTCTAACATCTGATAAAGTCTTCTCAATCATCTTCAGTCTGTATTTCTGTGAGTTCACGTCCACTTCCTCCACTCTACTGTCTTTTAACTCATCAGTGTCAGTTTCTTCAACTAATTTCGGTACTTCATTATTTTCATCATTAATATTAATTTTTCTTGTATCTTCTGTGATCCTTTTTATTTCTGTCTCATCGTGTTTTATAGAGTCTTCCACCTAATAATAAAAATTATTAGTAATCACAAACCCATATTTGTTAAATATATTAATAATTCCATACAGACCTGTTGTCTGAGTGTGTCAATATCATCTTCTGAGGACTTATAGTTTCCTTCGTCAGGTTCAGGAAGGTTTTCCGTCTCGGTATCTTCATCTCCACTCAATTCCAATTCTATTCCCATTTCCTAGACAACGTAAAGATTTTGTTAAGGAAGCTTTTTTTTACACGGCTTTATAAACTGGTGTTGCATATATCTACGGAGGAATGTAGTCAAAACAAGTTGAGATTCAGAATTTTGAGCATAATTATCATCAATTTCCTGAATTCAGGCTATTTGGAGACTTTGTGCCTATTGCCTTCAAAACCAGAGATCAAAGACCAATGATGATACAGTAATTTGATAACAGTTGTCCATTATGTATATCAGGACTGCCTGATGTCATAAAATCTTTATAGACCCTCTGTTAAGGAGCTAGAGAGATAGAGCAAGCACGCGATCTGTGTAAGTCCTCTCGGGCTGTTTGGTAGTGGACAAACATATGTAGCTTTAACTTTAAACTGATCTTGGTTAATGGAAATAATTCCATACAACAGTGAAACGATGATAATACCAAATGATTTGTAATTCACAAGAAAACATTTTCACAAAAAAAACTAATGGATATATCGAACTATGTATATATTATATCATTGATATTAGTTTATTATTGTCTATTACTAGGGTTTAAGTCTGCATTTTCCAAAGTGTCTTATAAGCGCTGCAAAACTAAAGGGGAGTGTAAAAGAAAAAGACCCAGACAAAAATATTGAGGCTTCATGTAGAAAACCGGGAGGGTGATTTGTTATTTCATTAAGCTACAATATGTTATTGTGGATTTTTAGTATATAAAAAATTGGATGTTACAAAATAATGTTCTTAGTAATCTTAACATTTGCAATACACAAGTTTGGGAACTCCTGGTCTACGATCTGACCCTACAATAAACAATTCTAATCAGAGCTTCTTCTTTATATTAAAAAATCTATTAACTTAAATTGAAATTGTATAGAGATAATTATTTAGAGATTAGAGAGATTAGAGATTGAAATTAGAGATAATTATTTCTCAAACATTTTCTATCCTGAGTCCTCATGTCACTCTCTTGGTACTGACCTGTAGTAGCTGATGATCGTGTTCCTTCCTGTACCCTGAACAAGCCACCTCTCGATCCAAGTCCTCATCTCGCTCCAGTTCAGAGAACTTGGGGTACAGACAGGACTCATACCCAAACCTCTTCTTGAAGAACGCTCGGACACATTGAACATCTCGGTCAAAATATCTGAGGATGGAAATAATATATGAGATATAAAAATCGTTAAATGCAAAAAAGTAGATATATATGAATTAAGACTCATTATAATTATAAAGGCTTAATGAGATCTAAGATTTTCGCGAGTACTCATTAAAATGAAACTAATCTTTTCGGATGTAGGTTCTACGCGATTTTTAATTTTTGACTATAAACTACGAGATGTGATCACACAAATAAAAAAAATATGAGAGCCGTCACGGGACGCCAGGCAGATGTGAAACATCGACATTATTTTATATATAAAGTAATATGATGAAAAGAACGGATAGGGATAGGAACTCAATATGTCATAATGATAAAATGAAATATTACGATGTGTTTTCCAAATAACGATGACTATGTATTGTATAAACATTTATTTTCATTAAATACAAAAATTTATGAATTTATTTCAAACCGTGACTAGTTAATTCGGTCAATCAGTTACTTCGGTAATAGTTACACTCGATGTTGCCTCTAAGGACGGTATTACTGTGACAATTGGTCGATGGTAACTGAAGAATGTTACAAAAACATTGGACATAACATTATCAAGATATCTAGTAAATACAGCATCTATTGTTGTCCCGTATCTGGTAGTAGGTTCTCTTGGATTGTTATTAATTTGCAATTGAAATTCTTCTTGGAGAAACGTTATTAATGGTGCTGATTCATCTTTTACAAAATTTACATTTGAAATCCCCAGCTAAAACCAATGGTAGTTTGTGTTTATTGGTTTTGAAAATTATTGAACCTCTGTGACTGTACGGATATAATCTCTCGTGTAAAAATGAAATGATGTCATTTATTTTTTTATTAGGAGAAATGTACACAACAATTATAATCAATTCACTTCTATCTTCTAGTTTAAGGTGTGAAGCGTGCATATCGCCAATAGATGTTTGGGAGACATGAACTTCTGTAGCATTTTTGAAGTATTGTTGTTTTAATAAATAGAAACTCCAGCGGCTCTAGCATTTTGTCTCTTAAATTTAGCTATGCAATGAAAATTAGGTCAGTCAATTGATTCATTTGCAGGAAGCTATGTTTCAGTTAGTAATAAAAGTTACTCCTTTGACAAATAGAATCTTGTAGATCAGTATTATATGTTCTGAGACTTTGGCAGTTTAAAGTAAAAATTGTTTAGCCTATGTCCTTGCAATGTAGTAAGTTTGTTTAGAGATAATCTTTTAAATTCTTGCTATAAACTTGAAACTGATGGATCTACTCTTTTTCCATGATAAAATCTTAAATTATCCGAACTGTTACATATAAATAGCCCTTCAAGACTCGTTACTCGTATTAAAGCTACGTAAAGTAATGAAACAGAATGACTTTTACTATACTCATAGACCACCTCGTCATATATCTTACACACTATTGTATATAAATACCATTATATAGCGTGGCGACGCATCGCCAGAAAGAAATCGGTGTAACGTGCGGCTATAGATGTTTCACATCAAAATCGCGTAGTAGATCCGAAAATATTAGTTTCATTATAAAAGCTTGTAATATAAGTACAGCGATGCTCACAGTTCAGCGTTGGGATGCATGGTGGAGATCATCTGAGGGAAGTCTATGATGATGGGGTGTCCTTCCTCATCTATCATGATGTTGAACTCATTGAAGTCACCGTGAATGACACCACAGTTGCCCAGTCGCACTATAAGGTTCATTAGCTCGTCATAAAGTGCTTCAACATCGTCAACTGCTGATACATGGGTTCTGAAACAAATAGGCATATAAATTTTTTATTTACTGTATTAAGATTTAAATAGGTAATTTGTCCTGAATATAGTTAAGTAACAAGGTAATATTACAAAATGGGTGTCCTATACATAAGCTGTATACATTGTAAACTTAGGGTAAGCCCTGTTTACAATGTTTAACTAACGGTTTTTCTTTCATAAGCTTATACTAACATTTAGAAAAATGTTTGCATGACAAATTAAGAACTTAACATATTTATCTTGATGATGGAAAATTTGTGGCTGTAGTCAATGATCCTATAGCAATAAAGAAATAAGATTTATGGATAAAAAAGTATAAAATATTTTTTCTTACAAAGGTCCCCCTCCAACTAGCTGCATAACAACACAGTGTCTGTTGAAATCTATTGGTTTAGGTACTGGGAATCCACGGTCATATAGAGCCTTCATGTATGCAAACTCCTTGGTCGCTGATATGCGGGACAAATACAGCCATGAGGCCCGATTACGGTGTGCATGATAGTCTCTCTTGTCTTTGATATTACGGAAGCATGTTCTGCCCAGCCTGTGTGTATATAACTTTTAATAGAGCTTTTTCATATATGTCATATTGAAAGGGTTTTAAAATATTTTTTTAGACTTTAAACTTGCCTATGAAGCTTCAAACATAGCGGGTTTCTGTCCTCATCAGCTACAGTGTAAATGTTAGATTCCTTTCCGACACCAATTTGGTTACCAAAGGAGGCAATGACCTTTCTGTTTGTTAAAGCTTTAAGAGCCAAGTAATCATAACCAGCATTTGTAAGACGGTAACCATCATCTGAAAATAAAAATATTAATTTATCTCAACAATTTTCTTATTTTTGTAATTTTCTTGTAAAGGAGAAAATTCGGTTATATTAGGAACATATAATAAGTATCAATAACCAAAACATTTATATTATACTTCTTAACCAGGAAGAACAACATAAAAAAAATAAAATTATGTACACTCACAGTGTTTACCACGTTCGTATGTCAACAATCTATGTTTACAGAGATCTTTCATCAGTTTGTGGACTCCACCGTGTCGCAAATTGGCTATAGAAGCCACTAAAGAGCCTGGAACCAGTTCATGATTCTTCATACCCATTTCCACCTGTAAGTATATATTTTAAAAATTAAAATGTACACATCATAAGGTTAACTCACGTTTGGTTAGTCACTTACTGCAGTAAGAACTCGAAAATCCTCCGGTGTTAAATATCGCAATATTGCTACATCGAGTTTACCCATTATGACAAAACGAAATTACAAACTTCTCAAACATTCAAAATACCTATATTTTTATTTTTTAAAAAGAGAAATAACACAAAGCATGGACTGTGACAGATTTGTCATTTCAAAACTGTCAAATTGACAGTTATATTAAATGTCTTAATTGACAGTTATATTAAATTTTACACCATGTGATTAGATTTTTAAAAATAAAGATATTTAGATAATCTTAAGTTTTGTAAGAGTATTAATTTAAAAATTTAAGATATAGTTGTTTTTTTTTTTAGTGAGTAATTTTAGCTTTTTTCATTTACTTATAGAGTGATTTCCTTGTTCATCAATATTTGTTGATTAACCAATTAAAAATTTATTTGTTTATATACAAAAGAATTATCCTTAAGTATTTGTTTAATGTAAATATGAACTATAGCGAACTGCCTCGGGGGCGGAAAGTTGATTGTTACCTACGAATCCGATTACGATTGTTACTCACGAATAATTTCATCCTCTGTTGGCACAATACTGATCCCTCTTCGGGGAAGAGACAAAATATAGCAGATTAAATCTTTCAATTATCTACAAACATACAATCTACTCAAACAGTCGGCATATGTTTACCAGAGTATGAGGGCACAAGTAACTGACAAACGGTACAATCAGGACATAGTTTTTTTATACAGGTGAGCAAAATTTGTGACTGCATGCAGTAATACTTTTCGACCAATGGAGTTTTTTCATTTCTTATTCCACAAGTCACAACCAAATAAAAAGTATAGCCAAGGACAATGTTTAACGCGTCAGTTGTAATCGAGCGTCAGACGAATTTAAAACTAAAAACTGCAGATTCTTCGAGTGGTCTTTAGAGAAATGTAGTCACTTCCGTAGAATTTATTGATGGGCTTCAAACCTATGTTAGTGCAGATCGGCTATGTAACAAAAGAACTGAGAATACTAAAATGCATTGTAAGAAAGCTCGAGAATGATTTACTCAATTAGGTAATACTCTCCAGTTATATTGTGACGAAGCTTCTTCACATCTTAGAAGATAAATTTTATGTGATCTTTTATTTTTAAAAGCCATTTAATTATCAAATTATACTCTTATTGCTAAATTCCAGATCGTCACTTTTTTCTTTTGGTAAAAACTACTTAATAATAGTGTTTCCCTGTTTCTTCACCACTGTTTTGAAATTAATTTTGGTCCCCTTATTTATCAACACCAAGTTTGTTTGCATCTCGGCATTGAGAAGTATCAAATGATGTCATTAACAAAACTAAATCAAGCCTTATGTTCCAGATATGCAGTTTCGAAAATACGTTATTGATCATTGGTTTTAATGGCTGATTATTAAGTTAGATACCTCAAAACTTAACTAACACTGTATTGTTGGCGCTGCTGTTTGGATCCCCGAATACAACATTATTCTGAAACTTATATTTCGCCCCGATGCATAAATATTTTTTGCTGAGAATATATTGCGCTATAGAACAATAAAGCTATGGAGAAGTCCTTATATCGCTTAATTTTTATTAAGACCCAAAAGTTACGCGATTTGGTACTCTCAAATATTTTTAGAGATGTCTTCAGGCTATTAAAAGTAACCCATGTAAATGCAAAGTATAATGCTCTCTCCTGCAGTCAATATTAAAATATTCAGATCATATTTGTTTAAATAGCTAGCAACAATGGCGTTCATGGTAATTAATCGGAGAAGTCTGAGCCAAGGATGAAACAAATACTGGTTGTATGGACGACTATAGAGGAAACTAAATATTAAAAAATGATTTACTACTTCCCCTCACAAAACAGCACTGTTTTTTCACTCTGGAGAGCGTATTAATAAAACACTAGGATTTCTAAAGTGAGATACTTAACGGATGTCCGATCCTCGATTCCCAGTCATCCCCCGACCACCCACCCATATAAAAATACAAATGAACGCTTTGCAACTGTGATTGGTAAATTTAAGCTAAGGCAGGTATGTATACTCTGTTTATCTGACTACACAAAAATATACAGGGTGACTGGTGAATTACTATCGATACTTGAGGACGTGATATTTGACGATCATACATGACAAAATAAAAATTAATATATCATAAATATTAATAAACTTCTAAGTAAAGTTAACCAAAAGTTATGTTATAAATTAATAATAAATTACGCATCGTGTGAACACCCTACAGATTAGGTATACACACACACACACACACACGCGTGCGGCGGCGTGGTGTTGTATCAGCACGCCGCCGCACGCGTTCACACTTGGAACACTTGGAACGTGTCCACACTTTATTTATTTATACGGAAATTTGGTCAAAAATTAAGTACCTATTTTTTTTACATAATTCGAATGAGAATCATGTACTGAGTATTCTCTTTAAATATTGATAGTAATTCACCAGTCACCCTGTATAAAAGATGACTTCAAATGACATATCTTTCAGATCACAGAAATAAGACAACCCTCTTTTGTTTTCTCTCTGTAATCTCCTTACTACTGATATCAATCGTCAAATTGATTTTGAATTAATACCCCTCTCATTACTATTCTATATTTATTCAGTAACAAAACTTGAATATGTTTGTATTTTAATCAACTATTCCTTTGCAATTATTGTGTCTTTTTTTTTTAATTTAGATTTATTAATTATAGCAACTCTCGCGGTGAATGATCTCATCAGTTACGAATTTTTAAATGTCTAGCTTAGACTTTGTGAGTTCCTGAAGTCTACTTATATAGGTGAGTTTTAACGAACTCTTGTATTTGGAGAAATATATATGAAAACGATAATAACTGAGAACATTGATAGACAGGTAGTATTTTACAATGACATTTTATTAATTACACTAGTCAACAAAATTTTAACTTTGTTGTGCCACGTGGACCTTTTTGTCATTTTTTAATTTAATTGGTAATTATAAGATAATAACAATAATAAATAAATTTTATTGAAAAAACACAATGCTTACATAATAATAGATTAACATATAATGATAAAATTATTCTCTTAAGCTTAAACTATGACAATGGTTTCCATTGGTTGAGGTGCATTATGGTTTTAGCAAATTTTAAAATTTTGATTATCTTTGGACTCCACACTAGGAGACCTGTATCGTGGGGCCCGACTAAATAAATAATTTAAAAAGTTAAAAATAAAATAAATAGGTAGTTAAAAAAGAGTTGCTGGACAAGATTTTTTTCTATTGCGTCATTTAAATATTAAGTTGCTCTTATTTTAAACAACTTATTGTAATCTCAGATTTTCTTGAGTATTTAGCTTCTGGTTGGTTCCTTTTAATTGTCCAGCAGTAATCTGCTAACATTGGTAATAAATTATGGGCCCGAATGGGCCCCATTTCCCTTGGTACCGCTTTTCTATATTAGAAATTTCTTATTGAATCTCTCACCGTGCTCGTCGCTGACAGTCCCTAAATTGTCAGGAAAACATCCAGGTGAGAGTCTTAAAAATGTAATTAAAGAGTCGTGTTGCAACCCAATCCTTGATATGACAATAGTAGCTCGTGAACCAACTCTCACTACTTAACCAACTCTCTCGTATTATGATGTAATAAATTCTATCGTTTTAGACGGGATCCTAGTAGTTCTAACTGCTTTTTTGATAAATTTAAATCCTTAACTAAATCATTTAGGTCTCCTTCAGTTATCAAATGTGGCTCGTTTACAATTTCTTCAAACTCAAAGTCATTGGCCTCTTCAACACATTGATCTGAAGTTGACGGTTGTGAATTGTCGCGCTCAATAGACTTATTTACAACTGGTATTAGTTATGTCCTTTTTTACAATAAGAGACTGGTCTTAGAGCCGAAGATAAATTTGATTAAAAATCTGTGTTTTCCTTTTTGTAATTTATACCTTTTATATCAATGAGACGAAAATAACAATCTGAAAAGGGATCTAGTCATTCAGTCCATATCATGGGTACAGCAAATGGCATACGGCATATATCTCTATTCCTGTCAGTTAAATTTTTCACACACGAATATGCAGCAGACATGAGTAGCCTACCATTTGTCTTGATTGTCGACAGAAAATGAATCACAAAAAAATGTTTAAATTCAGCAACAAATATTTTTATACCGATTTACTTACTTGTAAGTGTCTTTGTTAATTAACAACCGCAGTACTAGTTATGAGAATTACCGCATCAAAACAACAAATATAAGGCTAACTGACTAATGAAAACTGTGAATTAATAATGAGGATAGATTGATAAAACAAGTTTAGTTATCAAAATTCTTGTGGCAAAACCAGTGTTGACCAGTGTTATCTCTCTGAATCATAATATTTCATCTAATCCGAGGATAATTAACAAAAGTCATGGAACAAAAAATTCGACATATAGATTTTATTATACTTAATTACTATAATTATTAAAGTACAAATTCTAACATTTTAAGAAAATAGCTGATGTCTGTATGTCACGATCCATGACGTTTGACTTCAAAGTTTAATATTATCAACGATGTCTGTGACCGTAGGAATGTTAAATTATGAAGTGTCAATTTCTTAAATGTTTCCTATTAAAAAACTAATGTTCGTTTATCCGTTATTGTTAACTGTGACCACTTTAAATGTTTGTCCAATTTTAGTGTTTTCTAATACTTTTGAATTGACCTAGCCGACATTAATTTATGTTGAGTATGTACGCCTCTCTGTATTCATTGTTTTGGCATTATATTTCTTTACATAATAGCAGTTAGAAAACTGTGGGAATTCCCCCGAAGAGTGCCATTCCCTGCTAATCTTGTAAAGTAACTTTCTTCTTAATTCTGGCTTCCACAACATTTCTATATTTTGAATTCTTAGTTTGTATTTTATCTTCCAAACAGTAAAATAAACGACATTAATTGTATTGTGTACTTATTTCCTGTAAACAACTGTATGTGCCATGAATTGAAACATGTGATCAGTAATAAAGATTTGAATGAAACAATCTTTAAGGTATACTTAATAGGTACAAATCAATTTTTAAGAAATAAAGCAAATGATAATTTTAAATAATTTCTTATGTATACAGAAACATAAAGTGGAAGTGTTCTACATACATACATAAGACAAGCATATGTTTTCAAAATTTGTAAAAAGCTTTAAAGTTGATAGGCTTAAAATTGTAAGATAACATCTTGTCTTAATAGAAAATATAGTTGGGTTGGGTGCTATATTAATTATAAAACAGTTGTAGAAATAAAAATTTAAGTTAGTGATGGCCTAGTGCTTAAAAGGCCCGCCTCTCATGCATGAGGGTGTGGGTTCGATCCTGGCCTGGGCAAGTAGCAATGTGACTTTTCCGAGTCATATGTACTTTCTAAGAGTATTTAGACATCACTGATTAATGCTGACTCCCAAAGAGGGTTGATGTCAGGCAGGCGGCCGGTCATATAAACAAATAGCCAAAACTATTCACAGCATGTAAGGCAGACCCTGGCAATAGCTGGGAAATTGCCAGGTGGAAGAAGAAGAAGTTGTAGAAATCAAAAATAATTTGTGCATTTATAATTTGTAATAATTAAAATTCATTTCATTTATAATTTAATTATATAAAAAACTGATTCATGACAATTTCAACTGCTTTTTATTGCACTGACAATGTTTAAAAAAATGTTAGATGTTTTGGGTGTGCAGTGTGGAATCTAGTATCCGAAGCTATAACATGTTTGGTCCTGTTTTTCAAATTTTAGAGATGGGACCTGTAGAAGAAGGCCATCTTAATAAGTTATGTATATCACACCTCCAACATGCATGACACATTTTTCTTTATTTAGCTAATGGATCTAAATTATAAAAGAAAACAATAATATAAATACAAAACATGCATATTTATAAGAAAAATTCTCTCAGGATCTATACACACAAACTACTTTTAAGACTAAATCTCACAAATAATATACACGAATTACACATAAACTACAAATACCTAAGTCTAGAACTAAACATTATGGTAACAAAACTATACAATTTGAGGGAGCGCTAATGTACAATAATTTACCGAAAGAAATATTTAACGAAAAATCTTTTTTGAAATTTAAGGCTAAATTAAAAACATACTGTCAAACTTTATAATATTTGAATGTTTGTATAAATAAGGTCACCATTAACTTTATAAATGTTTATTATTATGTTACTAGTTTAAGTTTCCTATGTAAGTGAACTTTGTTCTTAATGGGAAATAAATCATCTCTAAACCTAAACCTAAAATGTGGCTATGAAGGTAAACTGATAAAATATTAAAATAAACTGAAGTACTGTAGCAATCTAAATCTTAATCCTCCTTGGATCAAATACATTATGGTGTTTTAAAATTAGACACAACATTTAACAGTTTAAAGATATGAACTCTGATACAACCATTGTCCGTGAATTTTATTAAGATTTCTCATTATATAGAGGAAATATATTCACTTATTGTCTTCCTTTTGGTTGGCTTCAACATATTATCATTCCTACCCTTTATCACAGTCGCACCTATCTCATCTAGCCTGATTTCTATGATTTTATTAGTGCAACTTTTAAATCTTTAGTTTGAATTACCAACCCATTATTACAATAATTATCTACTACCTGTAGCACTGTCTTTGTTGTATATGTAAACTCATGTCAGAAGTTGTAATACAAATGTTTGTTTTTTTATCAAGACATTTATTCAATTCAATCAGATAATAAGTTTAGGGTATAACAATGGTATAAAGTACGGAATGCTGAATCTGAGCCATCGGTGGGAATGGGAAAGTGAAGTGGACACCACATGCCTTGCACCATCGGTGGGAATGCAAAATGGGATTTAACATATATTCAGTCTGGAGTCAACCGCTAACTTACAGACACCTATTTAGGATGTAGTTAGTTATAAGATTTAATTATAGAGTGTCTTAAGTCAATCGCTAACTTAAAGACACAGCTTTAGCTAGTAGTTAAATTTAAGTCATAATTGTTAAATTGAATATATTTTATAAGTAAAACGTATTTTTCTTGCATTATTCGCTGCCGCCAAACGTAATAAGTCTTTATTTGTATAGTGTATTTATTTGTATTGGAGTTAAAGTAACCTAGAATTAAATAATCTTTCAGGCACTGATATACCAATAACGACCGCCGTCATGGGAACACAACGCGAAGAAATAAAGAATGCAATAATTTCATTTAACGAACCAAACGCTGTGTTTTATTCTGGACAACTTATGAAAGGCAACTTGAAATTTGAACTGAATAAACCACTTCATTATATTGGTAAGGAAGATCTTATTATATGTTCATCTTCATCTCGTCTGCCCGTGTTCACCGTTGATGCAAAGTAACCGAAACGTCGGGAGTATGTAGTTAAAGTAAAAAAAAACTTGTAGTATATCCGAAAATCTTAGTTTTATTCAAACTTTTTAACAAAAGTCACGTGTATGTCTTACTATAGGGACAACTGTACGAAATCATGATGTCGCTTTAATATTTAATATAACTTTTTCCGCAGCTATAAACATACAATATATTGGAGAATGTTATGTTTTCGGGATAGAGGAACAGATCGAGGTATATAATGGAGTGAAACACATAAAGTATGAGGGACGCGAGGAGTACTTTAACGTCGTACACTGTCTGAGTGGAGGGAGTGGTATGTATGAACGAAAAATGTTTGTTATGGACCAATTGATTCATTATTGTATGTAAATTTACACTAACAATACAGTAATTTAACACTTAGGTGCTAAATAGTAACTACCAGTGATTTATTATTGGTAATAATATTCACACACATAGACACACCTACAATTTGTTTCTTTCATTTAATCTTAATTGTACTATATTATTGTCAACAATAAGGATTTTCTCCTGGACTGTCATATAGTTACGTATATCCTACTGATATTATAATTGAAAAAGTTTGTGTGTGTGTATGTTTGTTACTTCTTCACGCTCAAACGGCTGAACCGATTTTGATAACATATTGTATACAGGAAGCTGACGTCCAGGAATAACACATATGCTACTTTATATCCCGGAAATCCGCAGATAACACCGCGGGGCGCAGCTAGTTTTAATATATAATTTATCACGTCTTTTCGTAGGTAGTACGTCTGTCCTGGCCACGGGACCACATTCGATCCCATTCTCCTACCAGCTTCCATCAAACATTCCGTCATCTTTCAAGGGTGATAAAGGGACCGTCATCTACAGTATTATAATTAGTGTGCTAATGACGGAATTCACTAAACAAGAGATCAGCGAGACGTTTGATGTCATATCACCGGCAGACTTGAATCAGTTTTAATGTCTTATATATTTATTTGTAAAACATTACGTTTCGTATATCTTAACATACATCCATATAAACATATATAAACATATATCCAGAGTAATATACAGGGTGACTGGTGAATTACTATCGATATTTGAGGACGTGATATTTGACGATCATATATGACAAAATAAAAATTAATATAACATAAATATTAATAAACTTCTAAGTAAAGTTAACCAAAAGTTATGTAATTAATTACGCATCGTGTGAACACCCTACAGATTAGGTATACACTGACACTCACACATACGCGTGTCGTGACGTGGTGTTGTATCAGCACGCCGCCGCACGCGTCCACACTTGAACACTTGGAACGTGTCAACACTTTACTTATTTATACGGAAATTTTGTCAAAAATTAAGTGCCTATTTTTTTTACATAATTCGAATGAGAATCATGTACCGAGTATGCTCCTTAAATATTGATAGTAATTCACCAGTCACCCTGTATATTTCTATTAATCATTCGTCCCAGCCCCATATCCCGTGACTTTCTCTAATAGTCTCCCTATTGTCTCTTCTCTGCCTGGTCACGGCGCTGGCTTCTCCCTTCGCCACGGCCTTCTTCTGTTTCGCTTCTAGATTCTTCTTCACCTGTTGTTTCACTACCTCTGGTGCTATGGTACTAGCGGATGTATATGACCTCATAGTTCTAACATCTGATAAAGTCTTCTCAATCATCTTCAGTCTGTATTTTTGTGAGTTCACGTCCACTTCCTCCATTCTACTATCTTTCAAATCATCAGTGACAGTTTCTTCAACTAATTTCGGTACTTCATTATTTTCATCATTAATATTTATTTTTCTTGTATCTTCTGTGATCCTTTTAATTTCTGTCTCATCGTGTTTTATAGTCTTCCACCTAATAATAAAAATTATTAGTAATCACAAACCCATATTTGTTATATCTATACTAATATTATAAAGCTGAAGAGTTTGTTTGTTTGAAAGCGCTAATCTCCGAAACTACTGGTTCGAATTGAATAATTCTTTTTGTATTGGATAGTCCAGTTATCGAGGAAGGCTGTGGGCTATATAACATCACGCTACGACCAATAGGAGCAAAGATATAGTGGTAAACGTGTAAAAAACGGGAGAAATTATTTCATCTTTGAAGCCTTCCGTTGCGTGTGCCGTGAAAACGGTTCAAGATACACAAAAAATATGTATTAAAGAATAATAATAGCTCTTTTAATGATCTAAAAAACAATCCGCAACAGTATATGTCTATCTTTTAAGATTAACTCACAAAAACCGTTTTTATGGTACCTAATTTGGTCGAAATAATTTGTTTAAGTTGTATCAACATAATAATATTAATCTTTATTCAAATAAACAAATAAATATGTTGTTGGTTAAGAGTACTTCATTGTGAATAAAAAAAACAGATTTTATCCTGAAAATTCTACGGGAACTCGACCATTCCGAAAACTCCGCAAGAACGGGAACTATGTGGGAAGAACCAAAAATCTGCCGGAAGTCACTATTCCACGCGGACGAAGTCGCGCCAAAAGCTAGTATATTAATAATTCAATACAAACCTGTTGTCTGAGTGTGTCAATATCATCTTCTGCGGACTTATAGTTTCCTTCATCAGGTTCAGGAAGGTTTTCCGTCTCGCTGCCTTCATCTCCACTCAATTCCAATTCTATTCCCATTTCCTAGACAACGTAAAAATTTTATTAAGGAAACATTTTTAAAAGGGAGCTATGAGCTGGTATTGTATCTATCTATGGAGGAATATAATCAAAACAAGTTAAGATTCAGATCTTTGAGCATTATTTTCACCAATTTCCTGAATTCAGGCTAATTTGAAAATTTGCTTATTACTTTTAAACCGTAAACATATCAAAGACCAATGATAATGCAGTAGTTTGATAACAGTTCGCCATTATTAGGATCAAAAGGTGTCATAAAACATTTATACTTCCTCTATGAAGGAAATAGAGGATAGAGCAAGCACGCGATACGTGCAAAATTGTTTACTGGTGGATCAACATATTATGTAGTATTTAAAAGCAATATGCTTCGTAGTTATTTAGATGGAAGAACTTGATTGCTCTTGGTTAATGGATTGATAAATCGAACTATGTATATGTATTTAAAATAATAATTAAAACAATGAAAATAAAAAGTATCTTAAAATCAAATTACCAAAGTACCATAAGTTGGAGCGGGTTACTTCATTTAATCTATAATTCTTGTAGAGTTGTTTAACGTTTTACTACTGAGACCTTTTTCCTACTTTCATTATATCAGGAACTTTTGTTCTGCCGAGGTCGGTTTCATATTTGTATATAATATATACACTAACCTGTTATATTATTGCAATTTCTTACAAAATTAGCAACTTACAGGAGATATTATGCTGTTATTGATATTACTTTATTATTGTCTTATATCAAGGTCTACGACAGCCTTTCCCAAAATGGCCTTTGGGCGCTGCTGGACCAAAGGGGGGTGTAAAAGACCCAGAAAAAAATTGAGGCGTTATGTAGTCTCCTGAGGTGTGATTTGTAATTTTATTTAGATAGAATAAGTTAGAGTGGTTTTTCAGAAATTGAATAATTCGGAGAGCTAAAAAAAAATTGTCTGATCTAAGATCTGACGCTGGTGTTCTAACCAGAGCTTCTTCTTTATATTAAAGATTTTACTAACTGAAATTAAAATCGTCCAGAAAGTCATTATGTCTCATATATTTTCTCCCTATACTGACCTGCAGTAACTGATGATCATGTTCCTTCCTGTACCCTGAACAAGCCACCTCTCGATCCAAGTCCTCATCTCGCTCCAGTTCAGAGAATTTGGGGTACAGACTGGACTCATACCCAAACCTCTTCTTAAAGAACGCTCTGACACATTGAACATCTCGGTCAAAGTATCTGAAAATGCACTTATATGTGTTAAAAAAATCATACACTCTTGCACTCGGTAACAAAACAGAGTACTTAGGATTTTCAATAATTTTTCAGACATAAGTTGCATTACATATTACAAATTTTAGTTAATCTTTCAGTTACCTTGATCACACACAAAAAAAATTTCTGATAATATTTAGATGCAAAAAAAAGTAGATATATATGTGAATTAGATAGTAGATAATTATGTATGTAATTATAAAGGCTTGTAATATAAATTATAAGTATAGTAATGCTCACAGTTCAGCGTTGGGGTGCATGGTGGAGATCATCTGAGGGAAGTCTATGATGATGGGGTGTCCTTCCTCATCTATCATGATGTTGAACTCATTGAAGTCACCGTGAATGACACCACAGTTGCCCAGTCGCACTATAAGGTTCATTAGCTCGTCATAAAGTGCTTCAACATCATCAACTGCTGATACATGGGTTCTAAAACAAATAGGCATATAAATTCAATTTCTTTTCTGTATTAAGATTTAAATAGGTAATTAATTTATCATGAATATAGGTACATACAAAATATGTGTCCAATAATACTTACTCCAAGTTTACAATGTCAAACTGACTGTTTTTCTTAAGCATTAATCATAAGCTTATAATAGTAGTTAGAAAAATGTTTACATGACAAATTAAGACCTTGACATATTTAGCTTGATGATGGAAAACTTGTGGCTGTAGTCAATGAACTTATAGCAATAAAGAAATAAGGTTTATGGATAAAAAAGTATTTAAGTTTTGTTCTTACAAGGGTCCCCCTCCAACTAGCTGCATAACAACACAGTGTCTGTTGAAATCTATGGGTTTGGGTACTGGGAAGCCACGGTCATATAGAGCCTTCATGTATGCAAACTCCTTGGTCGCTGATATGCGGGACAAATACAGCCACGAGGCCCGGTTACGATGTGCATGATAGTCTCTCTTGTCTTTGATATTTCAGAAGCATGTTCTGCCCAGCCTGTGTGTATATAACTTTTAATAGAGTTTTTTCATATAGGTCATAGGGACTGTTCAAGTATTACGTAAGCAGATTTATTACAAATATTTACCCCCCCATCCCCCTTGTCAGCAAAAGTAAGCAAAGCTCTTACCCCCTCCCTCATGCTTATGTAAACATTTTCAATTACTTTATTGTTTTTTAAATATAAATCCATTAAAAAAATATAATTTTAATTACTTATGGATCTTCTCGATGTGATGTTAAAAAAGTAAATAACTACCGATGACGTAGTCATCATCTAGACTCCCCAACCCCCCATGTCATCCAAACTAAGCAAAGCGAAGACCCCCCGCCCCTATATAATGCTTACGTAATACTTGAACGGCCCCATATCAAAAGGATTTCAAAATAGTTTTGTTTAGACTTTAAACTTGCCTATGAAGCTTCAAACATAGCGGGTTTCTGTCTTCATCAGCTACAGTGTAAATGTTAGATTCCTTTCCGACACCAATTTGGTTACCAAAAGAGGCAATGACCTTTCTGTTTGTTAAAGCTTTAAGAGCCAAGTAATCATAACCAGCATTTGTAAGACGGTAACCATCATCTGAAAATAAAAATATTAGTTTATCTCAACAATTTTCCTATTTTTATAATTTTCTTGTAAAGGAGAAAATTCGGTTATATTAGGAACATATAATAAGTATCACTAACCAAAACATTTATATTATACTTCTTAACCAGGAAGAACAAAATTAAAAAAAATATAATGATGTACACTCACAGTGTTTACCACGTTCGTATGTCAACAATCTATGTTTACAGAGATCTTTCATCAGTTTGTGGACTCCGCCGTGTCGTAAATTGGCTATAGAAGCCACTAAAGAGCCTGGAACCAGTTCATGATTCTTCATACCCATTTCCACCTGTAATTATATATTTTAAAAATTAAAATGTACACATCATAAGGTTAACTCACGTTTGGCTAGTCACTTACTGCAGTAAGAACGCGAAAATCCTCCGGTGTTAAATATCGCAATATTGCTACATCGAGTTTACCCATTATGACAAAACGAAACTACAAACTTCTAAAACATTCAAAATATATTTTTATTTTTTAAAAAGAGAAATAACACAAAGCATGGACTGTGACAGATTTGTCATTTCAAAACTGTCAAATTGACAGTTATATTAAATGTCTTAATTGACAGTTATATTAAATTTTACAACATGTGATTAGATTTTTAAAAATAAAGATATTTAGATAATCTTGGGTTTTGTAAGAGTATTAATTTAAAAATTTAAGATATAGTTGTTTTTTTTTATAGTGTGTAATTTTAGCTTTTTTCATTTAAGTAAATGATAAAATAGCTTTAGCTTTTTTCATTTAAGTAAATGATAAAATAGGGTGATTTCCTTGTTCATCAATATTTGTTGATTAACCAATTAAAATTTTATTTGTTTATATACAAAAGAATTATCTTATCCTTAACTATAGCGAACTGCCTCGTTTGCTGAAAGTTGATTGTTACCTACGAATCCGATTATGATTGTTACTCACGAATAATTTCACCCTCTGTTGGCACAATACTGATCCCTCTTCGTGGAAGAGACAAAATGTAGCAGACTAGATCTTTCAATTATCTACAAACATACAATCTACTCAAACAGTCGACATATGTTTACCAGAGTATGAGGGCACAAGTAACTGGCAAACGGTACAGTCAGGAGATAGTTTTTTTTATACAGGTGAGCGAAATTTGTGACTCTGCATGCAGTAATACTTTTCGACCAATGAAGTTTTTTCTTTTCTTATCCCACAAGTCACCACAAATAAAAAGTATAGGGAAGGACAATGTTTAACGCGTCCGTTGTAAGCGAGCGTCAGACGAATTTAAAACTAAAAACTGCAGATTCTTCGAGTGGTCTTTAGAGAAATGTAGTCACTTCCGTAGAATTTATTGATGGGCTTCAAACCTATGTTAGTGTAGATCGGCTATGTAACAAAAGAACTGAGAATACTAAGATGCATTGGAAGAAAGCTCGAGAATGATTTACTCAATTAGGTAATGCTCTCCAGTTATATTGTGACGAAGCTTCTTCACATCTTAGAAGATAAATTTTATGTGATCTTTTATTTTTAAAAGCCATTTAATTATCAAATTATACTCTTATTGCTAAATTCCAGATCGTCACTTTATTCTTTTGGTAAAAACTACTTAATAATAGAGTTTCCCTGTTTCTTTACCACTGTTTTGAAATTCATTTTGGTCCCCTTATTTATCAACACCAAGTTTGTTTGCATTTCGGCATTGAGAAGTATCAAATGATATCATTAACAAAAATAAATCAAGCCTTATGTTCCAGATATGCAGTTTCGAAAATACGTTATTGATCATTGGTTTTAATGGCTGATTATTAAGTTAGATACCTCAAAACTTAACTAACCACTGTATTGTTGGCGCTGCTGTTTGGATCCCCGAATACAACATTATTCTGAAACTTATATTTCGCCCCGATGCATAAATATTTTTTGCTGAGAATATATTGCGCTATAGAACAATAAAGCTATGGAGAAGTCCTTATATCGCTTAATTTTTATTAAGACCCAAAAGTTACGTGATTTGGTACTCTCAAATATTTTTAGAGATGTCTTCAGCTATTAAAAGTAACCCATGTAAATGCAAAGTATAATGCTCTCTCCTGTAGTCAATATAAAAATATTCAGATCATATTTGTTTAAATAGCTAGCAACAATGGCGTTCATGGTAATTAATCGGAGAAGTCTGAGCCAAGGATGAAACAAATACTGGTTGTATGGGCGACTATAGAGGAAAATAAATATTAAAAAATGATTTACTACTTCCCCTCACAAAACAGCACTGTTTTTTCACTCTGGAGAGCGTAATAATAAAAAACTAGGATTTCTAAAGTGAGATACTTAACGGATGTACGATCCTCGATTCCCAGTCATCCCCCTACCACCCATCCATATAAAAATACAAATGAACGCTTTACAACTGTGATTGGTAAATTTAAGCTAAGGCAGGTATGTATACTCTGTTTATCTGACTACACAAAAACATACAGGGTGACTGGTGAATTACTATCGATACTTGAGGACGTGATATTTGACGATCATATATGACAAAATAAAAATTAATATATCATAAATATTAATAAACTTCTAAGTAAAGTTAACCAAAAGTTATGTAATTAATTACGCATCGTGTGAACACCCTACAGATTAGGTATACACACACACACACGCGTGCGGCGGCGTGGTGTTGTATCAGCACGCCGCCGCACGCGTTCACACTTGGAACACTTGGAACGTGTCCACACTTTATTTATTTATACGGAAATTTGGTCCAAAATTAAGTACCTATTTTTTTTACATAATTCGAATTTGAATCATGTACCGAGTATTCTCCTTAAATATTGATAGTAATTCACCAGTCACCCAGTATTAAAGATGACTTCAAATGACATATCTTTCAGATCACAGAAATAAGACAACCCTCTTTTGTTTTCTCTCTGTAATCTCCTTACTTCTGATATCAACCGTCAAATTGATGAATTGATTTAGAATTAATACCCCTCTCATTACTATTCTATATTTATTCAGTAACAAAACTTGAATATGTTTGTATTTTAATTAACTATTCCTTTGCAATTATTGTGTATCTCTTTTTTTGATTTAGATTTATTAATTATTATAGCAACTCTCGCGGTGAATGATCTCATCAGTTACGAATTTTTAGATGTCTAGCTTAGACTTTGTCAGTTCCTGAAGTCTACTTATATAGGTTAGTTTTAATGAACTCTTGTATTTTGAGAAATATATAAGAAAACGACAATAACTGAGAACATTGATAGACAGGTAGTATTTTACAATGACATTTTATTAATTACACTAGTCAACAAAATTTTAACTTTGTTGTGCCACGTGGACCTTTTTGTCATTTTTTAATTTAATTGGTAATTATAAGATAATAACAATAATAAATAAATTTTATTGAAAAAACACAATGCTTACATAATAATAGATTAACATATAATGATAAAATTATTCTCTTAAACTTAAACTATGACAATGGTTTCCATTGGTTGAGGTGCATGGTTTTAGCAAATTTTAAAATTTTGATTATCTTTGGACTCCACACTAGGAGACCTGTATCGTGGGGCCCGACTAAATAAATAGTTAAAAAAGTTAAAAATAAAATAAATAGGTAGTTAAAAAAGAGTTGCTGGACAAGATTTTTTTCTATTGCGTAATTTAAATATTAAGAAAAAACAAGGATCTATTAAATAAAAAAGTTGCTTTTATTTTAAACAACTTATTGTAATCTCAGATTTTCTTGAGTATTTAGCTTCTGGTTGGTTCCTTTTAATTGTCCAGCAGTAATCTGCTAACATTTGTAATAAATAATGGGCCCGAATGGGCCCCATTTCCCTTGGTACCGCTTTTCTATATTAGAAATTTCTTGATGGAATCTCTCACCGTGCTCGTCGCTGACAGTCCCTAAATTGTCAGGAAAAAATCCAGGTGAGAGATCCAGGTCTTAAAAATGTAATTTAAGAGTCGTGTTGCAACCCAATCCTTGATATGACAATAGTAGCTCGTGAACCAACTCTCACTACTTAACCAACTCTCTCGTATTATGATGTAACAAATTCTAACGTTTTAGACGGGATCCTAGTAGTTCTAACTGCTTTTTTGATAAATTTAAATCCTTAACTAAATCATTTAGGTCTCCTTCAGTTATCAAATGTTGCTCGTTTACAATTTCTTCAAACTCAAAGTCATTGTGCTCTTCAACACATTGATCTGAAGTTGATGGTTGTGAATTGTCGAGCTCAATAGATTTATTTACAACTGGTATTAGTTATGTCCTTTTTTTACAATAAGAGACTGGTCTTAGAGCCGAAGATAAATTGGAGTAAAAATCTGTGTTTTCCTTTTTGTAATTTATACCTTTTATATCAATGAGACGAAAATAACAATCTGAAACGGGATCTAGTCATTCAGTCCATATCATGGGTGAAATGGCATACGGCATATATCTCTATTCCTGTCAGTTAAATTATGCAGCAGACATGAGTAGCCTACGATTTGTCTTGATTGGCGACAGAAAAACCAAAACATTGTTGATAACACTCCAACAGAAGATTCGTAAAAATTCTTCGTTGTTTTTTAAATGTAAGTTCCCCGCAGACTTAGCAAAAAGAGTTAGGATCATTATTACACTTCCTCGACATGTTCACTGGATTACTTAATGAATCACAAAAAAATGTTTAAATTCAGCAACAAATATTTTTATACTGATTTACTTGTAGGTGTCTTTGTTAATTAACAACCGCAGTACTAGTTATGAGCATTACCGCATCAAAACAACAAATATAAGGATAACTGACTAATGAAAACTGTGAATTAATAATGAGGATAGATTGATAAAACAAGTTTAGTTATCAAAATTCTTGTGGCAAAACCAGTGTTAACCTGGGTTATCTCTCTGAATCATAATATTTCATCTAATCCGAGGATAATTAACAAAAGTCATGGAACAAAAAATTCGACATATAGATTTTATTATACTTAATTACTATAATTATTAAAGTACAAATTCTAACATTTTAAGAAAATAGCTGATGTCTGTATGACACGATCCATGACGTTTGAGTTTAATATTATCAACGATGTCTGTGACCGTAGGAATGTTAAATTATGAAGTGTCAATTTCTTAAATGTTTCCTATTAAAAAACTAATGTTCGTTTATCCGTTGTTGTTAACTGTGACCACTTTAAATGTTTGTCCAATTTTAGTGTTTTCTAATACTTTTGAATTGACCTAGCCGACATTAATTTATGGTGAGTATGTACGCCTCTCTGTATTCATTGTTTTGGCATTATATTTCTTTACATAATAGCAGTTAGAAAACTGTGGGAATTCCCCCGAAGAGTGCTATTCCCTGCTAATCTTGTAAAGTAACTTTCTTCTTAATTCTGGCTTCCACAACACTTCTATATTTTGAATTCTTAGTTTGTATTTTATCTTCCAAACAGTAAAATAAACGACATTAATTGTATTGTGTACTTATTTCCTGTTAACAACTGTATGTACCATGAATTGAAACATGTGATCAGTAATAAAGATTTGAATGAAACAATCTTTAAGGTATACTTAATAGGTACAAAACAATTTTTAAGAAATAAAGCAAATGATAATTTTAAATAATTTCTTATGTATATAGAAACATAAAGTGGAAGTGTTCTACACTCTAAGGCAGGCATGTTTGTTCAAAAAAAGCTTTAAAGTCAATAGTTCATCCATACTTCCTTGGACTAGGAAGTCAGTGAAAGAAATTAGCCAAGTCTTGTCAGATAAAGATTAAATAAAATGCTCACTAACATGCTATAACACAGAAGCCCAAAGCAGTCATCTTCTTGTTTATAAATAATCACTAAAATAATTAATCTAATGGTTATTAATTACTTGATAGGCTTAAAATTGTAAGATAACATATTGTCTTAATAGAAAATATAGTTGGGTTGGGTGCTATATTAATTATAAAACAGTTGTAGAAATAAAAATTTAAGTTAGTGATGGCCTAGTGCTTAAAAGGCCCGCCTCTTATGCATGAGGGTGTGGGTTCGATCCTGGCCTGGGCAAGTACCAATGTGATTTTTCCGAGTCTTATGTACTTTCTAAGAGTATTTAGACATTACTGATTAATGCTGACTCCCAAAGAGGGTTGATGTCAGGCAGGTGGCCGGTCGTAAAAACAAATAGCCAAAACTATTCACAACATGTAAGGCAGACCCTGGCTATAGCTGGGAAATTGCCAGGTGGAAGAAGAAGTTGTAGAAATAAAAAATAATTTGTGCATTTATAATTTGTAATAATTAAAATTCAAATCATTTATGATTTAATTATATAAAAAACTGATTCATGACAATTTCAACTGCTTTCTATTGCACTGACAATGTTTAAAAAAATATTAGACATTTTGGGTGTGCAGTGTGGAATCTAGTATCTGAAGCTTTAACATGTTTTGTCCTGTTTTTCAAATTTTAGTGATGGGACCTGTAGAAGAGGGCCATCTTAACAAGTTATCTACAGTAGGACCTCGATTATCCGGACTAATTGTTGTCGGTAGGCATCCGGATAAGTGAAAGTCCGGATAATCCAATATATGAAGAAAAACGGGCTTTTTGCATATGTACATATGTAGTCTGTACCATACATATGTAATGTTAGGTGTTTATTTAAAACAACAAATACATATGAGCGAAAATCAACGTTTATTAAGAAATTGTACATAATGTACGTATAAGTGTGATAAGTGGCGTGGCGTTGTGCAAGTTCTGACATGTTAATCTATTCATACAATAATAAAATTGTAGAAAAGTGCTGTCTGTACATTGAAAATAAAAATAAAAAAAATAACAGGGATTATTGTTATGTCGATGTCGAACCCAAAAATGTAATTAACTTTTTTTTTGTCGGTTCACGCTAATCTAAGAAACGGCTGATCCGAGTTGGATTCGGTTTTCACGAATATATTGTGGTATGCTTCAGTTATGCTTTAGTGTTTGTTTCATGTCAATCGGTTCATAAATAAAAAAGTTATGTCAAATTAAAGAACTGAAGAACTGCGTTCAATATTCGACCGGGTGTGTCAATTGTATGTGGCTCTGTCCCGTGTTAGCAATCCCAGCAGCCTGTATGCTTTCACCCCCGATGGCCATACGTCTAATATTGTATATAGAGAAGCATTACAGTAAAGTAGGTTTTTTAGCTACCCAAAATGACTGTGATTATGATCCAAAATAAAAATAAGTATATATTTTTAAAAAAATGCTGCTCATAGTCACAATTCCACGCAAACGAAGTCGCGGGCACGGCTAGTATTAGAATAAACTCGTCGCGATTGGCAGTCCGGATAATCGCGAATTCGGATAACCGAGGTCCGGATAATCGGGGTCCTACTGTATATCACACCTCCAACATGCATGAAACATTTTTCTTTATTTAGCTAATCAGTCTAAATTAGAAAAGAAAATGTGGCTATTTTTATTTATTTATTTTATTTTATTTGGGAAACAAAAAATTTAGAAACAAAAAACATAAATCAATCAAGTTTCCACTTAAAGAAAATACACAAAAAACAAATTGAATTAAATTAAATTAAAATTGAAAGAAAAACAGAAGAGCTAAAAACATTTAGCATTTAAGATATCCCGAACTGCTCCTTTATAAACACTAATTTTTGGGCATAAAATATCTACATTTTGGAAGTTAGTATTATAATTTAAGCAAGAATGGTACAAAAATACATTCTTTGTAAATTTATTGTTACATGAGGTTACAAAGAACAAAGAATTATTTCTAGCACTAAGATGAGGACATTTAAATAATATGTTACTTAGAAGAAATTTAGAGTCAACCATGTTATTAATTATTTTATACAAATATATTTGGTCTCTTAATTGTCTACGCTCAGTTAATGGGACTATTCTAGAGATATCTATGTTATCAGATAAATCAGCTCTAAATCGCAAATGTTTTAAGAACCTATTTTGTAATCTTTCTACTTTATCTACGTAGATGTTATACTTGGGATTCCAAACTGTGGAACAATATTCAAGTATAGACCTAACATATGCATTGAATAAAAGAATATGGGTGGAACAATGTGTAAATTCTTTACACAATCTTAAGATGAACCCAAGCATACAATAAGCCTTAGAAGTAATATACTTGATATGACAAGTACCTAAATGATAATTTGTAGTCTAAAAGTACACCCAGATCCCTAACCTCTGATATTCTGGCTAATAAGGTATCCTGCAGTGAATAATTATATACTATAGGTTTCTTTTTCCTTGTGAACGTTATTGTGTTACATTTTTTTATATTTAGATATAAGAAATTTTCAACACAATAGTTGCTTAAGTTATTAAGGTCAGATTGAAGTAATACACAGACTTGAGTTGAGTTTATAGTTTTGAAGCTATGAAGGTACACTGATAAAATGTTAAAATAAACTGAAGTACTGTAGCAATCTACATCTTGATACTCCTCCTTGGATCAAATACATTATGGTGTTTTAAAATTAGACACAACATTTAACAGTTTAAAGATATGAACTCTGATACAACCTGTGTTCCTGAATTTTATTAAGATTTCTCATTATATAGAGGAACTATATTCACTTATTGTCTTCCTTTTGGTCAGATTCGACATATTATCATTCCTACCCTTTATCACAGTCACATCTATCTCATCTAGCCTGATTTCTATGATTTTATCAGTGCAACTTTTAAATCTTCAGCTTGAATTACAAACCCATTATTGCAATAATTATCTACTACCTGTGCTTGTAGCAGTCTTTGTTGTATATGTAAACTCATGTCAGAAGTTGTAATACAAATGTTTGTTTTTTTATCAAGACATTTATTCAATTCAATCAAATAATAAGTTTAGGGTATAACAATGGTATAAAGTATGGAATGCTGAATCTGAGCCATAGGTGGGAATGGGAAAGTGAAGTGGACACCACATGCCTTGCACCATCGGTGGGAATGCAAAATGGGATTTAACATATATTCAGTGTGGAGTCAACCACTAACTTACAGACACCTATATAGGATGTAGTTAGTTATAAAATTTAATTATAGAATGGGTATTAAGTCAATCGCTGACTTAAAGACCCAGCTTTAGCTAGTAGTTAAGTTTGAGTCATAATTGTTAAATTGAATATATTTTATAAGTAAAACGGATTTTTCTTGCATCATTCGCTGCCACCAAATGTAATAAGTCTTTATTTGTATAGTTTATTTATTTGTATTGGAGTTAAAGTAACCTATAATTAAATAATCTTTCAGGCACTGATGTACCAATAACGACAGCCGTCATGGGAACACAACGCGAAGAAATAAAGAATGCAATAATTTCATTTAACGAACCAAACGCTGTGTTTTATTCTGGACAACTTATGAAAGGCAACTTGAAATTTGAACTGAATAAACCACTTCATTATATTGGTAAGGAAGATCTTATTATATGTTCATCTTCATCTCGCCTGCCCGTGTTCACCGTTGGTGCAAAGTAACCGAAACGTCGGGAGTACGTAGTTAAAGTAATAAAAAAACTTGTAGTATATCCGAGAATCTTAGTTTTATTCAAACTTTTTAACAAAAGTCACGTGTAGATATGTCTTACTATAGAGTATAGGGACAACTGTACGAAATCATGATGTCGCTTTAATATTTAATATAACTTTTTCCGCAGCTATAAACATACAATATATTGGAGAATGTAATGTTTTCTGGATAGAGGAACAGATCGAGGTATATAATGGAGTGAAACAGAAGAAACACATAAAGTATGAGGGACGCGAGGAGTACTTTAACGTCGTACACTGTCTGAGTGGAGGGAGTGGTATGTATGAACGAAAAATGTTAGTTATGGACCAATTGATTTATTATTGTATGTAAATTTACACTAACAATACAGTAATTTAACACTTAGGTGCTAAATAGTAACTACCAGTGATTTATTATTATTGGTAATAATATTCACACACATAGACACACCTACAATTTATGTTTCTTTCATTTAATCTTAATTGTACTATATTATTGTCAACAATAAGGATTTTCTCCTGGACTGTCATATAGTTACGTATATCCTACTGATATTATAATTGAAAAAGTTTGTGTGTGTGTGTATGTTTGTTACTTCTTCACGCTCAAACGGCTGAACCGATTTTGATAACATTTTGTATAGAGGAAGCTGACGTCCAGGAATAACACATATGCTACTTTATATCCCGGAAATCCGCAGGTAACACCGCGGGGCGCAGCTAGTTTTAATATATAATTTAACACGTCTTTTCGTAGGTAGTACGTCTGTCCTGGCCACGGGACCACATTCGATCCCATTCTCCTACCAGCTTCCATCAAACATTCCGTCATCTTTCAAGGGTGATAAAGGGACCGTCATCTACAGTATTATAATTAGTGTGCTAATGACGGAATTCACTAAACAAGAGATCAGCGAGACGTTTGATGTCATATCACCGGCAGATTTGAATCAGGGCGGCGATGATATTAAGGTATTAGTGACTTATAATACATGTACATATATTTCTTCTGTGATAAGACTATTTTTTTTAAGATTTTTAATTTTTTTGTTATTTGCCTAACATATAAATATATTTTGAGCTCATAACATACATGAGCTTTGGTCAAGTTACTGCAGCTCGAACATCAGCTAGCTCGATTGGGGAAGCCCTACCTTCTTACAGAAGATCGGCGTGAAGTAGTCATAAATGGCTGCGTTTGGTCCGATGAGTGAGAGAGACAGTTGCCCTTTCACTATTCCTACAATACTCTTTCCTTCTTCCTCAACAATCAAGGCTGGCAACGCAACTAAGAAATGTTGCGGATGTCCATGGGCGACGGTGACAACTTCCCATTGAGGCCGTCCGCTCGTTTGCCACTTTTCTAATAAAAAAAATATATGCAAGACATTGTTTGCATATACCAAAATATTTGTGACTTCTAAAGAATTACATATTGTACCTTTCAGGACATTGAAAAAAAAAATACAATAAAATCAATTTGATTCACAGAAGCCAGTCATCCTGAATTTTGAGGAAACATCGAGTTGCAACCTGTTCTGTGTTACAAGGCCATTGTCTGTGGAAGTGAAGCTGCCAGCATCAGGCTTCTGTCCCGGACAGACGATACCCATTACAGTAAATGTCAAGAATAAAACTAACTTGGAACTCTCTAAGATAGTGTTTGAAATATCTACAGTAAGTATACAACTTCACATAACATAAATATTGTATTTGCAGCTTAAAATATTTTTGATAGATTTAAATATTGCATCAGTAAGCCATTGATTGACTATACAAATTTTATTTATTATATTATTCCATTCTAATATGTATAACTTATTATTATGCGCAATATATAATTTATACAAATTAAGTATATTTTTCTTAAATTAAGTGCTTTTCAAACTCTGTCCTTACTATGTTGTATTGTTACTCTATAGAAAGAGCGATATCGCAGTCTTCACCCAGTATCAGCGTTCATACCCCCTGAAGAAGTATTAGTGTCTATTAAGAAAGGTCCCGTCTTTGCTAAAACATGCAAAGAATACATGTGGGAGATGAAAATACCAGAATTCATAGCCCCCAATTTAGAAAAGTGCAGTATTATCGATGTCGGGTTCTTCTTCAAGGTAATATATCAACTGTAAGCTTAAACATAGAAAAAAAAAGAAATAATTTATCAATATATGGATTAAATTAAAAATAATATTAATTTCAGGTAAAAATAAAGACGTCAGGTTGTATGGATGATATGTACGACGAGTCTGAGATCTGGTTGGGTCTCGTCCCGCTGGGGTCGTCGGGCGTGTCGTCCCACCCCCTGTCCGAGCGGCTGCCCATCGCGTCCCTCCCCCCCGCGACCCCTCCGCCGCCCTACGAGTCTCCACAGATGCCCCCCCCGTACATACCGAACGTCCCGAACGTTCAGATCTGTCCCCCCGGCCCCGTGCTCTTCCCTACTGTAGCCAACGTCGTAGATAAAAGCCTCGCGTACGGCTCCAAGAGCAGCCCTTTGGGTGCTTTCGAGATCGGCTTCCGACCCCCGGGAAGTTCCTCGATGCCGGTACCAAGTCATCCGTACCCGGATTTCGAAGATCAAGTTCATCAGAGGCCAGATATAAATCCCTACCCTGTTCCTGGTTCCAATCCTCAATACCCTGAACCAGCCGCTTCTGATCCCTACTCCGTCCGCCCCTCCGCTCCGCCGCCGCCCTAAAACCTCACAGCCTAATGAATCTATAACTCTTTAAATCATAATTATATAAATGTTAGTCCTAAGTGCCATCTATATATGCATGACATAGAAAATATTAAATGTCAGTGGAAATCTATCAAATTTCTATAGATAACCTAATATTGACATTATTTTGATTATTCTGATATATTGTATTCCATCGTTATATAAATAATAATAAATTATCGTATTTATAAGACTTTTAATAAACCATATTTATATAACTTTTATACAATTTTAAAGGAATATATTTCTTTTAGATCTCGATGTACATTAATATCATTGAATGTAAATGCAAATACAATTAACCATTTTTTTTTATTTTTATACTAACATCTTTGTATTCATATATTTTATAATAAATAATATAAAATGATTGTATGTTTTTTATTTCAATAATTCTGTTTTTTTAATGAAAGGGGGTAAATAAAAGATATAAGAGGTAGTATATGATTTAATAAATTTTTAAAAATATGTATCCTTATTAATAGTAAACAATAGTATATTGACTTTAGGCTGTTGGAACATTGTCTATAATGGTAAAAATAGTTTTTCTGTCTTACTCTACACTAACATGGCACAACATTTCATAATTCAAGGCACTTTACAGTAAAATTGTTATGTAAAATGAACAAGTGTATATGGTAAAGCTTTTTGTTAATAGCGATATAATAATATAGAAGGAATTATTAGGAATGAAGAAAAGATCATAAGAATACGTATAGTATAAAAGTATTAAGAAAATCATATCGTAATTGTATAAAATATATAAAACACAAATATCAAATTTTGTAAAAATAAATTGTAAGTTGCCTTTTTAAGCGCATCCTTAAGACTACTTAACTTAAAAATAAAATCTACATTTTAAGAACAATTGTGCCACAGACAGATACACATCTACTGGCCTTAAAAAAACCTCCCTTTTATAAAGGGGTCTGTAACAAAAAAATAAAATTATAAAAAATGAGTAATTCTAAATAAATTCATATGCATAGAAATAGCTGTCATAAGGTGTCTTCTATGTTGACATTCATTTCTCTGAAACAAAAAAAATATGTATAGTAAATGTGTCAAATATAGACAAGCTCTCGAGTTTTATGATCTAAATCAAAAATATGTGAATGAATGAACTTTATTACACTAAATAAACAAAATTATTAGAAAAAGATTTGACAGCATATTCCATTAGGTTTTATGAATAAAAAAAATAAATTATTTAATACACACGGGAATCGGGCGAGTCCAATGTGGGCGCGCTAGCAGCTGCGAACGGGTTGGGACTTGATGTAGGCTGTGTATAGAAAACATCAGATATTGAATATATGACAACGAAATAAATAAGAATTATTATCAACGTAGATAGAAAACTAATGACGGTATATATAACAGGCGGTGTGGTCTGAGGTCTTAGACTGTCCATGAGAATGAAAAAAAAATGTCATTTTTTAAGACAATCGAAGCTAAGCTAAAGATTAGTGATGACCAAACTAGAAAAACAATTTGTTTAATTATAGGACAAAAATAGTTAAGGGTTCTGAAAAATAAATCTCTCAATCAGCAAAATTATAATACTTACTGGGTATGGGCTGGGATCGAGGTTTGGCTGCAAAAGTGGTGTATTAACCTCATTACCACTTGGAACTGAGAAACCCATGGGCTTATCTTGTTTAGGAGGGTAAGGGGACGAGTCAGGGTAGGGGGAATTAGTAGCAGGGTAGGGAGCAGCGGAATAGGGGGAATTAGTAGCAGGGAATTGGTTGGCTGGATATGGAGAATTATTTGCTTGATTGTTACCAGGATATGGGGGAGGGTTGTCTGGATATGGAGAACTTGATGGATTCGCAGGAGGGTAGGGGGAATTACTAGCAGGGTATGGAGATTTATTTGGGTAAGGTGAAGAAGATGGAGCATAAGGTGATGCAGGGTTTGGATAAGGTGACGCGGTTTGTGGATAGGGTGATGTGGTTGGAGGATAAGGTGAAGTGTTTTGGGGATAGGGTGAAGTGGTTGGAGGATAGGGTGAAGTGTTTTGTGGATAGGGTGAAGTGGTTTGTGGATAGGGTGGTGTGGTTTGTGGATAGGGTGACGGAGCTGGCGGGTATGGTGAGGCAGTATTAGGGTAAGGTTGAACATTAACTACGGGAGGGTATGGGGATCCGGGGTAGGAACTAATTCCTGCTACTGGCTGCTGAGTAACGGCTGTAATCGTTTGCTGCGGCATTTGACTTTCGAGTGGGTTTCGTACATCGTCTTGGAAACCGACTAGTGGAACTGTTCCGATTATAATCTTACGACTGCCATCAGTAGATGAGTGACATCCAGAAGGGTTGACTGTCACCTGAAATTGTCAAAGAATCCCTAAATATACTTTTGATATGACTAAGCATAGTTAAGTTCTATACATTAGGTATCTTCCTGAAGAACCAAGGTTGGCAACGAATCCGCAACATAAGGCATATTACGGATGTCCATGGGCGACGGTGACTACTACCCATCAAGTAGACAATCTGCTTGTTTGCCAAAAAAAAGTTTTGATGGATATAAATTACCTTGAATTTGTATTCCACATCAATGTACCGGCAGTTGTCCAAGTTGTATACATCCAGGGCTGGGACCATCATCTCTACGGTCCAATCTCTGCTAGTGTTTGTGGGTATAGAATTCTTCTTGATCTCTGCTACAGTTTCTTTCTCTGTCCTAGTACCAGGCTCATGGGTTGCAGTAAAGGTCAGTTTCTGTGAAATTATGATGTTTTTATATGTAGAATAACTTGATGAAATGCCTATAATTGTAGTAAAGTAACATTAGATAGGATTGAGAATATATTATTTAGTTACTTATAAAGAGGCGAAATAATTTCAAAGTTAATTAAATAAATAAGGTTCAAATACGAAATTATGACATATAGGAACATATACCAGAATAAAAATATTATAAAATCAAAAACAAATTGTATGAAACATACTTCCTTATAATATTCTGAGCTTAATTTTGTTTTCAAATTTGTCAATTAAAAGGAAAATTAATAATTTTCAATATTTTTATGGAAAAAATTTTTTACTATGTATGTCAATTGGACAATGTTACTAGAACAAAAAAAAGGAGATTTTTAAATTTTACAGTTAAAATATATTATGCTTAAAGGGACAAGTCAAATCGAATACCAGATTGGATATTGTAAGATCCATTCAGAACAATCCATTCTTCTACAGAAATTGTTTTGAATGAATTTAATTTGGTATATAAATTTTAACTGATATTATACCAACATCAAGAGATACTGGGAACACACATAAATATGTCTTAGTTTATACATACAATTCTTTAAACACAAAAAAAATAATGATAAAACTTTCAATACCTTGGTAATCTCCAATTTTATATAATCAATCTCAACGCTGCCTTGATTAGAACATTTAAGTTCAATGGGTATAGTTTGTCCGGGGCAATACCCTGCTACGGGCAGCTTCACCGTTGTGTCCGCTGAGCCTGATCCCATACAGAAGCAGCAGTACGAATCATGGAACTCCAGCTCCAAGGGCTCCTAATCAGCATGAAAATATAGAAATAACTAACAATTATTAAAGAAAAAACATAGTAGTAACAAATGAAACTAAAATTTTTCAGATGTACTACATATGTGATTTTATTTTTGATAAAAACTACAGATCAGCACATGCTGTCTGCCTGTGATCACAATTTCTGTAAAGTAGTCAAAACATAGGGAGTATGTAGTTTTTTATTAAATTTAATATCACATAGTACATCTGAAAAATATTAGTTTCATTTAAATGAATACTCGCGACAATCTTAGATCTCATAATAGTCAACAGGCATCTTCTTACACACCTTGCAATAAGGATTTTGATTAAGATCCATGGGTGCCATAACACGTACAGCAACTTTCTTCTCCTGATCAAACTTAAATGCTCTGTCAACTACGGCTTTAATCTCATATCTCACATGACCTAAGTGACCCTCAAATGATGATGGGCAATTAACAGGAATATTGAATCTAAAATTGTACTCATAAGTTCCAGGGTTTATGCTATGTTCACCTGAAAAGGATTAATGTAGAAGATTTTTAATCACTTTCAGCAAGCTAGGCTGAATAAATTATATTAAAATTTAATATTTGTCTTGAACTATTTAACTATTTACCTGACTCTCCTCCAACTAGATAAGTCTTAACATTAACATATTCTTCATGTGAATCATGAGATTTTGTATATGATTCACTCTTACCATTCACCGTCCTAGTGTGAGAGGTGGTCCAATGGACTTTACAGTATCCTTTAAATTGTACATATATACCTAGAAACAATTATTCCATAAATATTATATCTGTAATGATTGATTTAAATTTTAAATTCAACAAAATTTTATTCATATCTAGATCAAGAACAAAATAATGTTTAAAGGAATTTTAAGTAAGGCTCATACATCAAATCAAAAACCTCCCACTTTAGACTCATATCAAACTGATAATTAAATCAAACAATTTTAGATAAACAATATACCTCTAAATGTTTTTACTTTCGGCTGCACAAAATGTAATGTTCCACAGACCGCCTGTCCCGAGTAATATGTTCCATTAGGACTGTCCAGAACTATTTGCCCATCTTCAAAACCCATTTTTTATATCTAAAACAGTCACAAAAATAAAAAGAACCACACCCGATAGTCGGAATATAATTAAAAGAAAACCGGCATGGAATCTATTTTACACTAGATAATCGAGTAGATTTCTTAATATAATAACAATAATAAATTCAAAATAAAACAAAAACCATACCACAAAAATTATAATGTAAAAACGATGTACATACTCAAAAGTCAAATTAGACCTTCACGGTTCATTCTCTAATATTTTAATAATAGCAATACAACACTTGAAACAAACGAATCAGTAAGTTTTTTATAAATAAACAGTATAGATCGTACATGACGTATTCAGTCGTCTATGGATTTAATAAAGGCAATTATCAAATTATTATTTTAACATGAAAATATATATTAGATCAGATTTTATAAAACGGTAGAGAATTGACATCCATTCTGAGAAAAATATTATGGAATAAAATTGTAGTGTCAATTAAGTTCTAATTTCTTTTTCAATTTTCCTACAAGTTTTGTTTGTTTTTCTTATAGTTTTAATTTTAAACCAATTAAAGATAAATATCTTATAATACTGCCTCAATTTATTTCATCCAACTATCGCATGTCACATTCGACTCAGCTTTGATCGTTTACAATTAATAATGTACCTATCTCATCAAAGGGAAAAAGTGGTCATTAATTCAAATAACTGACAAAATGTTACAAACAGAAATTATATCATTATTCATTATAGTGTAAATGTATTGATACAATGGCTAGTTCTTAAAATGAAAATCTAAAATTTAATATAAATATTATTCTATGTTAGGTATTGTGTTTCTTTAATATGCAGGGTATTATCTAAGGTGTTTTTATAAATTTGACCCCAAACGGATAAATAATTTCAGAATTTATATACAGATTGAAACTCCAATCTTTTGATAATATTTTTGTAGTTGTAGATAGGATTATAATATTACAAACTATTTACTTAACACCCGAACTCATATTTAGGAGAACAGCTTTTACATAATTTATTTTTGTTTTGACATTTAATTTTTACAGGAAAAACACGTTATATCTAACATATTTATAAAGAAAGAAGCGATTTCATTTCAAGCTTTAATTTAAAGTGGCGTAGGTGTATCGGAACGTGACTTCCTTCTTTTTTACGTCACACGTGTTGAAACTTGAAGTGAGCGCGCGCGCGACGCGCGATTTGTGAGCGAAAACAAAATTTCAGTCAACAGCTGTACCTTATTTGTGGCGGACTGTTATATTGCTGGACTTCAGTTAGCTGAATTTTAAGTTTTTAAGGTTTATATAAAATGTATTACGTATTAACCATGTTCGTTAAATAATAGTATATTTATTTTTAAACGACAAACCTTTCAAATTTACTTTCGCGTGGCTCTACAATATTAGTGTCATTATCTACGATATGTGTTCTGTGAATTAAACATACAAATTTTTGGTCATTTTCCAATCAATTATAAAAGAAACGATGGAATCCAATCAAAAGGACATCGAATTAAGCCCGGTAAACTCTAGCCCGGACAATAGTAGATTGGCAAGAGAAAAGTTTATCACGCCGGCAAACGACGAAGAGGATGTGATTATCGGTCGATTTAGAAAAATTAGTTCAGCCAAATCTATGGCAGCCACCAATGGTAACATTCAATATCCTTCCGAGATTATTAGGAACGATGCCGATATCGAGGCCGGGTTACAGTTCAAAGTTAAAGAATGCGAAAAGGAGCGGTTGTTGCCTGAAGGCTCGGATGGCAACGTGGTTGTTGTCCCCAAGTCGCCGGTCACGAAGAGCAGCTTTCGAGACATGGAGAAACCTTCACGATTCAAGGATCAACCGTCCACAACCAGATTTCAGGTGGGAATATTTTACTCATTATTTTTAGTTCATATTTTTGATTTATGTTAATAATTACAAATGATTATACATTAAAATGAAGTAACAAATAGATATGTATATAAGCTAGTTTAGTTTAAATGAATTCCGAGATAAAGATAGAGCAAATTCTCTAAGATTTTTCAAATTAAAAAATATATATTTGTAACTCTGTATTAAGTGCTAGTCAGAATAATTAAATTAAGAAATATAATATAGTTTATTTATAATTAGTCTTTATTTGAAAAAATTTCTACAAATATAAAAAAAAATAATTAAGAATAATTTTATTACTATCATTATTACTTTTTAATCATGTGTAATTTTGATTATATTTTAAGACAATTTTATAAAATTAAATGCTTAATGCAATAATTCTTATAATTTATATAAATTCAAAACTAAAAAAACAATGAAAATTTATTTGTTGAACTTCTGATATAAATCTATATTATATTTATTTGGGATAAAATTCATCTTTTACAATGAACTGGATAATAATTAAAAACATATCATTACCTTACCTCAATGTATAAGACAAAACTTCTTAGCATTCAATGTATTCACCATGTGTCGGGTCCATCATTGTAGTTAGAGGAGCTTCAACAGTGACTGGGACTTGCGACCCAGGTGTAGGTTTAAGGGACCCCTATCTAATATGCTTTAAATATGTTAAAAGAATATGGGAATCCTACATCATCTGAGTAAATACATTTTAAAAATTACAAAATCGTTTCTAAGAGTAATACTTTGTATTCTTTCAGTTTAACAAAGTTATGAGAAAACATTGTGTTACAATTATCTTTACAATCAAATCTGTAATGAAAACAAATGCAATTAAGAAATACATTAATTAATTTCCTCTACATAAAACAGCGGAATCACAGTCCAGTTATTTTATAGAGGCGGTTTATAACACAATAGTTGCATTTGAATAATGACTAATTGTCTAATATTGTCTCTGTATATTTAATTACATGAGTCATAATAAAACAATTGTATGAAAAATACTGATATGATCTAAACTGAATCTGTGATTTTCTATTCCCGGCAATCAATTCTTCTTTAACAACTGCTTCTGTTCTTCTTTCTACCTATGTCATTTATATTATTCTTCATCTCTAAGCAGACTTCATATTGTCTGTCTGGTTGTCTGTCTCTTCATTGGTTGTGCATAAATACCAGTATGTTACCACTACTAGGGTCCATTGTCACTCTACATAGTACATTCACAGTTTTTCATTCATAAATCTTAACATTCTATATACTAGCATAGGTTTTTCAAGGAAACTGGTATTGGCTTGAAGTGTGACTATACAAAACTTGAGGTACACTTAGTGTTATTGGTGCATACTGTAAGAGAGTTTTCGTAATTTTAATTGGATCGAGCAGCCTGTCCCAAAATGGGCAATAACATTTCCTTCTGATCGCTGCAAGTCCAAAGTGGTAAGAGACCAGAAAAAAAATTGAAGGGTTGTGTAGAGGCCTGGGTGTGATTTGTAATTTCATAAAGTTTGAATAATTTGTAATGGTTTTTCATTAGTTGAAACTATTGGGAAGGTAAAAAATAATTTAATCTCAAAATTAGTAGACAAAATAAGTTTGGGAAGCTCTGAGATAGAGTCTGGCTATCAATATCTAGATATCTATCTATAGATAGATATTTAGCAGTCTTTCCTTGAAGATCTTCAAAAACATCTCCTTCATATTGCTGAATGTATTCCGTCACTGTTGGTGAGGATGAGGGTCTAGTTCAGCGGCGCCTGTGACTATAAATCATAATAGTATCAAATTGGATAACTGCTGTTTCCCATAGCCTCGGGTGTCTTCGTATTAGCGAGAGTCTTAAGGCACGCGTCCATCAATTCCACTGGATATTCAATGCTATGTTTTTATCAAATTATATGTATTGAAAGATCATAACAGAAAACTTGCTATAACTCTGCAACAACAAAGTCTCTTCTTTTTTATAATTCAATTTGTCATGTAACTTTTATTCCATACTTTTCAGTATTAATCAAGTTATAAATATAATGAATTCTATTGCTATTCTTGTATATCTCTGAACATTCGTAAATAGTTTAGGAGTTATAACGTACGTGTGTCCGTGTGTTTCACCTTTAACTAGATACAGTGGTCGGTGAGCCGTGTTCTAGCTGGATGGGACTGGTTTACAATCCTATACATTCTTTAAGACGGTATTAAAGCTATTTTCTGCTGTGGATATTAACAGTAACTGGTTTTTTTTTTGCTATATCTCGTCTACTACAGCTTAGTGGAAAGTAATTGAAGTTCAATAATATCTGTTTCGTGAGTACATATTTAATATGGAAGTATTATTTTTGGGTGTATATTGTTTTTACATATTAACTGACGTTTAGGTTATAAATAAATCGGGAAGTATATTTGGAATACGTAGTTTCATTTATGGTGCCTGCTATTTAGTTTACTTCCATCTGTAAAACTAGTATTTTCTTGATAATCAGATTTTTCGATACCAATCGTATTTATAATTTCTGTATATATATCTATTACTTCATCGATAAAGAAAATATTAAATGGTAAAATGTAGGAAAATGGAAAAAATATTCTTATGACGTCTTTGATATACTTGGAACTAAAACGTAATTGATACAGATAGCTCCATCAGAATACATATTGTAAAATGTATGTATGAGATCATGCCACTACGGTGAAAGATGCCAGTTAAGTTTTATCAATACCAGTCCAGCCGTTGAGATACTCATGGAAAGACAGACTTTGTTGACAATATAAATAGAAACTTAACGGATGATTATTTTTGGCTTGTACTTTCCGTGCTATTAATGTTTTTTTTAAATGAAATTTTAACGTTTTTTGGCTCATACTTTTATATAAAATTTTATATAAATGAATAACATGTTTTATCTATACCACATTTTTTAAGTCCCGTATTCCTTTTTCATTTTAGCCGACTAATCATTAGTATCAAGACTGATTAGAAGGAAAAACTAAAATTTTAAAATCAATTATATTCCTCAATATATAAAGTTCATAGAATTACCATTAACTTCGTTAACATTACGATTGTAATAAAAACCTCTCTGTTCCATTTGTGATTATATTTTTCCTTTTAATTGATATATATGAAGATATATACTTCAAATTAATTATTGAATTGATAAATAATACTGAGCGATTTATTTTTCCTGTATAAATATTTATTAAACATTATACATATATATGTATTTATGTATATATTTTGACCTTACATCAGACGCGTTCGGTTCATTTTAAAAATATACTTAAGCATTAGATTTTATAGAGTCGAGAAGAAATAGTATGGAATAAAAACATAATACTAGTTTTAAAAAAATATTTTTTCAGTAACTTTGACACTTTCTATTAACGTTATTTTCTAAGAAATAAGGCTTGGAAAATTTTAATATATACACAAGTTTCGCCGTACAATTTCCGACCTTCACAATATTATACACATATATTTTTACATCCTCGTATTGTTTTATAACATGAAATACCGTTACGAGACAGGTAAACGGTCCACAAGTCCACGACAAGCAGTAAGACGAGATTTACATAGAAGTCGGTCGTAATGAAGTCGTCATAACGTCGCTGTTTGCACCGCCTCAATCAAAGTGACCCGCGGATCCGCTCGTATAAGTGGGTGGATCTAAATTTAGTTCATCTAAATATATCCTGTACGGCAATACGAGTCTTGATGTCTTGAGGCGAGGTCGCCTGTACACCGAGGAAAGTACGGCGGGACACAGCGATGAACGGAGGACCAATTACGACAGAAATTAGCGTTTCCCATCAGGAAGTTACCCATTTGTACCGAACCAATTAAATAACTTTGATAGATTTGTTTAATCATCGAACTTAAAGTAAGGCATAACAGTCATATATTATAGATTGGATTATGTACGGTTCAATCAAATTCTTCAAGGTTATAGAAAGTCAGATGAATGAATCATAAGAATCGAGTTGTGATCAAATATACTAAAATTCCTTTATAATTAAGTTATGCTCGACTGGTTTCTAACTACCGATCCACCAAAGTTTTTTTTAACGAGTATTCCTTTAGTTTTGTGGATCTTTTATCGTCATTGGGACAGTGGCCGGCTCCTGAGACCCTAAATAAGTATAGTCCATTGAAACACTACCGGATATAACTGTCCGTAAATCGCTACCATAAGTACATAGTTACTACATACACACCGTTCCCAGTTCTTCATTCATAAGTTTTCTTCTATGATTATACTAACTTACCAACGTACTGGACGAATTATTTGGACTAAGCATAATGTGTCTCTTTTACTCTATTATCAGTATTGTAGAATTCTCATCCGATTTTATTATAAATAATACATTTAGAGCATTATATACACTAGTTGTTGACCGTGACTTCGTCATTGTAGACTTTCGAATTAGGCTCAGCAAATGTAGAATGTTAAAACAATAGATTTAACCGACCGACAGCGAAATCTACAGTCGTATACCACGTGACTTACACACAATACTGCTGTTATATCTTAATCCTACGGTTTACGGAGTTTCGTGTTATACATATGTATGTACAAATGTCTGATTCCGATGTTTAAACTACACATTTGAGTTAAATAGTTTTTGCTTGAAAGAGTAACAGACAACCATACATTCTTAAAAACTATGCGTTTATTAGAATGTATTAAATAAAGCTGTGTTTACAAATTACCTCAGTCATATCTTTAAAGGATAATTACGTAGAAAAAAAATATGTATGAATATATCTTCAAATCGTTGGAATTAAGATTCCTATGGTACATCACTCAACATTTAGTATACACTAAACTATTAAGTAAAAACTTTTCCACATGGACCTGTTATAAACATATTAAATTAATAATATACTCGTATCATTTCTGATAATATTAAAAACTTTGTTGTTGAATGACATAATGAAAGAATAAGCCATAAAAAAGTCTAATAGTCTTTCAGAGACGTAGTCGAACTTAAAACTTTGGCCATAGAATAAGGGTCTAGTCTAGAGGTCATATTACAATGGACAATCAGATGGCGAGATACGATTATATGTATATAAAAAAGTTGTGGTGCCCTAGTGGTTTAACTCCCGACATTCATATATGTGGACGCGGGTTCGAAACCTGGCAAATATCAATGTAATATTTCCTAGTCATACGTAATTTTCTAAGAGTATTAGAAACCACTGTCAGACGAATGTAATTATCATGAGCAAACCTGTACTTATAATTTCCAATTATAAGTTTGAAATCGCCAACCCGTCTTGAGCAAGCGTGGTTATTAATGCTCAAACCTTCTCCATGTGAGAAAGAGGCGTTTGCTCAGCAGTGGACTCTGATAAGCTAATGAAGATAATGACGATTATTTATATATTTAATTCCAGATGGAAAATCCTGACCCTCGTTCAGATTCTGATAGTTCAGGCATGGAGAGTGACGACCCTTTGACGACCTCTGACACGAAGTACGGAAAGAGTTTCAGGTACGTATTCATTTAATTCATTTTATTCATTTAGTTTCATTTGTAACTTATTATTCGTAATCCAAACACACTCGTTACACAACTTGGCATCCACATTCACGTACTATTCAGATTCACACAATGCGGGCCCTACATTTTTTGACGACTTTTTCTATTACGAAATCATTTGAACGCGACACAAATACATAATGAGGCATTGCGTTGGAATCGTTTATCAATTTTTGTGACTGCTTCATCAGTTATGGCTCATATATCGACCAGTATGTCAAATTATGAGTGTGTATGTATGTTACTTTCTAGGAAGAATACTGAATAGATTTTAGTGAAACCTTTATAAGGATTCCAATCAAAAACACATACATTAGACACAATAATTGGCTCTCCTAACGTCAAGTGTATATTACTTTTCTGTATAGATTTGTAGAAAAAATTAATAATTTACCTAAAACAGTTCTTTAGTAATAACAAAGAAATACACTAATAATGTTTGAGGGCTATGCCTTTCATCATGATTCGAAAGACCATAAATGATTGATCCATGCCTCCTCTTAGACACTTCACCCGCGAGGCTCTACCTAGGCTGGACAACTACAGGAATGTCCTGTCACTGCACGCGGCTCCTAGACCCACCCTGGATGAGCTTCATAATGCATCGCTATCAAGGAAGGTATGTAACGATTTATCCGACTGTGGCCAGGTAAAGGGAGGTTGTGTATTTAACATAATTACTAATGATGACAAATTCTCTGTTAAATAAATCTCAGTTAATATGATCCCGATAATGTAAATAATATAATTTGGTTATATTTAAATTCGATACTCTTAAGTTTGGTCTATCTTCCTCACAGATCGATCGAATCCAGTAAATGATTTGAAAATCCTATTAAATAAAACAACAAAAAACATGGATTCATTAATGTTCAAAATAATTCATTCATAATAATGTCCAATTTAAATGAACCACGTGTTTTAATTTTGTTTGCACGAAGTATTGGTTCAAATATCTCTACGCGTGTACATAACAGGTATATAGTAGAACATATTTCATAAACTGTGTACGTATGGGCGGAAGCTTGACTGACGGTCTCAAGCCGTCTAAATATTTGTACGTACCGCACCTGTCCTACTACGATACTACTTATAAAACAATACTATTCAACTTGTAGTCGTTTACGAACATAATATACTACTAAATAAGTTGACTACATCGTATTTAGACTTCATTTATAGCAAAAATTTTTATATTTATATACTAGCTGACTGATTGGTGATAAAATTTTTGGGTTGGGTGTATGTTTTAACGTTACTATAAAGAAATAAAAACAAAAATTTCGTCCGAAAAAAAAGGGTAAACACCTCTTATAACTTAGGGTTACAAAATAGATGTTTGCCGACTCTCAGACCTAGTCTATATGCTCACAAAATTTCGTCAAAATCTGTCCAGCCGTTTCGGAGGAATTCTCTGTCTAACACATCGACATGAGAATTTTATATATAAGATAAATAAAAATTGAGGTAATAAAAAGCTTGTATATGTCTCCAAAATATATAAAAATATTATCATCATTAAAAAATTTATATATGTATGTATATGTAGTATGTCGCAACACGTGTCTCATGAGTGAAGGTTGTGAAGCCGTCCAAGCACGTGTGTACCCGCCGTGTATCAAACTGAATGTGCTATTGTCTTTAATATTTGTCGATACTTAAGTTACTGTAGCTTATACTTTATAGCAATATTCTTTAATACGACAGACACTTCATACTAATAACTTATTAAATTCAATCACATATATGTTACTTAAACGTTATGTTTCTTTGAAATACGGTTGGATGATCTTCTAGACACTAGAATTCTAGTCATAATTTAATAGTATAATCAGTGAAGATTTATTAATGGAATACTGTTAACGATGCGTATTGAGTGTGTTAGCAAGCTGACTCTTCCTCTTCTACCTGTCAATTTTCCAGCTATAGCCAGGGTCTGCCTGTTAGCAAGCTGATTGTTACGTCATTATTCAATTATATATATTTTTTTAACTTTCCATGTACTAATACTTATTACATATTATTCTATGTATGTATGTGTGTATGTATGTATGTATGTATGTATGTATGTATGTATGTATGTATGTATGTGTGTATGTAATGTTCGTAATAAAAGCTTTATGACGTAATAACTCTCAACCCGACTCCTCATTGTAGCCGCTTCATTGTATACCGTTTTGGAGTTCACGGTCTTATAATTGTGTATGAAGTCATGTTTTTTGTTTATCCTTTATCTTATTTAATACAGGCTGTTGACTTCGACTTCGCCCGCATTTTAACCCTCCTTGAGATACGCGTTATCGTCAATATACATACGACTTCTTAAAGAACCCTTAATTATTACTTTACTTGGTGACAAAAGTACTACCTCAGGTCAATGACCTTTATTTTAAAAAATAAAATAAAAATTGTTCTTTAAGTGAATGAGTAAGATCGTAACAACAATTTCGTTGAATTGAGTACATCCTCGTTTTAAAGTCACTATTTAAGACATTAAGTACATAGGAGTGAAATTCCTTACAAAATAGGTTCATATATTTGACGAAAAGGTAACAGATCAAGTCAATCATATGAAAGTATACAAAGACGGCATCAAAAATTTTACTCAAAAACTATTAATTAGAAATTACAAACACAAATGTTATTTAAGTAGAAATAATGTTTCATTTTCAAGAGCAGTAAATTAAGTTTTCATTTAATTTATTTATTAGTATCAGAGTGAAGTCTATTAAATTTAATTTTATATAAAAATGGCTTCTTGCAAAATATATTAGTTTTGTCTCTTTAGTGTACTATATAAATAACGTAAAAACTAACGTAAGTAATATGAACTAAAAGATAATGATACTTGAAGAAGTTTTTTTTTAATATAATAACTAAATTTTTACATTAGCAATAAAGTAATCATAAAAAAATTAATATACATATTTTCAAGTGATCTATATTGTATCGTAAAATTCGTCGAGTTCTCTCGCGATAACAAGATACGCTTACAATAAGTTCTCCTCGCCAGACTACATACGGATAGTACGTTGTTTTTCAATTACATTCTCGTACATAATATTATCAGTGTAGATATATGAATGATAAATGAATACAGTTCATACTGGTGGTAAGGTAAGCGATATTTGTCGGCGCCACTTGTTTACTAGGTCCGAGATAACGTACAACTGTGTGTTTGTTAATTGGTCAAGGTCGTTCTGACTTCTGAGACTCAAACACTACCTCCAGTTACGAGATACAGACGGAAACTTTACATTAATGTTATGCTTAGTATGTTTATACATCGTACACGAAATACGGAGCGTTGACAGTTTTTTTAGCCGTTTTCGCACTTTATATTATTAACTAGCTCTCTGCCCGCAGCTTCGCCCGCGTGGAGTTCGGTTATATCGCATTTCCAAGAGGACCTTCCAAAAGTCTGGGATAAAAACTATTCTATGTTCCTTCTCAAGGTCAGCTCTATCTCTGTAACAAATTTCATTAAAATCAGTTCAGTGGTTTAGGCGTGAAAGAGTAACAGACAGACAGAGTTACTTTCCCATTTATAATATTAGTAGGGATGTTGGTTATTGGATGAGAAACGGAGACGCGTCGTATATCGTATAGCGATTAAAACTTAGAATAAGCGTACAGTTCTGATAATAGTACTCAGACTTCTTAAACGAAATACATATATTATTATTATAATAATAAAGAAATTGTGACATACGACCTCAGATGTAATATTCTGTTAAGACACGAGATTTAGATAAAAAACACGCTTGTATCTATATTATTTAATTAAATAATTTGAATAGTGTTTTTTTAATAAAATATACCGCATTTTATATCCATAGTAATTATTAATTTTATTTTTGCAATTATAATTTGATTGTAACCAATTTAAGACGAGCGCTGAATATTTTGATATGCAAAAAAAATGGGTTTTTTACTTGCGTCTTTTACACACTATTAATTTTTTACAATAAAAAATAAAAATTAATTGGATTATAATTGAAAAGATGTATTCATATGAAATATTTTGTATTAACTACGTATCAGTGGGTACTAACGTACATGGTACCTACCTACTATCTACGTGCTATGCTCTTAATATCGTCGAAAACACCTTAATGATTTAATCATAGTTAATTTTTAATGGGACCCCATTAACCCGTTGCACAACGCCACCATGTGCGTAGCCTTGTCTGTGGGTGTCACTCTGCAGTTCTGACTCACGAGCATTGCATTTACAACGTAGGAGATTAATATATAGAGGAAAAATGTATGACTGTTTATTGTATATTATAACTCATCTCATTATAAACCTGATTATAATTACGTGTACCCATTGAGATACGTTATCAACTTGTATTACTAAGTGGTTATATTGTAATTATTCATATTAAATATGAAAAACTTGTGTGCACGACTGTATAGATATTGGAAATTTCCAATTTATATTAAACTTTGAATACATTAAACTTTAAAGTAAATAATACACGAATATAATTATAAGTTATTCTCCTTAACGTTTGTTTTCATCTATACTAATATTATAAAGCTGAAGAGTTTGTTTGTTTGTTTGAAAGTGCTAATCTCCGAAACTACTGGTTCGAATTGAATAATTCTGTTTGTGTTGGATAGTCCAGTTATCGAGGAAGGCTTTAGGCTATATAAAATCACGCTACGACCAATAAGAGCAAAGATATAGTGGTAAATGTGTAAAAAACGGGAGAAATTATTTAATCTTTGAAGCCTTCCGTTGCGTGCGCCGTGAAAACGGTTCAAGATACACAAAAAATATGTATTAAAGAATAATAGCTCTTTTAATGATCTAAAAAACACTCCGCGACAGTATATGTCTATCTTTTAGGATTAACTCACAAAAACCGTTTTTATGGTACCTAATTTGGTCGAAATAATTTGTTTAAGTTGTATCAACATAATAATATTAATCTTTATTCAAATAAACAAATAAATATGTTGTTGGTTAAGAGTACTTCATTGTGAATTAAAAAAAACATAGGTTTTATCCCGAAAATTCTACGGGAACTCGACCATTCCGAAAACCCCACAAGAACGGGAACTATGTGGGAAGAACCAAAAATCTGCCATAAGTCACTATTCCACGCAGACGGAGTCGCGGCAAAGGCTAGTCTTATATATATAATTCTCGTGTCGCGGTGTTAGACAGAAAACTCCTCCGAAACGGCTGGACCAATTTTGATGAAATTTTGTGAGCATATTGAGTAAGTCTTAGAATCGGCCAACATCTATTTTTCATACCCCTATTTCATAAGGGTTGTTCACCCTTATCTTTTTTTAATTTTCGGACGAAACTTTTTGTTTTAATTTTTTTTTGTAATGTAGCATTAAAAAATACATACAACCCAAAATTTTTACTTTTTTATCACCAATCTCTTATATCAATATGGCAAAACAACGTTTGCCGGGTCAGCTAGTATTTATTATAAAACAAAGTTTCAGTTACTATTTATCATGTAAAGTAAAACATTAAATTAATCTTGTAAGTTCATTATCGTAATGAATTTTTTTTTTCCGAATTAAAATCTTACCAATCTGTAACGTGATTTTGATCAGATAAATATTTAATTATTTTATATATTTTGTTTTATATGTTTCGTCACGTATCATATGTTTAATTATTATTATTATATAAACAATATATATGTCAGCGCACGTTCGTTAGTTAACGATATTCGTGCTGGTTTTTTACAGCTGTAACCTTGGATTTCTAGAGTACTAAGTCAAAATAGTAGTGATATTTGAATATAACATATATTGAAAAACTCAATTAATACATAATATATCTTTATTATTAGCTTTCCGCCCGCAGGTTCGCCCGCGTGGAGTTCGGTTATATCGCGTTTCCAAGAGAACCTTTCAAAAGTCTGGGATAAAAACTATCCTATGTTCTTTCTCAAGGTCAACTCTGTCTGTACCAAATTTCATTAAAATCAGTTCAGTGGTTTAGGCGCGAAAGCATAACAGACATTCAGACAGACAGAGTTACTTTCGCGTTTATAATATTAGTAGGGATTGCATGCTATTGGGCGAATAGTCAGGGTTCAATGAACTTGTGTTTAGACTGAAGTGGAACCTTTCAGCCAGGTCAGACCTTGGAGAAGGACCAGGCTACAGTGGCCATACCAACTACGTCCGTCAAGTTCGGTTGGATCAAAGGTGTTCTTATGAGATGTCTTCTCAATATCTGGGGTGTGATGCTGTTCTTGCGGCTATCCTGGGTCGTTGGGCAGGCCGGGATTGGTAAGTATCAATGATGAAATTAGTTTAATATGAGTGAAAAGTTCATATACTGACGTATACAAAGCGATATGAGTATCATATACATGTAATTTATACTAGCACTAACCTTTAAATTACAAGGCATATATATGTTTTGACCAAAAAAAATGTATTTACGCCGAGGTGTCTTTGGTAAAAGTTGATTTGATGAGATCTAAGATTATCGCGAGTACACATTTAAATGAAACTAATATTTTCGGATTTTACTTCGCGTTTTATTTTAGAAACTACATACTCCCGACGTTTCGGCTACTTTTCAGCAACCGTGATCACGGGCAGACGAGATGTGAGTGTCTGTCAGTTGGTCTGGTCATTTTATCTCCTACCGCCATCGATTTCTTAATTGTCTTGCGTACCGCTCTGGATGCCGGCAAAATGCGCTCACGGTGTCTCGAGGTCCTGCGGTGTGGTCACGGACATGGGATTTTATATTTTTAAGAAGAGGATCCCAGGTGTTTGATAGGTTCCAGCCATCTTCTCTATTGAAATTGGGGTGTTTTTTAATTTCAATAGCCTCGCGGATTAACCTTGGTATATATCTGTCTTCACGAGCGAGGATATGTGGTTGATCAAATCTAATGTAATGGCCTGGTTTGTCCAATGCATGTTCGCACACTGCTGACTTCGACGCGCGCCTATTCCTGACGTCTGAAATATGTTCCTTAACCCTTGTACCGATGCTTCTCTTTGTCTGTCAGATGTATGACAAGCCACAGTCACAATCAAGTTTATATACACCCGCTTGTTGTAAAGGAATGTTACTCTTGATTGGTCTCAAGAATTGGCTCACTTTCTTATGTGGTTTATAAATAGTCTTAATTGAAACCTTCTTCAAGATGTTGCCTATTCTGTCAGTAACTCCCTTCACATATGGTACAATTGCAGGTTGTCGCTCGACTGTAGGTGGCTTCGTCTGGTTCTTGCGATGCTGGCGAGGCACGGGCAGGCTGTTGATGGTCAGAGCACGTCTTACATGCTGCAGCTCGGCCTCTAGGTGGTCAGCATCACAAAGGTGTTGTGCTCTCTGTAACAAAGATTTACCAACGGTAGCTAACTGTACAGGGTGGTGGTGTGATTTACCATTGAGATACCTATCCGTATGTGTGGGTTTCCTATAAACAGTATGTCCCAAAGTATTGTCAGGATTCCTGATGACCAGTATATCAAGGAAAGCTAAAGAATTATTTGCCTCTAATTCTATAGTAAACTGGATCTTATTATTGATAGAATTAAGATGGTTCAAGAAAGCAGATGTTTTGTTTTTATTTAATATTGTGAAAGTGTCATCTACATAGCGTTTATAAATTAAGGGTCTTATTGTAGGAGAGCTAAGGACTCGCACCTCGAAGTCTTCCATGAATATATCTGCGACAACGGGGGAAACCGGCGAAATTGTATGGGTTACCTAAAATCCATAAACAAGATGTCCCATTACGGCCAATTGTAAGCCAGATTGATTCACCAACTTATAAACTGGCTAAATTCCTTTCAAAGATATTATCACCACTCCGGGGCCACACAAAGTCATTTGTTAAGGATTCCTACCAGTTTGTCAATGACATTAAACACCTAAAATTGACAGACAATGACATTATGGTCAGTTTCGATGTACAGTCATTATTCACTAATCTACCTGTTCTTGACTGCATTGAGATTGTAAGAGGTAAGTTAAAGGATAATAAGATGCCTATTGAATATTCAGAATTGTTAAAGCATTGCCTAACATCTGGCTATCTCATGTGGAAGGATGAATTCTACATACAAGCAGATGGAGTAGCAATGGGTTCGCCGGTTTCCCCCGTTGTCGCAGATATATTCATGGAAGACTTCGAGGTGCGAGCCCTTAGCTCTCCTACAATAAGACCCTTAATTTATAAACGCTATGTAGATGACACTTTCACAATATTAAATAAAAACAAAACATCTGCTTTCTTGAACCATCTTAATTCTATCAATAATAAGATCCAGTTTACTATAGAATTAGAGGCAAATAATTCTTTAGCTTTCCTTGATATACTGGTTATCAGGAATCCTGACAATACTTTGGGACATACTGTTTATAGGAAACCCACACATACGGATAGGTATCTCAATGGTAAATCACACCACCACCCTGTACAGTTAGCTACCGTTGGTAAATCTTTGTTACAGAGAGCACAACACCTTTGTGATGCTGACCACCTAGAGGCCGAGCTGCAGCATGTAAGACGTGCTCTGACCATCAACAGCCTGCCCGTGCCTCGCCAGCATCGCAAGAACCAGACGAAGCCACCTACAGTCGAGCGACAATCTGCAATTCTACCATATGTGAAGGGAGTTACTGACAGAATAGGCAACATCTTGAAGAAGGTTTCAATTAAGACTATTTATAAACCACATAAGAAAGTGAGCCAATTCTTGAGACCAATCAAGAGTAACATTCCTTTACAACAAGCGGGTGTATATAAACTTGATTGTGACTGTGGCTTGTCATACATCTGACAGACAAAGAGAAGCATCGGTACAAGGGTTAAGGAACATATTTCAGACGTCAGGAATAGGCGCGCGTCGAAGTCAGCAGTGTGCGAACATGCATTGGACAAACCAGGCCATTACATTAGATTTGATCAACCACATATCCTCGCTCGTGAAGACAGATATATACCAAGGTTAATCCGCGAGGCTATTGAAATTAAAAAACACCCCAATTTCAATAGAGAAGATGGCTGGAACCTATCAAACACCTGGGATCCTCTTCTTAAAAATATAAAATCCCATGTCCGTGACCACACCGCAGGACCTCGAGACACCGTGAGCGCATTTTGCCGGCATCCAGAGTTGTACGCAAGACAGTTAAGAAATCGATGGCGGTAGGAGATAAAATGACCAGACCAACTGACAGACACTCACATCTCGTCTGCCCGTGATCACGGTTGCTGAAAAGTAGCCGAAACGTCGGGAGTATGTAGTTTCTAAAATAAAACGCGAAGTAAAATCCGAAAATATTAGTTTCATTTAAGTTGATTTGACTTTTAAAGATTAAAATCAATCATATAGAGGTTTGGTTTGCTAAGTTGACCCCCCATAAGACTACTACGGACATATCACAAGTGTCCACAAAAGAATTTCGGATAACCGTCAACTGATTCATATAACCAAAAGCCTTAAGATCTTAATCCAAGGAAAGTGTTGGAGATAACGTTAATGATTGTTTGGTTACGCGAAAGCTCCGTTGAAAGTAGACGCTGGTCGAACTTAAAATCTATCAGAAATAACAAGGAAAAAATCATTCTGAGTAACATTTGGAGTTTGTCAATAGTACTCGTAATAAACTCAAATTTTTGAGCCGATATGTGATAATGGACAAGTCTTGGCTCCATTATTTCACACTAGAGTCCAATAGTCAGTTAGTATGGTGGATCATACGTGATGAACTGACTACAAAAAGTGGAAAGACGCTAAACTTCAGGCTGGCAAGTTTTTGACAACAATATATTGAAATGTGATTGTATTATTTTCAGTGGTTATCTTAAAAAAGTAAAAACCATAAATAAAAATAACGTAGCGTATTTGAGCGTTTAAAAAATTGAATCGGAAGAAAAACGGTTCCCACTTGAAGAAAGAGTGGCAAAAAAATTAAATAACCATTGAAAACAATGACAAAAGTGCATAAATTGAGTTTAAAATATCTTCTTTATCCATCATATTCTTTGGGTCAAACCTGTAGCGACTAGGTACATATTCTGCTCGCTGGCTAGAGATTGTTCAAAAGTTTCGCGCTTTTAAAAAGGTTTTCACTGAAGCGTATTTTATGACTAAACACAAATCATGCTATCGAAACACATTTTTATTGATTGAAAAAATCTAATATAATAAAAATATATATATTTTTTATGTCTTCCCAGAAACTTTTTACAAATGCCATAAAATTTAAAAGCTAGAGCTATTTCCAGGCTACTTTTATTTATTACAGTCTACGTAGTTCCTTCTCCATGTATATAATGTGTAGAGTATATTGTATGACATAATATAGTAATGGTAAAGTGTTGTGGTCGGCAGCGCAGGCATCGCTGTTGATACTGACCACCAGCGTGGTGACCACAATCACCGCCCTCTCGATGTCCGCTATCAGCACCAACGGAGTCATTAAAGGAGGTAGGAACAACAATTAACATAGCTTTACGGCTGATATTTGAAGGGCAAATAAACAGTCTTGTTATAATTTTAATATAATAAAAGTCTTCAAATTTTGTATCAAGATTGGACATTCATCATATTCTAATGTTTCTGATACATGTTACGTCGTATTTTGGTTACTAAGAAGCAAAAAATCCTCTAATATGATGACGTACTTCTCACTTTAGTCCTATGTCCTACAAGGTATTTCTATGTCTCTCAGGTGGTACATACTACATGATCTCTCGCTCGCTGGGCCCGGAGTTCGGTGGTTCCATCGGCCTCATATTTTCTATGGCCAACGCTGTGGCCTGCGCCATGTACGTGGTGGGCTTCGCGGAGTCACTCATCACACTCATACCAGAAACTGCCTATATGGTCGACAAGAATTGGGTGAGTTTGACATGTCTTCCAAAACATATTCAGACTGATGACCTTATGGGAAATGTCATTCTAAATTTACTTGGTATTTTTATGTTTTTATTTTTATTTTAGAAGCGGAAGTCAGTGAGATAGTGTAGTGTAGTTATTTCAATATTTCTTACAGCTTTGGATTCTATCCAAATCATTCCTTTTAGATGAATTTACATTTTATCTGTAATGTATGAGGATTCACTCTTATCGTAATAAAATCATATATTTCTATGTAAGTGATTCATGTGTTTCCTTGTGTGTAGGACCAGGCTATCTACGGCTGCATCACGATCGTGTTACTCACGGGTATAGTGATGGTTGGTATGGAGTGGGAGGCGAAGGCTCAGATTGTGTTGCTGGTCGTACTACTGGCAGCTATAGCGGACTTCTGTGTGGGCTCCATCATTGGGCCTAAGAGCGAGGAAGAGGTCGCGCAGGGGTTCATCGGATATAACTGTAAGTGAGAAAATTTATTTTGGCTAGATCAAGGGTCATAGCAAATATTGAATCCTTTGATGATTACTATTATTATAAGGTAGTGTTTTATTTCTAATACTAGCTGCGCCCCGCGGTGTTACCGATGGATTTCCGGGTTATAAAGTAGCCTATGTGTTATCCCTTTACGTCAGCTTCCTGTATACAAAATTTTATCAAAATTCGTTCAGCCGTTTGAGCGTGAAGAAGTAACAAACATACACACACACTCACAAACTTTCGCAATCATAATATTAGTAGGATTAATATGTAGATTTTGTCGACTTGGATATTTTTGTTCTCATTATTTTAACCTCTATAATGTATATTTCTTCTCTGTCCAGGGACAGTCATGTTGAGTAACATGGGTCCAGACTACAGATATTTCGAGGGTCAGCATCACAACTTCTTCTCCGTGTTCTCGATATTCTTCCCCGCAGCCACCGGTATACTCGCGGGGGCCAACATATCGGGTGACTTGAAGGTATGTGCATACAAGTACACGATTACTTAGTTATAAGTCAAATGTTACTTAATGCTATTTTATTATTCCAGGACCCACAGAAATCAATTCCTAAAGGTACCCTACTAGCTATTCTCCTCACGACTCTGTCGTACCTATTGATCGCGGTGGTGGCGGGCGCCTGTGTAGTAAGAGACGCCTCAGGAAACCTTCAAGACGTGATTGAGGGGACCCTCGGCCTGTGTAGAGACAACGGCACCTGTAGATACGGCCTACATCATAGTAATGATGTGAGTATTGGTTTAAACTGACTCAGTATAGACTTGTACGGGAACATCAGCTCGATTTAGAACCTCATACCTGAATATCTCTTTTAAATATACAGGGTGACTAGTGAATTACTATCAATATTTAAGGAGAATACTCGGTACATGATTCTCATTCGAATTATGTAAAAAAAATAGGCACTTAATTTTTGACGAAATTTCCGTATAAATAAATAAAGTGTTGACACGTTCCAAGTGTTCCAAGTGTGGACGCGTACGGCGGCGTGCTCATACAACGCTACGCCGCCGCACGCGTATTTGTGTGTGAGTGTACACCTAATCTGTAGGGTGTTCACACGATGCGTAATTAATTACATAACTTTTGGTTAACTTTACTTAGAAGTTTATTAATATTTATGTTATATTAATTTTTATTTTGTCATATATGATCGTCAAATATCACGTCCTCAAGTATCGAGAGTAATTCACCAGTCACCCTGTATATTTATAGTATGTAAGAATTAATTAGACAGCAAAAATATTAATATGTATTTCAAGTGCAATAATAGTGTTTATGTGGCAGGTAATAAGGTTGGTGTCAGCGTTCGGGCCCCTCATATACGGCGGTTGTTTCGCGGCCACCCTGTCCTCGGCGCTCGCTTCCTTGGTCTCCGCGCCGAAGGTGTTCCAGGTGAAAACATTATTACAGTTCTAAATGTACACAATAACGGTGTAGCATATACTATTCATACAAGATTTCAACAAACAGAACTGATACAAACAGACATCCTTCTATGTCAATAGCTTAACAATTTGTGATTCTTTACTTTTCTGATACTATATAGTAACTGGTTAAATCATGTTGTAGTATGTTTCCTTCTGCCTTTCAACTCAACAATAAACTTACTCATGTTTCATGTATATTTTAATCAATATAAATTCGCCCGCGTGGAGTTCGGTTATATCGCGTTTCCAAGAGAACCTTTCAAAAGTCTGGGATAAAAACTATCCTATGTTCTTTCTCAAGTCCAACTCTATGTCTGTACCATATTTCATTAAAATCAGTTCAGTGGTTTAAGCGTGAAAGAGTAACAGACAGACAGACAGTTACTTTCGCATTTATAATATTAGTAGGGATGTAATTACAAATTTCAAGTCATTAATTCCGGTTCATACAACACTTATATATATATGTATATGATCCGTGTGTGTGTGTGTTTCAGGCTCTGTGCCAGGACAAGCTGTACCCGTGGTTGGAGTTCTTCGCCAAGGGTTACGGCTCCAATAACGAGCCGGTCAGGGGCTACGTGCTCACCTTCGTCATAGCGCTGGCCTTCATACTCATGGGTGAGAACACCGACATACATATATGTAGCAAAAGTAATCTATGTATAGAGACTAAACCTCTTAGCGGGTGCCGCGTCTATCGCGTTGCAGGGAGAGGAGCTTCAACAGTGACTGGGACTTGCGACCCAGGTGTAGGTTTAAGGGACCCTATGTAACGCGCGTTATACGCTCACCTCCACTGTCCAAGCTCCTCTCTCTACCTAACCAAATTTGAAAACAACCTACTAAAACTGCCTTCAAAGTACGCTCTAAGAATGAATTAATGTGAGTTCTGGACAGGCCCAAGTCTTTTAGTAGGTTATATCCAACTTTTCTGTTTGTAATTTTGTTTGTATGATTATTTCTTTATCTCTTTTTTTATTGTACATACACCATACTTCCTTTTCTTGTTTCCTCTATCAATAGTATTTCTGGTATAGATCTCTCCCAAGAGATAAGTTATTCTTTGTGCTTCACATTCCTTTGATACTGTAATTATAAGACTTATTAGATCATATGTTACAGTATATAAGATAACTTCAGTTTTTCAGTTAAATTAAATGAGTAATTAAGTATTTTTATAAAAGAACATAATATGTCATAATAAGACCACTATTGAATCTAAATAAATGTTATATCAGTAAGTAACTATTTCATAGGTAGCAGATTCGTCTCCAACTCGTGTCTATAATTTTTACAGATTTTTTACATTATATTAATTAGTTAATCTTATTACTTCACACCAGTATAATACAGTACTTTAATACTTCTACATGTAAAGATTTATCTTCCTTATCAACTATGTGTCGATAATTACTAATTCGTTGACCCTAGAGGTCAATAGCTTCATGGTCTGTATATAAATAGTCCATCTGTTTCCACAATATATTCCTGGCTCACTGCCATGAGAGTGTATGAGGAAACTATGAACAGTCATTCATTATCTAAGATTTCTATGTATACAGGATGACTGGTGAATTACTATCGATACTTGAGGACGTGATATTTGACGATCATATATGACAAAATAAAAATTAATATAACATAAATATTAATAAACTTCTAAGTAAAGTTAACCAAAAGTTATGTAATTAATAACGCATCGTGTGAACCCTACAGATTAGCTATATACAGACACACATACACACGCGTGCGGCGGCGTGGTGTTGTATCAGCACGCCGCCGCACGCGTCCACACTTGGAACACTTGGAACGTGTCCACACTTTATTTATTTATACGGAAATTTGGTCAAAAATTAAGTACCTATTTTTTTTACATAATTCGAATGAGAATCATGTACCGAGTATTCTCCTTAAATATTGATAGTAATTCACCAGTCACCCTGTATATGTATGTTTACGTTATAAACAGAATTCTTGCCATAAGTCTTATAAATCTTGTGTACATATATACAAATGTATGTATATGTGTATTTTGTATAGGGATTCTTCTTCTACCTGGCAATTTCCCAGCTTTTAGCCAGGGTCTGCCTTACATGTTGTGAATAGTTTTGGCTAATTGTTTTTACGACCGGCCGCCTCCCTGACATCAACCCCCCCTTTGGGAATAAGGGATTGTGAGACAAAAATAATTGTACATTTTGTTTGTATATAATTAAATTTTATTTCAGGAAATAATTGTTTAATTCATATTATAGTATGTATTATATTGTCGTGTCATTGTCCAGGCGGGTTGAACCAGATCGCCCCCCTGATCTCCAACTTCTTCCTGGCAGCCTACGCCCTCATCAACTTCGCCACGTTCCACGCGAGCCTCGCGCGCCCCGTGGGATGGAGACCTACCTTCAGAGTCAGTACATTAAATATATATGTATATAGTATACAATATAAAATATCACACGTTACTTTTGTATTCCTATGTACTTCATTTATCATAGATTAAAGAACTTATATATTATTAAAGAGATTTGATATTAAACATTTTAATTCATGCTATAATGACAAAAGTTCGTTTATTGATTGTACATACATATGCATCCAGGTTCTTCTGTTTCATCATCAAAGTTCCTTTCTATATTATTATTATATCAACCAGACATAGTCCCCAATAATTACACTGTCTGTCTGTGGGTGATCTACATGCAGAAGGTTCATACTGCACACATTTACACTAGCAGCCTTAGTTGGAAAAAATACAATTTACTTCCTATAGATGGGGCTTTTACTAATTACATCAAATTAAATAACATTATAAAGTACAGACCACTCGTATCGTAAGGTATTGACAATGAATTTATATCTGTTTATGGTTATAATACACAGTGACTATCTCCGTGTATGGTTCACACCGCTCTTATCATGTATATAATCCCTCCCCAGTTATACAACATGTGGTTGTCGCTGGCGGGGTCGCTGGTGTGCGCGGCCATCATGTTCGTTGTGTCGTGGTTCAACGCGCTCTTGACGCTGGCAGCCCTGCTGGCCCTCTATCTGCTGGTGTCGTATCGCAAGCCAGGTAACACACACACACACACACACATACACACACACTCACACACATACACACACACACACTTGTAAGGCGAATAATTATCTGTCTAAACATTTTTTATATTATCTGTGAATTGTTAAGCACTTACTAAATGATGAAGTGTAAGCGTTAGAATGTGAAAGAGACGGATAGATGTCGTAAGGTTTAAGCATAAAAGAGATGCAAGATTAGTCGTTGTGTGAAAGGGATCGAAAGTACAATATGATAGCTAAATAAAGGATGCAATAAATAAAGATAGTATTAAAATGGCATTCGTAGTTTTAATACACTTACACATTCTAATATCCCGCCTACATTGTCATGATCGATACACTAATTGTTTTCTGTGTGTGTGTCAGACGTGAACTGGGGCTCGACCACCCAGGCCCAGAGGTACAAGGCGGCGCTGTCCGGAGTACACCAGCTGAACGCGGTCAGCGAACACGTCAAGAACTACAGGTGAACACCCTTTATAGTTACTATACGCAAGTCAGTTGCACAATAATTGCTTTATTAACAGAAAGAAATACGTTACCTTGACCGCAGCCCGCAAACATAGACAAATACATACGTAACGATAGTTTAATGTAAATAGACTATAGGTGATAGGTGAAGAAACGAGCTTCGTGTGAACACCTTGTATATTATGAGACAAACAGTTAGAAATTAATATGATTTAATACTTATAGAATATGTTAAGACTATTTGTAATATTTTTGTATGTATGTTCGTATTTTTTTTATAATATGTTTATTTTCCAGGCCTCAGATCTTAGTACTGACAGGTTTCCCCGGGGAGAGGTCCGTGCTCACGGACTTCACGTATCTCCTTACTAAAGGGCTGTCGCTCATGCTCTGTGGACACATCATACAGGTAAAACAACACTTAGAAAATATAAAAAATTTAACATATACAGTCGTGACGTCATCATATAAATATATTAATGTGTGTGTGTGTGTCAGAGCTCCATCAACCACCGCACGCGCGAGGCGCTGTCGTCGCGCGCCTACCAGTGGTTCAGTAAACGGAACATGAAGGCCTTCTACAGCATCGTGGACGGCGCCAGCTTCAAGGACGGGGCCGGCGCGCTGCTGCAGGTGAGGGGGGGGGGTGACATACACTAATACACTCACTAGTGTCTTTATTTCACAAATTAATGATTAACCACGTGACTAAGAACGCGCCACGATTGGTCATTTGCTCATGACGTCACAATGTTAAAAGAATTTGAGCATAGAACAGTGTCAGTGATAGATCAGTGTATCAGCTGTGTGATACAATGAGGAGAAATTAATATTGTGACGTCACTCGCGCTCGGGTTTGCTCGGGAACTTTCGGCGTTTTATTGGTACTGGATTTAAAAATATATTTTTAATTTGATATTACTTTTTAATTATACCTTAAAAAAACTAGTTTCTCTACATTTATCACAAAAAAAAATTCATATACTCAATTGTTAGTGTTACTTTATGCTCTTGACTCCACATTATTTGCTCATCTATTCCAAGCACTTACAATTCTTTATGAATCGTTTAATAAAGCTATATAATTCAATGTAGGCGAGTGGTCTGGGCAAGTTGAAGCCGAATATTCTGCTGATGGGCTTCAAGGAGGACTGGCAGACCTGCCCGCGACAGGAACTGGCCGACTACATCGATGTTATGCAGTTAGTATTGGCTTAATATTGTTCAAGGGTTCCTAGCGGGACACTCGCAGGAATACTCGAATTCATTTAACATTGTTTGGAAACTATACATATATTGTTCTACCAGCCGCGGGAGATATAGATACAGCCAACAGATTGATCTTTAAAATAACTGATAGTTTTCAAGTTTCATTACATTAATGACTCAAGTTTTTTTCAAAGATGTTCGTTGTACATGTATGTGATCTGTCAGTCCATACGCTTTTTATTTAACGATTAAATCAAAACCGGTTTTATGCAATGACGACGACCTAAAAAAATCACAAGATACAAATGTCTTAAAAAACATCTAGTAACAAAAGTATCAGTTCTCATGTAGTTATATATTCTAATATATTGTATAATGTTCAGTAAAGCGCTCGACGTCCACATGGGTTTGTCTCTGCTGCGTGTGTCGGGAGGGCTGTACAGCTGTGACACGCTCGACGAAGATCTGTTAGCGTGTCTGCAGCCCGCACAGGCAGAGACGACCCTGGCGCGTGAGTACCATATATGTTGTAATCATCTGTAGAGACATGTAGTGAAGTACAGTAAAAGCTCTTTATTCGCGGGGTACCTATATGTTCCATAAATATGCCGCGAATACAGAAACCGTGATTACGGAATGGTAATTTATATGGGATTATAGGGGACACGTTCCTTGGTGACAAATAAAAAACAATAAATAATCAAAAAAATATTTAATTGATGTTTTTGAACATTTTAATTAATTATCTTAAGGTTTAGGCAAATAGTGAAAACTACTTCTTCTGTATAATATAAACATATCTGTATCGCATCGACGGCTAATATACATTAAAATTCGTGAATACTAGAGCGTTTAGTAATATTTTGAATATTTTTTCCCCAGCGTCGATGGGCGACGGGCACAAGAAGTCCTCCGAGACGCTGAACTCTCAGTCTAGAGGTGAGGTGACGACACACGACTGTATAACACGTGTGGACTGTTTATTAATACTAGTGACGTCACAGTGAGCAGCGTGTCGGACGTGTCGTCGGGCGGGGCGGGGCGAGGCGGGGCGTGTCCCACTCCCGAGCGCTTCCCGCGGCTGGCGGGCGGTGTGGACGTGTGGTGGCTGTACGACGACGGAGGCCTGACGCTGCTGCTGCCATACATCCTGTCGACCAGGCGGGCTTGGGCCTCCTGCCCGCTGAGGGTGTTCACGCTGGCCAACAACCACGCGGAGATGGAGATAGAGGAACGGAAGTCAGTACTATAGAACAGTCGCTATGAACCTTATAATAACGTCTTGTATGGGTTTGGTACTACACACCATTTAGATCTGATAGTTTTATGGAGACCAGCTGGTTTGTGAGATGAAAATGACCTGTTTATTTGAACGCTTTATTGATACTGACAAAATTATGCCAATGCTTACTTTTATATTTGCTTATGAATGTGTACATACAATGAAAATATGTTAATGTATGGGTGAACCCATACACTTCTGTTTGTAATATCAAAAAGATTTCGATGAATGCTTGTTGGACGTGTTCAAAGAACATAAATCAAAATAAGATTTTTTTCTCTAAAATATTCGTCTGTATGTTTATTCCGCGTAACCTCTGAGACAGCTGAGTTTTTGACAGAATGTTTACATGCTGGTAGACGGTGTAGGACAGAGAATAATGAGCTACTTTTAATAAACTATAAAAATACAGTTAGTTACATTGTATAAGTGTTCATTATAATCGTGTCGTGTTGCAGCATGGCGTCCCTGCTGTCCAAGTTCCGTATCGACTACTCGTCGCTGAAGATGATCCCGGACGTATCCCGGCGGCCGCGGGACTCCACGCTCGCCTACTTCAACAAGCTCATAGAACCCTTTACCACTAGGGACGACTCGGACGACAGCTGTTAGTATACACTCATTTTCTCTTTACTGGCAACCCTAATCACATCTTAGTATCTAACTATGATAGGGTAGGAATAGGGAAAGGGCAACAGGCGCTCTCACTTATCGAACGAATTACGAAACGCAGCCATTAAAGGCTACTTCACGCCGATTTTCTGTAAGAGGGTATTTGGGGTATTTCCCCGGTCGAGCCAGCACATGTCCGAGCTGTAGTAACTGACCACAGCTAGGCTCTACCACCTAATACATCTCTTTCTCTTTACTGTCAAACCTAGTCACATCTTAGTATCTAACTACCCTTCTCCTTCCAATCGGCATTTTTTTCTTTATTGTCAACCCTAGCCACATACTATCTAACAGCCCCCCTTTCATGTTTCAGTCGGCATCTCCCCGTCGGAGCTCCGCGCGGCCGAGTCCCGTACACACCGCTACCTGCGCGTGCGCGAGCTCATAAGCAGTCAGTCGTCTGGCAGCCGGCTGGTGTGTGTGACGCAGCCCATGCCTCGCCGCCGTGGCCTGCCGCCCGCGCTGTACGCCGCCTGGCTGCACGCACTCGCCACAGCCGCAGACCGAGTGCTGCTTGTGAGAGGGAACCACTCCTCCGTACTCACCTTCTACTCTTAGAACAAGAAACTACATCCGCCATAGAATAATTTTGTATTAAAAATAGATCAGCCTTACAGACTTGTACACTACCTATACAATAATTTTGTATCGATAGCATATCTTTACCGAATATGTACATCTCTCACAGATCTGAGTGTGAGTCTCTCACATAATTATTATATATGTATATATGTTTGTAGTTCAGTCACTGTATAGTGTGGACTGTATGTAGTGAACTCGATGTATGGGACCAATAGAGATATATGTTAATGTAAGGTTATAGCTTATAGTTTACATTGTTATACGAAACATTATGTACTGGGACATCGCTTCATATATGTATATATGTATTGTAATAACAGCGTAGTGTAACCCTATGACATACGACGAATGAACCGGGGATATTATATATGTATGTATTGTATATAAGCCTGGAAGTACAAACTATCAATACATCTAGTAACTCGTTTATTAAAAAGAATGGCTCGTGGCGCCCTCTAGCGTTACTGGAGTAGTTTACACTTGTTATATGCTTATATATATTTTTATATATTCCAATGTGCCTATTTGATATAATATTCTCATTTTACATGAATCGACTTAACTTTTGACTAAATTATACATAACGTTTTTGATATCTATTATATATTTTTACTGTATCGGATTTTGGTGTTTTACAAATTTGTAATCTCATTTTGTGTGCGTTTTTAATTTATTTTATATATACATAGACGTAATGTGTTAATCAAGTTCTCATTAGAGAAGGAGTTTGGTTTTAATGAAATTTATCACAAATCTGTAACCTTAAACCTTTGTTATGCCAAGAACTGTACGCCTAACATCAGTTTGCACGACCACACTTCATACGACGCGTTTTCCGTTTCTCATTTAAAACTATGATTTACCAAGGATAATGCATGAGAAAATGTCATTGCTCCGTATTGAGTGCGTCGCCGCTAACTCGTCCTAAAGCAGTTCTTTTATATTAGTTTTCGTTACCACTACATTTAGTACAAATTTTCGAAATTTCTTGGATAAATCAAAATTATGTACGATTAAAAAAGAGTCTCAGAGCATTGGTAATGTTATTGGTTTACTGGAATTTGAAACTAAAATTGAAAATGAATTTAATTTTTTTTTACTTTTTTTACATAAACTAAAAGTTGAAAACAAATGTTATTGTACGACATTATATGTATAGCTGCTTGAATATTTTTATAAACGATTGTAACATGAAGAGAATAGAAATTATTGTCAAGTGATTCTGTGAATATTCAATGCATTGAAATAATTTATTTTAGTTAATTATACATACATTTTACAGTGATCGTTGTTTTTTTTTACCGTTCCCTATCATTTGTTTTAGAAACATGGGATTTTTACGGTATGTATGGAGGAAAAGGTATATTAATTTTCCGTGTTACACGCACGAACAAATTTATCATGACCATACTACTAGTCTTCACTACACACGACGCTTTTCTACTTTTCAATCAGACTCCTATAAATAAAACCACTGAAAACTCTTCTACGTGAAACGATAAAAACTGTATTAAGGCTTCTGAGAAGGAAGGAGTTATCGTGTGAATACTGTACAAGTGGAGCGAACAATATATATATTACGTTATAATACACTAATTACTAATATATTATATGGAATCCATAACCAGTAGAAGGAATGGACACGTGGTACATAGCCAAGTAAGAGTCGGTCTAGCGCACCGAGGGTTTCGTACCGAAAGCCCGAGGGTGTGTTAGTAATAAGATGTTATTTTACCCTTTAAGTTTGGAATCTTCATCAACAAACTAGCGAACGTTAGCAGTTAATGATGTTATCATTGAAGCTTGGAAAAGTATTCTTAATGTATCTTGTCGGTAAATGGACAGACGCTATAAACACTTCTATACTGAGTATACATACAACATTAGATATACATAATATACGGATACGTTTAACGAGCTACACTCACCTAGGTACATAAGTACAATGTAAGTGATGGCAATGCTATTTATATTATAATCGATAAATATATGTGTTTTAGACAAAAACACTGAATAGATTTAAATTAACACTCAATAAAGTACAAATTACATCCAAATAAAGTGTAAGCTGTACATAAGGATTTTTTACGTGTGTAGTAAAGCGGGGTAGATGGCGTTGTCGCTTGTAAAACTCAATACATTTGTGAAGCACTGGTATCACCTCAAACTAGTTGTTTTTGCGCTAAGACTAAGTAAAAATACTATCACGCAAAAATCGCATATGTCGCGGAATCAAAAGCAGTATCTCGTCAACTTAAAATTAAGTACTTATAAACCTTTGTGTTAGAATTAAGTTAAAGTCCTTAAACCGATTGGACAACATATCAGAGGTAGAGGCGCTAAATACAAAAATCAATAGGAGACTTTAGGCCAGAAAATTACTCTCTCTTTTAAAAGATATGATGTTATTGAAAATTGTTGATTGCTAAACGTTGTTTGTAAATTCACGGCATTTATTAAACTATGTAGGTACACGACATGTTTTCCTATCAATATATCTAATGCTCTATTAGCTTTGACGTTGTCCCTGGGAGGGGTTGACCGGCGATATTCTTAATTAGACCACCCTGTGGGCTGTGTGTGAACTTGAGTGCCCTGACTAGTCAATACAACGTTATAACTTATAAGTGTTTCAATCTGTTATTTAACCTTTGCATCACAAAAACAATTTAAAGCTTTAAAAGTTTTTGCTTTGTAAACATTTACGAAGTCGTTATATTAAATGTAATAAAGGTATTCTATAAAATATCATGTAATCTTAAAAGATTTCGACTAATTCTGTTTTTTTAACATAATGACGCTTTTTTTTCTAATGTCCTTAAATATTCATTAAATAGCATAGAATCTTATCTTAACAGCAAAATACTAATTTTATTAGACAAACATCTGGATTATTCTGATATCATAAATATTTTAAATAAAAAGAAATCATAGTAAATAGTGAAGTAGATACAAATAAGTGTTCAATATAATGATTGATGAGAGTGTATCACAACCCAAGTGTAATAAGCGGTACCAGTTCTGTGCAGCATCAACAAGCCGTGTCCTATAATGTTATACGTTTTCTACGATCGGTTTAACGCAATTATCTCAATGAAAATCACGCGCCGGCCGTCCGAGAGCGTTCCTTCGACTCCACAGTCCACGACGCGATTCAGTCACTAGCCGCCGGCCACCGACGACGGTTAGTTCGGTTTACAAGCCCCCAGTGGAACATACGTCCGAGCGACAATAAAAACTCCCGCGAAAATCACGCCCCATTTACAAAGTGGAGTATCAACTTTTTTTAGTGTTTCTGTGTTTTTGTGTACGTGTTCATATATTTCATTAATACAGGAATTGAAAACAGAGGTAATTATATTTGATTTTAACGCACGTTCGATGTTTTACGGGTACAAACGTTAATGCACTTTTGTAAATATCTACGGACGTATGCACGCACAGATAGTTTACTGGTTTTACTTGAAACATATTTATGTGCTCACTTAATTTTGTAATAGGTGATGTAAATAGTGAGCCAGTTTTATTAATGATTATGTTAAAGTGGGATTACGAAATCCTTCTTCAATAATATTTAACTTGTACATACGCAAATACGACAGGGACATGTAGTACTCTCAAACATGATTCGAATATATCAAGATGAAGATTTCATCTAAATTGCTCTGATAGTTTAAACATCAAGAGCGAGCACTCGCAGCTTGCATTATGACATGAATTTTTATTTGTCTTTTGTGCTTGTTATGATCGTTTGTTCTAAAAATAAGCTGAATAAAACTTTGAGATAGGTATTTTTCTTTAAACAAAATACCACTTACAAAATTTGTTTGTTGGTACTGACATCCAGAAATTCACTATTTCCAATTTTTATATAATAAATATGTATGTATAAGCACTATTTTCTTCCATTATTTTTAATGTTGACATACTTTGAGTCATTAAATACATGATAGCTTTGTTGATAGGTACATAGTTAATCTATGTACCTATTGAACGTCAATACTATTGAACTTTTGTTCGAATAATAGTTTAAGAATCTTCCAATTATGCCGTGTCGTATCACTGTGTCAATGAGACGATTGAGACAAGAAAATAAAACAGCGAAAACCCGTCCAACGAGATATAACAGGAATAGACGCGGAGTAAGTATTTATCGGCTTGTCACTAATATTTTCGAAATATATTAAGTTCACTCATTAGGTCTTGTTGATTATAAGATGCGATGTCAAATGTCACTGTCAAGAATTACTAATCATTGTACGTAAAGGTACAAGTATCTAACCAAGTTATAATTACCAAGATTGGTAGAATAAAAATAGAGTAAAACATGAACGTTAAAAAGATTTTGTATATCAATTTAATAATATTCAATTTGTAGCTAAAAAAATATGAAACAGTATTCTATAATAATATACTGAATATTTTAGATATAAATATTAAATTTTAATCTATAATTTGAAATCTACGCTTTAATTTATTTTAGCTGTAATCTTTATTATGGTTATTATTATATTTTTTATTACATAAGTATATCGTAGAGATAGAGCATATCCAAATATTTTATATCTTCAAAGCGTCCGTTTTATATTAAATCCTACATGATGCACACAGCTACAATGATGAAATATTCACACGTATTCAAGATCGTGTACAAACTAACAATTTGTTTTATTTATATATTTTTATCGTAAACATTTATAAAATATGTTAATTACGGATATATTTCTTTCTAATTTGATTTTAAATTCGAAAATATACTGCGTTGAGACAATCATTGAAGGGAATTTCTACAAATACAATGAAAAAAGGTTAAATATCTTTAATGTTTGAGTTTTGTGATATTAACCCGTATTTAAGGAGTCAGGAGATGCCATATTAAATGAGAGCTCGTTCTGTATGATGGATCCTAGTTGACATCGTAGGATATTGATTGAGGAACAGCAAATTCTTCGTAAGCAGTGTGATGATGAAAACTT